AAAGGGAGAAATAATTTGCTCTTTAAAAACCCACAAAGCTATAGCCCCCACCCCCAAGAAAGTTTTCTCCAAGGGAACTTCTGCTCTTTTCGGGAATTTCTAAAATCTCCAACCAATTTGACCCACCCTCGTGCAGCAGAACGACTTCAGTTTGGAGTAGATACACATGGAGCTTTTTCGTTAAATCAACAGTCATTCAAACAGCTGATGAGAGCCAATTAATAAGAGATAACAGATAACCTATTTATTGTAGCTGGATAAGACAGGGAAGAAACAATGACTCTCCACCAGTTAAAGAGAAGTTGTATAAATATTTTGACCCTGAGCACTCAAGAGTATTTTGCACACTACTTTCTTTAGATTAAAAAGTGGTCATTCGTGCATTCATTAAAAGTGGCAACAACGGGCCAGCTTCTAAGCTCAAACTTTAACTGCAATTAAATCTGGTTAGCAATATAGAGGGAAAATCACTTGCCTGGGAAATTAAAAAAAAAGAAACCCAACAGAAAATAACTTCTGTGTTGCATGCAAGATTAAACCTAGTTAATCTAGTTCAATATTTGCTAACTTTGGCAATTTTAAGATCTCTGGACGTAAAGTCCCAAAATTCCCTAGCCAGCATGGAGAGTAGTTTGGGAAACTCTGATCTAGTTTCTTCCATGATAATATCAGTTCAGAAGCTATCTACAATACTTGCAAAGTCACTACTGTAAATCTATTTCTCTCAACCTTGGCAGCTTGATTGAAGATATGTAAATCTTCAACTCCCAGAATTCTCCACACATGCCAAAGTTGAGAAACAATGCCGTAAGCAATAGCTACTTCAATAAATGTGTTTATTGCGCAGCTAACACTGTTATGGCATAACTTCAAAGTTAATTGTCAACATCTCTGCCCAAGGAAGTTAGCTGATAAAATGCAGTACAATGCTATTTACACATACCACAAGCACGTGACTTGATACAATTTAGATATTAAGAAGAATCCTTGCATGCTTGTATGTCCACTTGAACAAATTTGAGTTCTTGATATCTACATGCAGTTTACTTCCCAGGAACGTGTGTCCTTTAAAACACAACAGTTTTGACATTATTTCTATCTGCCTAATCAACTCAAACTGGGTACATCGGAAAATGAAACCATTACCCAGATATAATATGCAAAAAACAGAAACTAGGCCAAAATTTTGCAATAAAAATAAACTTAAAAGAGGAACCATAGTACAAGCAAACATCACACTAGGTGATAAAGTTAACGCAGTGTCAACATTTTGCATTTGTAAAAAAGGGTTTTCACTATGCTTGTAATTTGAGCAGAATCCTGAGGAATAACTAAAACCTTGCAGTAATATTGTCACTCAAGAGCAGAATCCATATTTCAGGCCAAGCACCACTCAGCCTAACACTCACCATGCTTATTAAAAATGGGGATTAAATCATGTGCTACGTGATTGGGCCAAGTTCCTGCAATTTGGGTTCTTTATTAGAATCCAGACCTTTTAAGTTCAGTGGGAAAAAAATCCAGTGGGATTCCATTAGACCAGTGTTTTTTTTCCAGCCTGGGCAACTTTTTAAGTTGTGCGGACTCCAACTCCCAGAATTCCCCAGCGAGCCTAAGGATTCTGGGAATTGAAGTCCCACCCAACTTAAATTTGCCCTGGTTTGGAGGTGGGGAAACACTTTTAGATTTAATTGGTTTTAAATATGGGATTTTAAATTTGGGGGGTTTATAATTGAGCCAATTATTTAATAATTTTAAATTATTTTTAAATTTTGTCCGTCTTTGTGCTTTTAATCAGGCTGTATACCGCCCTGAGTCCTTCGGGAGAAGGGCGGTATAGAAATAAAATAAATAAATAAATAAATAAATAAATAAATAAATAAATAAATAAATAAATACCACTGTACTGAATTAATCTGAGTCTCTTTAGCTGCTCCTCGTGGGAGCTGCTCAAGGAACTTTTTAAAAACATTCCCAGTGCAGTACTGAAAAACACCACACTAGACAGTCCTTGAAAGTCACTGAACTCCTATAGCGTTTTACTTCTGAGTAAACTACACGCCATAGGTTCAATACAGTGGCAAAATCTAGATTTTTTTTTACAACCAGTTCCGTGGGTGTGGCTTGGTGGGTAGTGGCAGGGGAAGAATACTGCAAAGTCTCCATTCCCACCCCACTCCAGGGGAAGAATACTGCAAAATCCCCATTCCCTCCCCACTCCTGGGGGGAAGGATATTGCAAAATCTCCATTCCCACCCCATTCTGGGGCCTAGCCAGAGGTGGTATTTGCCAGTTCGCCAAACTATTCAAAATTGCCGCTACCGGTTCTCTAGAACCTGTCAATTACCTGCTGGATTTCACCCCTGGTTCAATGAGTGGGAAAAGCCAAGATGCCAATTCTGCCTATCTCAGCGTCCCAGACACACCGGTTTCCTTCCACGTGCAAACTTCCTCGTTTCCTGCCCCCCCTCCCCAAACCAACACAAGTTGCCCCATACAGTGGCCACGCCAAGCTTCCTCCCACCCACCCCCACCCGCCTCTAAAGAGGAAACCGTGGCATGCACAGGAAAAAGGCCCGTGGTGAGCAAACCACCAACCCTCGGATCCACCCCGGGAGAATTCTCCCCGCGTGGAACCAGCCCCAGAATCTCCTCCCCTGTGCATCTCCTTTGCAATAAAAACGAAGGCGAAAGGCTTGCCAAGTTTTGCTCCTTTGCCCGAGGTGGTTGGAGAGACCCTCCGCCCGCCGGGGAAAGAAAGCTGGACCACCAAGCTTGCCTTGGAGGAGGGGTCTCCAACCTTGGGCCCTTGAAGCCTGGAGGACTTCAACTCCCAGAATTCCCCAGCAAGGCAAGGCAAGACCCCTCCCTCCAGGCTTCAAGGGCCCAAGGTTGGAGACCCCTGCTCCAAGGCAAGGCAAGACCCCTCCCTCCAGGCTTCAAGGGGCCCAAGGTTGGAGACCCCTGCTCCAAGGCAAGGCAAGACCCCTCCCTCCAGGCTTCAAGGGCCCAAGGTTGGAGACCCCTGCTCCAAGGCAAGGCCCCTCCTTCCAGGCTTCAAGTGCTCAAGGTTGGAGACCCCTGCTCCAAGCAAGCCAAGACCCCTCCCTCCAGGCTTCAAGTGCCCAAGGTTGGAGACCCCTGCTCCAAGGCAAGCCAAGACCCCTCCCTCCAGGCTTCAAGGGCCCAAGGTTGGAGACCTCTGCTCCAAGGCAAGCCAAGACCCCTCCCTCCAGGCTTCAAGGGCCCAAGGTTGGAGACCCCTGCTCCAAGGCAAGCCAAGACCCCTCCCTCCAGGCTTCAAGTGCCCAAGGTTGGAGACCCCTGCTCCAAGGCAAGCCAAGACCCCCCCCTCCAGGCTTCAAGTGCCCAAGGTTGGGACCCCTGCTCCAAGGCAAGGCAAGACCCCTCCCTCCAGGCTTCAAGTGCCCAAGGTTGGAGACCCCTGCTCCAAGGCAAGGCCCCTCCTTCCAGGCTTCAAGGGCCCAAGGTTGGAGACCCCTGCTCCAAGGCAAGCCAAGACCCCTCCCTCCAGGCTTCAAGTGCCCAAGGTTGGAGAACCCTGCTCCAAGGCAAGCCAAGACCCCTCCCTCCAGGCTTCAAGGGCCCAAGGTTGGAGACCCCTGCTCCAAGGCCAGCCAAGACCCCTCCCTCCAGGCTTCAACTGCCCAATGCTTGGAGACCCCCTACCCTGGAGGACTTTTCAGGCCCCGGATACCCCTCCATCCCAAAGGCAGCCCCCCCTCCCCTTGCCGGCGAGGCTTGCTTAAAACTCAGCTCCCTCCGTAGAAGTGGCACCTTTTTTGGGGGGGGTGGGGAGGTGGGCAGGGGTCTCCGAGCCCTTGCTACGCTCCGGGGAGCAGGGAGGCCTGCAAAGTAAGCAAGCAAGCTTTGGGAAGCTTTGAAGTTCCCAACCGAGGAAGACCCCCTCCTCGTTGGGAGTAAGAAGAGAAAGACCCGGAGAGGGGGGTGGGGGGGTGGGAAAGGGGTCTTTCCAAGGAAACCCACCCACCCACCTACCTACGACTCAGCACCCCGCTTTCCTGCAACCCACCCACCTCTCCAAACCCGGGCCAAGCGGACTCTTACTTTCCTGCGAAGCCCCCGAGCCGGGTTTCCTCTGCGCCCCCTCCCCACGCCAGCAGCAGCAGCAGCATCCCCTCCCCACTTTTTTTCTCTCTCCTCTTCCCAGCCTGAGCCCCTTCCCCACTCTTTCCCTTAGGCGGATCCTCCTACCCAGCAAGCGAGCCAATGAACCCGGGCCTTCCTTGTCGCAGCCGCCCCGGCTGGCTGGCTGGCTGGCTTAGCCGGCGAAGGTGGAGCTTGGGGTGCAGGAGGAGCCGGCGGCAGCAGCGGGGCGGCGGCAGGAGAAGAAGGAGGAGGAGAAGAAGAAGGAGGAGGCTCCCCCCGGGATGGTCCCGCCGGCACCAGCTGCGCGCTATTTAACCCTAAGCGCTTAAACCGCGCCCGGCCCGGAGCTTGGCCGGGTTTAAAGGAGACTGACCGCTCGCTCGCTGCTTGCCTGCCTACCTGCCTGCCTGCCTCTCGGAGCTGCTTGGGGCTTGCATTTGATTTGACTTGATTATTTTTGATTTGATTTGATTTTTTGGGTTTGGGTCTCCCTTCCCCGGGGATGCGCGCAGGGCGAGGAAGGTTGCCAAGTGCGGGGAAGAAGGAGGAGGAGAAGGAAGAAAAGAAGGAGAAGAAGGAGAAGGAAGAAAAGGAGGAGGAGGAGAAGGAAGAAAAGAAGGAGGAGGAGGAGAAGGAGGAGGAGGAGAAGGAGAAGGAGAAGGAGGAGGAGGAGAAGGAGAAGAAGAAGGAGGAGGAGAAGAAGAAGGAGAAGGAGAAGGAGGAGGAGGAGAAGGAGAAGAAGGAGGAGGAGGAGGAGAAGAAGGAGAAGGAGGAGGAGGAGGAGGAGGAGGAGGAAGCGCCCCCGGACTGCAAACGGGGAAGGCAGCGGAGCCAGTCCTCCCGAGCTCCAGCCATGCGCTCCCCGTCCGGCCAAACTTGCTCGGAGCGTTGAGGTTTGTTTTTTTTTTTTTTTTCCCTTCCCACCTCCGGGGCTGGATTCTTTTGCGCCACCGCCCGTTATGGCCAGAGAGGAATGCAAAGCGCTTCTGGACGCGCTCAGCAAAGTCACGGCTTGCTACCGGCACTTGGTGCTGACCGTCGGGGGTTCGGCGGATTCGCAGGAGCTCCGCGAGGAGTTGAAAAAAACCCGGCAGAAAGCCCAAGAGTTAGCCGGGGTGACCCGAGCTCAGCTGACGGCTTCCCTGCGGGATAAAACTCTAGCCAAAGAAGAGAGGCCCGAGTTCGAGCGCCTCTGGGTCATCTTCTCCGCCTGCTTGGAGATCTTGGAGAGCGACATGCGACGGGCCCTGGAGCTGGGCCAGGCTTTCCCGCTCCACGTGCCCAAGAAACCGCTCATCCAGACGGGTTTGAGCGGAGGCACCTCAGGAGTGGCAGCCCGGGCAATGAGCGTCCAGAACATGAAATACGAAGCCGAAGCCAACATCGACGTGGTGGACTTGACGGCCCTGGAGCAGGAGATCAACCAGGTGGGCGAGATGATCTACGAGATGGAGATGAAGGTCAACGTGCCCAGGTGGACCGTCGAAGCCAAGCAAGACCCCGGCGCCGAGCTCAATTCCAACGTCAGCGGGGGTGCCTCTTCCGTGGGCGCCGTCTCGGGGGTCGACAACAAAAGCCTTTGCGATCCTAGCAGAGTCCTGGCCGGCATCATTTTCACCGCCGTCCTCTTGATGGCCATCGCCCTGGCGGTGTGTGTGGCCAAGCTCTCCTAAGGCTGGACGAGGGAGAAGTGGTGGGGCAGTGGTCTTCCTTTGCAACGGGGAAGTTTTTACATTTTTTTGGCGATCTTGGACGTTGGGGGGGGGTACAGGACAGGATCGCCTGAGATGGGTCCCGGTTAGTGGTGGGATTCAGCCGGTTCGCACCACTTCGGGAGAACCGGTTGTTAACTTTCTGAGCAGTTTGGTGAACTGGTTGTTGGAAGACATCATTAGGGCAGAGAACCGGTTGTTAAATTATTTGAATCCCACCACTGGTCCTGGTGTGTGTTTGTTTTTTTAACACTCCGGGACGGTCGATCCAAACAAAAGAGATCTCTCTGGGGATAATATACAGTATATATTTTCTTTTTTTAAAAAGCCTGCTGGCTGGGCCTTTCACGGTTAATAATGTGCGGGTATTAGAACTTAACCACGGTAGGGGATTTGACGGCTATTTATAGAAGACCGTTCTCGGGAACTGGGACGGAAATATGATTTGTGATTTAAGCTTGGGTTCATGTTTACAAACGGGTCATAATAATAATTCGCATGTGATGCTGTGGACCAGAGGTCAAGATGGGAAAGGGGCATATGTTGGTTTCAATATAAAACGGGGCATTAACTCTTGAAGCTGAAGAAGTGGGTTACTTTTTTTTCTCCTAAACCAGTGGTTCTAAACCTTCTTAATGCCGTAACCCTTTAATACAGTTCCTCATGTTGTGGTGACCCCCAACCATAAAATTATTCCTAAGACCATTGAAAATATGTGTTTTCCGATGGTCTTAGGTGACCCCTGTGAAAGGGTTGTTCGAACCCCCAAAGGGGTCGCGACCCACAGGTTGAGAACCACTGCCCTAAACCAAGGTGCAAGCATGGAGGCACGGAAACTTGTCTTTGTGGAATGAAAGGTTGAGCTGAAGTTGTTTCGGTGTGGTATAAAAATCCAGATTTGCAGAAGAAAACTTTCTGCAACGTTTAAGAGAAAGATAGGAAGTTATTTTCAGTTCACTACTGCTTCAGGTTTGTTTTGCAGGGGACAGGAGGGTTTTTTTTTAAAAAAAAAAACACCTTTATCAATGGGTTCTTAGTAACACATTAGCCAATTTTAAACACTTTACACCGTAAGTGTAAATCACTGTTCCCCCTTCGTGTGTACCGCTGAATCCCATGGAATTCAGTGAGATTTAATTCTCAACATGCATCAGATGACAATGTGGTTTCTTTTGGCTTAACTTTTTGTGCACCGATGCTGGGATTCGTGTTGTGTTTTTAAAACTAAAATATGACAAGATCTTCAGCCAGTTCAGGATTTTAGACAGGGCTTTTTCCTCTGGGTTTAGAGACTTAATCCTAAGGGAAGCAATTCTATTTAAACCTCCTGTCTGTTTTCAGATACTGAAAACTCTTCCTTCTAAAACGAGAGAAGTAAGGTTTTAACAATAACTTCTCGGGTGTGCTTATTCATTAATGCATGAGAAAACTATGGGACTCTTGAGTAAACTGGTTTCTATAGTTGCATAGATGGAATTAATTTAAAAGATTTACAGCTTGAAAATAGAAGTCAGTGAAGACACAAATTTTAAAATGAACCTAAAATCTCTTGAGTTTGGATGTCATGCCAATTATGATTATTATCTTGATTAATTGAAAAATTATATTAGAGTCCCTGGCGTTACTATATAAAGGTAATCTGGCAGCAAAGAATAATCCATTGTATCTAGGCTAAATTTGCAGGTCAACGACGTCCCTTCTACAGGTATAGACTACCTCCAAGTTGCTATGTAATTATTAAGAGACAAACAGGAAAATAAAGTGTCTAAAATTCTGTTTACCAATCTGTTAAACCCATCACATTTTACAGTTGTGCATGGCTTTAGGATCAGTATACTGATCCTATTAAGTTCCTTGCAGTTGGACAGATGCAGGTGATGCTTTATATAAGCTTTAGGAGGCAAATCCCCTGATTCAGTGGGTTAATTTCTAAAAAATTGAGGTTCGTTGAAATGAGTAGCTTTAACTTCTGAAAGCACATTGAGTTATGAAGCTGAAACCCTATGGGTAACTTTTTAGAAATAAGATCTGTTGACAGGTAGCCCCCGACTTACAATGGAGCCCCAAATTTCTGTTCTTAAGTGAGATTTGTTAAGTGAGTTTTGCCCCATTTTATGACCTTTCTGGTCACCGTTAAGTGGATCACTGCAATTCATAAATTGGTAACCCGGTTGTTAAGCGAGTCCGGTTTTCCCATTGACTTTGCTGGTTAGAAGGTCACCAAAGGTAATCCTATGACCTTGGGAAACGGCAATGGTCATAAATATGAACCAATTGCCAGACATTGGGTAATTTTGATTACCCGATTATGGGGACGCTGCAAAGGTCATAACTGTGAAAAACGGTCATAAGTCACTTTTTTTTTTCAGGGCCGTAACTTTGGCCGATCACTAAACAAACTGTTGTAAGTCAAGGACTACCTGTATCTAATACGTCAGCTTTTTAGCTCCTGAATCAATATGCAAAAGAACAGGGCCGAAAGGCAAGAAAGACATCAATAATTAAATTTGCACTTTTGAGTGGCTAGCACTAATGGACGCCGTGCGGTCAAAGCCAGCTTCTGCATTTGCAACCAAGCAAATCTTCTAAGTATGTTACCTCAAAAAATAAATAGTCCTATGTTCAGGAAGCAAGAAAATACTGCATTCCCAGGTACTCTTAAGGCATCAATATATTTTGACGGTTGATTGTAGATATCTGCTTTTAAGGAAGTCCTAGGACAGTGATGGCTAACATTTTTGCCATCACGTGCCAAAAGCGTGGGGAGCGCGGGATGTGTGTGTCGTGCTCGTGTGTGCCCACACCCATAATTCTATTCATCTCATTCTCCATGCTCCCCCCACTTTTGGCACGGTGGGCCTGGTAGGCCCATTTTTTGCTCTCCCCAGGCTCCAGAGCCTCTCTAGGAGTCTGAGGAGGGTGAAAACGGCCTTCCCCGCCCTCCCAGAGGCCCTCCGGAGGCCGGAAACACATGTTTGCCAACATTGGAAGTCAGCAAGTAGGGAAACAGACTGTTTCCCTACTTCTGGTGGGTCCAGAAAGTCTGAAAATCAGCGCGTGCTGGAGCTGAGCTTGTGTGCCCACCAATATGGCTCCGTGTGACCCTTGTGGCACGCGTGCCATAGGTTCGCCATCACGGTCCTAGGAGCAGGGCTGGGAGCTACAAGGATGTCAAAACTGTGTATTCCCTTTTGGTGCTAAAGTACCCATCATCTCTTTATTGTAGCATGATTCAAACGGCTGCTATTGTATTGCTCCCTTTCACCTGAAGAGAACAGTCTTCGTTTCATTGGAAGGACCCACGTTTGCATGTTAACAAGGGCTAGATATTTCTCTTAAATACGTCTCATATTATTTTATGGGAGAACACCCTAGGCTTAAAAGTGCTCTTACATAGGTGCATGCAACACTGTTATAGGCTGTGAGGAAGAAGCCGCAGGATAACAATTGCCTAGCTGGAATGCTCCCGAGACACATTTTTTTAATTTGGAATTAAAACAGTATTTCTTTGCACATTTGAGAACTCAAGTCTAAAAACTTATCAGTATGGATAAAATAGCCATCTCTCCACTCTTGTTCTACAGGGGTTTGTTTTGCAAACAATCCAGGTTAAAGTCATCAATTCGTCACTGCAAGATGCTTATTTTCCTGAGTTACTTTTATGAAAACCTTTACATTGAGGGAACAGTTCCTAGTTCCAATGAGATTTATTTTCCAAGCAGACCCAGTTTAGAAAGGTGCTGTACATCGGCTAACTGTCTCTGCATTGCTTGTTTTTTTCCTCTCTTAAGCTATTTCTAAATGACATCTCATCAAGACCTGACACAGGATTTGTCACCATCTGATTAATTAATATCTTCTTTGCTCAGTTATCATCACATCTGTTCAGCACCACTGACTGTGCGATATGGTTTAGGGATAGTTATCACGTGTGTAAAGCTGAGCAGATAATACTAGGGAAGAAATATCTTCTTATGGGGTGTGTATGTGTGCCAGATTGATCTGCAGAACCGATGAAATAATCTAAAGCATGATATGCTTCTGTTCATCCATTAAAAAAATGTAGGAAGTCTGTTCACTTTCACCTCTGCTCTAAGGCTCACAAAAATATCCCATAGTCATTGTCCATGTTTCTTTCTGGAAGAAAATTATCTAGAACTCTCATTTTTAGGCCATACAGAACCAGAAATGTTAGAGCGCTGAATTTTTATTGCCGATAAAAAATCTGACCCAGGAGGAAGGTGTTCTTTTAGCTAAGTCTTAAAGCCTTCAGACTCTGTATAGATGGTTAAATCATCAGCCCTTACAACCATCACGATTGATTAAAATGTATTTATTTATTTAAGTTTATTTAAAGCCAAGTTGTTTTGCTCTCTTCAAAAAAAAACATTACCTGTCTTGTGTTTACAGCCATAGGTATTTTCATTGTAACGAAAAGTGTACGTTTTCATTGAAAAGAAACAAAGCAAAATCCCTTTTTAATAGGATTCTTTATTTTAAAAAGTCCAACTCCGCTGTCTTTTACAAGCATGATGAAGTTGAGAGTTACGACAGGAGTGTTCAACGAGGAATGACGAACTCTGAATGTTTGGTTTTTTAAAAAAAAAATAAGGTTGATTTGTTGCATTCCAACGAATGCTGGGTCCATATTAAAACGATTGTTTCAGTATTCATCTGAAAGTAAGCGTTATAAACTGGCATTCCGTGGTTCAAGAGTATTCTTTTATGCTCAGAATAAAACCTATTGCTATTATTTATTTAAAATAAAGCCTCTTCTGTTAACTTGCCAGCCTTTTCAACAGATTGCTTTTAAAGACAAACTCCTAAACATACGTGTGTGTTTTTGTGTGTGTGTGTCTGTGTGTGTGTGTGAACTTCTTTAGCAATACTTACCTTTCACATGTTTTCATAAAGTCATTTGGCAAGAATGCTGAATTATAGGCCCATAAATCTTTTCCTTCGCTATGTTTCTAAACTCACACTGGGACAAAAAGGAACTTTTTGCTAAACTCAGATGCAGTGTGCAATAATATCCCAAATGGCCGGTTGTACTTATTAAGGGTTCAAAACTCACTCCCAAATAAGGGGTCCAATTGAAAACTGGCATTAAAAGAAACACATCCATTTTACTCTTCGTTTTACACTTTCTCTTGTATTCCAGTAATTACAAATGGAGTTGGATTTTGCTTCACTGCTTAAGGCAAAAGAGAGGGACATTGACATTTCTTTGTCAAGAGTTATAGAGAGTATTCAAGCGAAGCAAACGATACAATTTTGGATGTTTAAGGTAGAATACTTGTGAACATCACTTTGGAGAACTGTAGATTCAGTCAAGTAACCAAGGTGTCAATTCGCTCTTGAGTTGCCATAGGCCATGGGGGATGGGAAACTGGTGAAACTGCACAGCAGCCAAAAACAGATGCACATTTCACACTTATCTCCCTCAAGGCTGTATCCCAGGGATACCTACAGCAGTTGAAGGGGAGTGACCTCTACAACCTGCAAAATTTGCTCCGTTGGTGAATGTGATGTGAATGTGACACACCCTGGGGGGAGGGGGGAACAGGGTCATAATTGGAGCATAAATTAGGTAGGGTCAGAGCTGGCTTCACCTGGGAACGTGCAGACATGAAACTCCTAATAAATGACTGGATTTCTTTTGAAGTTTAGATCAAGACTCATGATTTAATTGGGGCATCCATCAGAACCCTGACACAAGGAGAGAAGCAACCAAGAACTCGGGGGGGGGGAAAAATCCTAACAGTGAGAGCAATCAACCAATGGAACAACTTGCCTTCAGAAGTTATGCGTGCTCCATCCCTGGAGGCTTTTAGACTGGTAAGCCACTTGTGTCGAATGGTCTTCTGCTCGAGCAGAGGATTGGAGTAGAAGGCCTCTTCCAACTCTGTTCTATGTTCTAAGTATTTATGATGCAGAAGAATGTAACACACTTTCAGTTTCACTTTCTTCTGAAAAACTGCAAAGTATTTTGTACATTAAAATCGTGAGCCATGTGATTCCCTTGGATGTAAGCACAATTACTGATGGTGTGAATGATTTCAGAGTAATCTTTCAGAACTAAACCATGGCATCCGCGTTTCATCATAATTGCTCAGTTTAAACATTTCTTGCTTATGAAACAGCTACAAGATGTACGGTCAACACGAGAATCCAGCTTTTTCACCTGCAGTATTTGAAATTATCAAAATGTCTCTTAATATCTATGCTAAAAAATTAAAGAGTCATTTTTCCACACCTAACGGTATGTACTAAATAGGTTTTCTGGCCTTGAAAAACAGACTCCTCATAAAACTGCAATTTACTTTTTGAATATTGGCAAGCCCAGGATAAAGATAATATATATATAATATATATATAACAGTGATGGCTAACCTTTTTGCCATCGCGTGCCAGGAAGGGGGGGGGGACGGGGGAGGTTTGCGCGTGTGTGTGCTCACATCCATAATTCTATGCGCCGCGCCCCACGCATGTGAGCGTGAACCCCCCTCCCGCCCACTCCTGGCACTCGATGGCCAGGTAGGCCCATTTTTCTTTCTCACCTGACTCCAGATCCTCTGTATGCGTCTGGGGAGAACAAAAACAGCGTTCCCCACCCCCTCGGAGGCCCTCCGGAGGCCCGAAACAGCCCATCCAGCCTCCAGAGACTCCTAGCGCCGGAGCTGAGCTGGCGTGCCAGGAGACAAGGCTCCAGGTGCCACCCGTGACACGCATGCCATAGGTTTGCCATCACGGATATATAATATATATAATATAATATATATGTCTTTTTCTTTTTTCGTAGGCTTTTATGTGCATATTCTTTCTAGCCAGGTTCCACCTACGTAAGCTAAGTTGTTCCTCAGCCCTAGTTCTGTGAAATCTCATCCACAAGTTTCTGGGCTTTTTGTATCCTGCTGAAAAGCAACAACTCTGTGCTGCAATTTGGGAGACTCAAATAGCTATTTCTGCCTTATAAGGGGTCATCAGTGAGCCACACCCTCTTCTCAAGTATCCTCCCTGTAAAGGTACAATGTGTCTTTTTCTTATATATATATATATAAGAATATATATATATATATATAATAAATATAATAAATATAATAAATATAATAAATATAATAATAATAATAATAATAATAATAATAATAATAATAATAATAATAATAATTGTTATTGTTATTGTTATTGTTATTGTTATTAAACCTAGGGTAGTCCTCCCCTTCGGACCCTAACTGAGCCCCCGAGAATTAACGGCCACCCCTCGTGGGACGTCCTTAAGCAGGTCACTCCTCCCACGACCACGATCCAATTCGCAAACTTCAACCTTTCCCCAACCATCCCCGGTGCCTGCCTTTCCCTTCCCTTCCCTTCGCCCCCAATCCTCGCCCCTTCTAACCCTTCCCAACCCTGGATGAAATCTCCCCAATCCCCTGAGTAGGTGGGTGGGTGGGGGGGGGGGGGAGGCGGTAGCTTCTCTCCCCCCCCCCCCCAAGCCTACCTTGCAGGGCTGTCGGTGCCAGGAGAGGCTTGTCCTCTGCGCGTAAAGCGCGGAGCCGAGTCCAGCGTGCCTCCTTTTTTCTTTTTTTGCCCTTCTCCTCCCTGGGGAACGATGACTTCGGCGGCTTGGCGAGAAGCCGCCACGCTGCTGCTGGCGGTGGGCGGCAAGCAGCCCCTTCTTCGCCCGGCCGCTGCTTTCGATTACCAGGTGCTGCTGCTGCGCCGGAGCGCCCGGACCCCTTTCCTCCCCAGCGCCCAAGTCTTCCCGGGCGGCGTGGCCGACGCCTCCGACTTCTCGCCCGCCTGGAGGGAGCTTCTCCCGGACGCTCCGCGCTGCGGCCTGGGAGCTCAACCCGCCGCCCGGCCTCCGCTCTTCGCCGCCCGCCGGCCCGAGCTGGGCGAAGCTTCCCTGCCGGCCGACGCGGCCTTCCGCATCTGCGCCATCCGGGAGACCTTCGAGGAGAGCGGGCTGCTGCTGGTGGTGCCCGCCGGGCAAGCCGCGGCTAGGACGGACGGCGCGGCCGCTTTGCTGTCCGCCCAGCGGTTGATGCCGGCTGCCCGGTTGGAAGAGTGGCGGCGAAAGGTGCAAGGAGACCCCGGCAGCTTTTTGCAGCTCTGCCGCCTCTTGGGCTGCGTGCCCCACTTGCGGGCGTTGCACGAGTGGGGCAACTGGTTGACCCCCGTGCACCTAGCCGGGCCGGCCGGTCGCCGTTACGACACCGCTTTCTACCTGTGTTGCTGCCTCGGGGAGGAGCCGCCCGCCGCTTCCCACGACCGGCAGGAGGTGGCCGATTGCAGGGTGAGCGATGCCAGGATTGCCCCCCACCCCCGGGAAGGCTTGGCACGCTTTGCCAAACGGGGCTTGGGGAAAGGTGTAAAGCAGGGGCAGAGAGGTTTGGGCATAGAAGGAAGGGGAGAGTTTCCGAACCTGGGATCAGGTCAAGTTTATAAATTAATTAATTAATTAATTAATAAATTAATAATAAATAATAAATTAATAAATTAATAAATTAATAATAAATAATAAATAATAAATAAATGGGTGGGTGGGTGGGTGGGTAGGTAGGTAGGTAGGTAGGTAGGTAAGTAAGTAGTAAGTAAGTGAGTGACGGGTCGTCCTCGACTTACAATGGTAAGTAAGTAAGTAAGTAAGTAAGTAAGTGAGTGACGGGTCGTCCTCGACTTACAATGGTAAGTAAGTAAGTAAGTAAGTAAGTAAGTGAGTGACGGGTCGTCCTCGACTTACAATGGTAAGTAAGTAAGTAAGTAAGTAAGTAAGTAAGTAACGGGTCGTCCTCAACTTACAATGGTAAGTAAGTAAGTAAGTAAGTAAGTGAGTGACGGGTCGTCCTCGACTTACAATGGTAAGTAAGTAAGTAAGTAAGTAAGTGAGTGACGGGTCGTCCTCGACTTACAATGGTAAGTAAGTAAGTAAGTAAGTAAGTAAGTAAGTAACGGGTCGTCCTCGACTTACAATGGTAAATAAGTAAGTAAGTAAGTAAGTAAGTAACGGGTCGTCCTCGACTTACAACGGTTCGGTTAGTGACCGCTCGAAGTTTCAAGGGCACCGGGAAAGCGGCTGGCTTGGCATGCTTTTTTTTAATAGTTTTAATAGTATTTGACCTAATTAGGCATTTTAACTTTGCATGATGGATTATTGGGGTTTTATTGTTGTGAGCCGCCCTGAGTCCCTTGGAGATAGTAAATAAAAATAAATAAGTAAAATAAAACGGGGCTCTGGGAAGGCTGCAGGGCGCCTGGTTGCAAAGCAGGGGCAGAGAGACTCGGGCATAGAAGGGGGGACTTCCCAACCTGGGATCGGGTCAAGTGACGGGTCGTCCTCGATTTACAACGGTTCGGTTAGTGACGGTTCGAAGTTTCAAGGGCACTTAAAAAAAGGGACTTGGGACAGAGACCCCATCCCCCCCAGTGGTGGGATGCAAGTAATTTATCAACCGGTTCTCTGCCCTAATGATTTCTTCCAACAACCAGTTTGCCAAACTGCTCGGAAAGTTAACAACCGGTTCTCCCGCATTGCACGAGTGGGGCAACTGTCTGACTCCCATGCACCGAGTAGGGCCACTTTCTACCTGTGTTGCTGCCTCAGGCAGGAGCCGCCCGCCGCTTCCCACGACCGGCAGGAGGTGGCCGATTGCAGAGTGAGGATGCCAGGATTGCCCCCTCCGAGAAGGCTTGGCACACTTTGCCAAACGGGGGCTCTGGGAAAGGTGTAGAGCGCGTGGTTGCAAAGCAGGGCAACTGGGAACTCACAGGCCGGCTGGTCGTTGTTACGACACCACTTTCTACCTGTGTTGCTGCCTCGGGCAGGAGCCGCCCGCCGCTTCCCACGACCGGCAGGAGGTGGCCGATTGCAGGGTGAGGATGCCAGGATGCCCCCCCACGCCCGGGATGGCGGCATGCTTTGCAAAACGGGGCTCTGGGAAGGGTGAAGGGAGCGTGTTGCAAAGCAGGGGCAGAGAGACTCGTGCATAGAAGGAAGGGGAGAGTTCCCAACCTGGGATCAGGTCAAGTGACGGGTCGTCCTCGATTTACAACGGTTGTAAACCCTGAAAATATGTTCATGAATATGGATCTAAAATTCCTGCTATTTGGCAATCTCTTGTGAAACACATCCTCAAAATACATCGTAATATCTTTTGCTACCTTCAAATAATATTTAAAACAATTAATTTCTGAACTTGCTAAGTTGATATATATATATATATAGCATCCACTGGTAGACTGATAATCTAATTTTAAAAAAGATAAAAATAAATACTAATATAGAATAAAACAGTCACTGAAAGCACCAGAACACAGAATCTGTTCTACAGAATATCCCCCTTAATTGGGAAATTACATGGCTTGGAGATTGATTTTAATGCTTTATTCTTTTTTCAGTGGTCAACCCCTTTAGAAGCTGTGGAACTTTTTAACTCTGGAGAAGTCTGTATAGCACCACCTCAGCTCTATGAGTTATGTAGGCTCTGCCATTTTTCATCCCTTCGTGATCTGGAGCGGTTTAGCTCAGAACGAGCTTTAGAAGGTTGTGAACGCTGGATGTCAGTTATATTGAAGGCTTCAGATGGCTACATCCAATTGTTGCCAGGTAGGTAAAAATGAAGAACTGGCCTTTTAAAACAAACAATCAAACAAACAAACCCTGGTTTATTGATGCACTGAACACTAAACAGAAGCTGCAACATGAATCTACTTGTCTGAATAAGTGGGTTTCTGGGACCGTACTCCAAAAAGTGGACTGCTTTGGGCAAAAGCTAAATAATCAAATTAAAATTTCCTAATTTAAATTTCACCTACTACACTTAATAGGATTAATGGGCCGATATTCATTAATCTTCTGTTATATGGAACATACAGTATGCTCAGCTATAATGTTACGTTCTTAGTTGTAGAAGGGCTGTGTACTGTGAAAGCAGTAATTGTGGCTTGTAAATCTTAGATCGTTTGCTTAACATGTTTATGAGCCCAGTAAATAAAAAGTACAACTTGATGGCATTCATATCTTCCTGTGCATCTCTGCTTTAATACTTCTGCTCTTGGTGTGTTGAGACAAAAACCTCTATTAAAAATAGTGTCTCCTAATCAATGTTTTGTCACAACTTTTCATACCACCGTTTAGACTGAAGGTATTGTTAGTATCAAAAATTCACATTTATACCTGTAACTATGCATATAACCGAGAGAAATAATTATATTTTAGGTGACGATTTATATCCAAAAGATCCCGATTTTACTGGCGAAAAGAAACCTATGCTGACAACAAATAAAAACATTGAAGAACTAATGAAAGAGGGAAGAAACCTTCACCGGCTAGTAATACAAAACTTTAATACAACTATCCACATGAATATTGAATCCAAATATAAACATATCAATCCAGTTATACTGGACTCTAAAATGTGAAATAATGCAGATTGCAACAGTCAGTTGTAGTATTTCTCATACTGGAATTACTAAATTTCGAGAGATGTTGGAATAACAATGAATTAATAGCACTCTGCCATTTTATGGACATACCTCAATACGTATGAAAATTATTTCAGTTTCAAGTTGGGTCAATCAGTGTAATTATTCTTGTGCCAATTCTGGAATAGAGATCTATCTTCTAATAACCCAAATTTAATTTATTTGTTAATTTATTTCAGATGTCCCTGTTTACCGATAGATCATTTGCCAAAATTAAAAAGAACTGAACACTTTGAATGTATGTTACAGTATATTTCTCTCTACCTGGAAATCGTACTCAAAATAAGTGCATTGCAGATTGTAAATGCATATATTCAGAACTACTTCTGGGAAGCACTGTTTTAGATTAACTTGTTTATGCTGAAATGTCACCTGTTGTGCCTTTACATTAACTGTGTTATGTAACCCTAACAAGTGTCTGTTAAAAATAAATACTTTTAAGCAGTATTTTTTCCATGCTTCTTTTATTATTTGCTAAATGAATTGTCCCATAAATGGTCATTTATTTCTCCACAATTACTATAGGTTTGGAACTAGCTGGATTTTGTATTTTTTAACTATATCTGGGTGGAAACTCAGCCCGTACAAGACAGTCCTTACACCCAGCACCATAAAACATTGAAAATGTTTCTTATGATGCCTTCTTTTCCATTGTTAGTGCCCAATGTATCCAATAAAACAGGGGAACCCAATAACAAACAGAAATCCAATAAAACATGCCAAACATTCAGTGGAGCCCCCCAAATATATATTTATTTAACCCATGGTTGTCAGGTAACTTTGGGTTGTGGCTGCAATGGGCTGCTCCCTTTTTATGTTTTTAAAGATTTGGTAAAAAGAATGGAATGTATTAGCTTATTACGATCCTTCCTAGTCAATCATATGAACATCTTTCTCCTATGTGCAATCCTTCCTTCTTTTCATAGGCTTAAAACAGATGTTTCCTTATCTATAATTACCTACAATGAATTTAGAATAGAATAGAATCAAATCAAATCAAATCTGGAAAGGACTTTGGAGGTCTTCTAGTCCACCCCCTTGCTCAAGCTGGAGAACCTATTCTATTTCAGATAAGTGGCTTTCTAGTTTCTTCTTAAAAAGCTCCAGTGATGACCCACAATTTCTGAAGGCCAGCTGTTCCACTGGTTAATTTGATTTCACTGTTAGGATGTTTTTCCTTCATTCCAGGTTGCTTTTCTCTTTGGTTAGTTTCCATCCATTGTTTCTTGTTTCCTGCCCTGTCTATATAAAAGGGCTTTTTAAAAAAAAAAAACAGTAAGAGAGTTGGAAGGGACCTTGGAGGTCATCTAGTCCAACCCCCTCTGCTCACGCAGGAGACCTGTAGTAGAGATTCAAACCGCCGAACTGCCGACCTTTCCTGATCGGCAAGCTCAGTGTCTTAGCCACTGAGCCACCTAGTCAGGCTTTATCTTTTTTATACAACAGGGGTGGGCAACTGTGGCCCTTTTACAACTTGTGGACTTTAACTCCCAGAATTCCTGAGCCAGCTTGGCTGTCTCAGGAATTCTGGGAGTTGAAGTCCACAGGTTGTAAAAGGGCCACAGTTGCCCACCCCTGTTATACATATATCTTCCTACGCCTAAGGTATGTTTTCCTTTACATCACTTTTGCTATGTATTTTATTGATAACGGCAGGAACCGGCCTTTTTTCTCCCCCCCCGCTTTTTAATTGAGAAATAAAAAGATAAATAAATAAATAGAAATAAAACTTCCGGTTCTGCGCAAACGGACCCCGCGCAAACCAAAACCCGAAGGCAGAAGGGGGGGGAGGATGCTGGCGCATGCGTAGACGCCGCCGTCCCGCCTCTGAGGAGGCAAGACGAGAGGGAGGCGTGCGTCAGGCCCCGTCGGCGCCAGTGAGCATGCGCGGGTGGGTTCGAATGGCTCCTTTGGCGGGAGCCTCGTGCGCGGGGTGGGGGAGGGGGGGCCGGGAAGGGAGTCTCTGGGTCTTGAGGAAGCCGCGGAGGGTCGGGCGGCGGGAGGGAGGGGAGGCCTCAGGCCTTGGCCGTTGTCTCCCGGCAAGTCGCCCTTCTGCTCCCCGAACGGGAGGAACCCTCTTCGGTTAAAACCCAGGGTCTAAGCTGCCCTTGAATGGGGTGGGAGTAAGGATGGCGGTGGATGGGAAAGCGATAATGATAATAATACCATTTATGTGAGTGGTTGGTCTCCATCCCAGCGAGGTTCTCGTCTCAGATAAAGGATTTAAAAAACAAAAAATGGGTCTCCGTCGTATTAAAACCATGATTTTTAAAAAAAAAACACCTAAATCAGTGTTTCTCAACCTTGGTAGCTTGAAGATGGGTGGACTTCAACTCCCAGAATCCCCCAGCCAGCAGCGCTGGCTGGGGGATTCTGGGAATTGAAGTCCACCCATCTTCAAGCTACCAAGGTTGAGAATATTAAAAATGGAATGAAATGACCCAATAAAGCAAAGGAAGGGTGGGGGTGGAAAATCCAGAGCAGGCAGCTAGTGGGAAAATAAATTTAAATTCAAAAAAAGGGGGAAATTGAAATTAAAGGCAGAAAGCAAGGCACTTCCTTCCCAAGGGTGATGCCCATTGGACGGCTCCCACATTTTTTAACCATGAATGAAGCATATGTAGCACCAAGCATATAGGATTTAGGACACAGTTTTTATTTCCCTGATTTTTTTTTTCCAATTAGCCCTCTGTTCTGGATTCTCCGGAGAGTTCGCCCGTCCCAATTCTGGATAGCAACCTCACCCCACACACGCACCCCAGTTCTGAACAGCTGTAAGTGAAATAGGGGGAAACGGAAGTTCCTTGGAAAGAAGAAAAGCCGTTTAAAAACTTGGGAATAGCTATATCTATTTGGAGGGGGAAGAGTTGCAAGGGCCAGCAGCTGAACAGTTATTGTGTAGTAAACACTTTTTATTTAATAGAATTGGGGGAGCTGCATTTTCAGTGATAAATACTACAAGATTGATGGTTTTGTTTTGTTTTAAAAGACTTTCTCATTTCAAAATGGCAGAAAAGGATGCCGCTGGCTGTTAGCAGATGTGATTAAAGGAGGTAGGTCTAGCGTAAAAAGAATCTCGGGCTGACTACAAGTTGCCCACCTAAGAAACAGCAGGCTCAAATTGAGAAATCCGTTTGCTCTGCTGACAAGACAGATTTACAATCTATGTTTACAAGCAAGACAGAATTGCAATCTATGTTTACAATCAAGGCAGAATTGCAATCTATGTTGCAATTCTGGGTCAATAGACCCTCAAATTTATGGTATTTTATTGGCAGTTTTCGTATCTGCTAAGCCATTCTTTTGTTAATATTGCCTTGCGGAATAAATCGTGATTAGATTGTAGTTTCAAACCATTATTTTGTTAATCGTGTCTTTGCAAAATAAATTGCAAATGCTCTTGTAATTTCAAACTAAACTGTAAATCATGACTAATAGCCAAATGACTTGGTTTATTATGTTATGTTTATTATGTTAAGTTATAATGTGCTTTGTGGGGAGGGCATGTTGGCTTAGAATGAGGTATGAATGAACCCACTGTGTGTAGTGGTTTACACCAGGAGTACCCAACCCTCACACCATGAACCAGCACTGGTCTGCGGCATGCAAGAAACTGGGCCCCACAAACAAGTGAAGCCCCATTCATGAGATGCAGGCAGCATACGAAACCATGCCCTGTCCACGGAAAAACCTATCTCCACGGAACCAGTCCCTGGTGACCAAAAGGTTGGAGGCCACTGGTTTATACCGTTTAGGGTATTGAGAACTTCAGGTGTCCTGTTTGAGTTTATATCAAATAGATTTAGAGGACTCTACCAGCAGAACTGTTGAAATTATTCTGGTACCTCTTCTCTGCTAACTTTTTTCAAGTCATATTGAAATTTTATTTACTGTGTTTTCCCTGAAAATAAGACTCTGTCTTATATTTTTTTTGAACCCTGAAATAAGCGCTTGGCCTTATTTTCAGGGAGGTCTTATTATTTTGCGGTGCATGGAGCAAGATGGGGCTCCTCTTGCCATCTTACCTGATTTTCAGCTCTGCGTTTAAATAGTTTTGGGGGTGGGGGAGGCTTATTTTATTTTATTATTTTGATTTTGATTTATAAGCCGCCCTTCTCCGGAGACTCAGGGCGTCTTACAAGGCGTTAAACAATAGCCTTCATACCCTTGTATATTTTATACAAAGTCAGCTTATTTCCCCCACAAACCGGGTCCTCGTTTTACCTACCTTAGAAAGGATGGAAGGCTGAGTCAACCTTGAGCCTGATGAGAATTGAACTCGCAGTAATTGCAGGCAGCTGGAAGCTAAATATTACCATTAACAGTAGCATTAATCTGCTGCGCCACTCAGGCTCCTTTAGTGCACACGCTCAAAAGCCCGATTGGGCTTATTATCAGGGTATGTCTTATTTGGGGGGAAACGGGGTATGCTTTTCTAAAATTGTGTCCTGGTCATTTCAGCTTCAAAATTACTTAACAAATATTTTCACTTAGTGAAAGTTTGATTGATGATCTGTTGCGTTTTCAGAAGTACAGATAAAGCTTGCAATTCTCCTTAGATGAAAAAAAACATTGGAGGAAAAAAATGATTGAAGTCATAATACTGAAGGTATTGTGATTAACTTTCCGTATTTTAAAAATACATTTGGGGTTATGTGAACGTATTTTAATACGGGTTTTATCATACTTACTTAGATTGAAAATCCAGATTGCTTTTGGGTCTACATAATAGGAGGCAGAAAATTTGTAGACAATGAAATGGAATATGAAACACTTCAGACTGAAATGAATCAATTCTATAACAAACATTATCGATGTGTGGATGCCAAGCCCTGTGCACTAGAAGAGGGACAGGTGATCTTCTCAATCTGATCTGTTTGGCTATATCTGGGAGAAAAATGAACCAACCTACCTATCTTCCTTCCTTCCTCCTTCCTTCCTTCCTTCCTTCCTTCCTATTTGTTGTTTATATGTTTAAAGATAACAAGTCTTCCAAAAATACTTAATGCAATGTCAAGTGCATTTGTAATAATAAATATTGGACAAATAATTCTGGAATCTTTGATCATAGCAATTGGTGAGATGGTAAGATAACGGCTTTTTCTGATGGCAAGGAAATGAAAATATTAAAACGTTATACTTGTTAATATTAGGATGTAAGATTTGCTTTTTATGACAGTGGAAAATACATCATACTGTATTTAATCTTGGATAGGAAACATGGAAATAGGCATATCTTTTGCAAAATTCTTATGCTAGAATAATATTTAAATAATTGATTTTGGCATGAAAGCCAGCTAAGTGACTTTGGGCCACTCGTGTTCTCTCAGCCCATGATCAGGTCCTATGACAAGCCAGTAGATCCATTTCTGTTGTAACCAATGGATCAATGCTTGCAGAGACTGCATTTGTGGAAAAGTACTAGTAGGAAGAAGATTTAAATAAGTAATTTAAATATCTGTGGAAGAATATAGAAATCTCCGATTCCTGTCTGACATGTATTCTATTATACATGTATTTACTCTGCCAATTATATTTATTTTATTTTATTTATTTATTTTTATTTATTTATTTATTTGTCAAGCATATATAAGATAACAGGTAAAAGTATAAACACAATTTGAATACATGAAAAGAGTAAGTAAAAAGGAATATTAGGACAGGGACGTATCAAAAAAACAACATAGATTGTATAACAGTAAACATTTATATATCTTTCTTAGGTTTGTGCTGTTTACTGTGAGGAACTGAAATCTTGGTGCAGAGCTGTTGTTAATTCAATCATATCGTATACGGATTATTACATTGCAGAATGTTTCCTTGTGGATTATGCCAAAACTGTTCCTGTGAACACTAAAAAGTATGTGTTTATAATCTGTAAAATCATCCAGCAAAGGATTGGACCAAGGATTGAAACATTTTGGTCATAATGTTACCTATCTACCCAATGATATGGGCAATGGCCCTGCTGTGTTAGTTTGATCCAGCTGATAAATTAATATAGGCATAGTTGGACATTTTTGGATACATTTAAAGCCTAGGATTTTTTAGAAGATTTGGATGGACTGGTTTGTAAATTTAAGAAATGAGAACAGAAATAGAAGGTTCTGAAGAATAAAAATTTATGCTCATTTTCAGCTCTCTTTATCTGGTTTTGGCTATAAAGCAGCAGCAGCGCTTTTTTTGTAAATAGAAGTTATAATCTTCAGTTTCGAACACTAAATCTATGAAAATTATTGGTAGAAATTTGTGTGCTGTAAAACCTATTTTCTTGCAGGATCTGTGTGGTCGTAAAATCATTTATGAGGCTGCCTTATAGAGCTACAAAGTTTAGGTTGTACTCTGTCAAACCAGTTACCCTACGTGTCAACTATTACAATGACAATGCAGAGATAGTGTAAGTATGGCTGCTGAGAGATGATGTTAAATATTCTAAGCAATCCTTCCACTAACTTCAGAGAGGAATTTTTTCTGCATAACTGCTGGGTGACTTTGGGACAATCCCTTTCTCTCAGCCAAACTCTCCTCACGGGGTTTTGGTTGTGGGTAAAATAGGAGGAAGAGTATTAGGTATCTCTAGTGCCTTGAATTGTTTATAAAAACAATAAAGGCGGGATGAAAATAAACCAGTAAAAATAACTTTACAGCCAACAGAATTTTATTGTTTTATACCTGCTTGTACAAATGCCGTTTGCCAGATTTTTGTATGTTTCCTGTTTATTTTGCTGTAGTATAACACATTAAAAAGCTTTGTGTTTCTTTCTAGGCCCGCTAATAAATGGGATGTTGCAGCTGTCCAGTACTTCCAAAACCTCCTGAATGGTAATGAAAAACTAGAATAGCCTCTTGTATAATTTCAGTTATATGACAAGTCTGTTTTTTAAAATTGTCATGAAATAATGGACCTAAGAGACTTGTATTTGTAAATTGAGAATTGTATAGAATTCAACTTAGCAGCAACGCACATTCCTCTTTTTAAATGTGAGCAAGCCAATGTCCCAAAGGTGCTTTTTTCAAGAGGCAACTGAACTTTCTGGTTTTTCTTTGAAGATGTTTCGCTTCTGATCCAAGAAGCTTCTTTTTTTTTTTATTTAAAAAGTTTTACAAATACATTTTCTCCCCAGTTTCCCCCCACAAACCCTCCCTAACCCTCCCCTCCCCCCATGACTTCCTCAACATATAATCCAAATCAAAATCACATTTTATAAAACTTGAACCCCTCCACCCCCTGTATATTATTCAAATCTTCATAAAATTCAATTATTCTATCCCTACATAATACATTCATTCAGCTAAAAGCTATCTGATATTTCCTAGTTTGATATTTGTTCTGCACATAGTCTATCCACTTTTTCCACTCCCATACATAAGTCTCTTGAGTCCGATCTTTTAGATATGCTGAAATCTTCGCCATCTCTGCAAAGCTGGCCATCTTCAAAGTCCATTCTTGAATAGTGGGCATAGCTTCATTTTTCCAATATTGACCTATCAATAATCTCACTGCTGTTACCATATACAATATCAGCTTTGTTTCACCCAATGTAAAACCCTTAACTATACCCAATAAAAACAATTGTGGAGAAAACTGAAGTTTTTTCTTCAAAACATTTTGCATAACCCACCAAATTTTTATCCAAAAAGCCTTCACTTTCTTACAAGTCCACCACATATGGTAATATGTGGCATCTAAGCAATCACATCTCCAGCATTTTGGTTGAACATTAGGATACATACACAATAATTTCTTAGGATCTAAATGCCATCTATAAACCAAGAAGCTTCTTCAGTTCTAAAGAGCTGAAGAAGCTTCTTGGATGGGAAGTGAAATGTCTTCAAAGAAAAACCAGAAAGTCTAGTGGCCTCTTGGGGGGGGAAAAGCACCTTTAGGACAACTGTGGCCTGGATGACTGAGAATCTCCATAGATAAGCAAGCAAATATACAGTTTGGATACAAATTAATACCTTGTAAACTCCCCCCACCCCTCCTCAGTGCCTATGACCTACAACCATTGTAAATACAGGTAGTGCTTGACTTACAGCAGTTCGTTTAGTAACTGTTCAAAGTTACAACGTCACTGATAAATGTGACTTACTGACCGTTTTTCACAGTTACGGCCTTTGCAGCGCCCCCATGATCATGTGATCCAAATGCAACTGCTTGGCAACTGATTCATATTTATAGCCTTTGCTGTGCCCCAAAGTCATGTGATCTCTTTCGGTGTCCTTCTGACAAGCAAAGTCAATGGGGAAGCCAGATTCACTTAACAACCGGGTTACTAATTTATCAGCTGCAGTGAATGATTTAATAACTGTGGCAAGAAAGGTCATAAAATGGGGCAAAATTTACTCAACACCAGAAATTTTGCCTCAATTGTGGTCATAAATCAAGGACTGCCTGTACATGCGGGTTGCCAAGTACCTGAAATACAATCGGTGACTCGGGAACGCCGTGACAGTCATAACTTCAAGAACCAGTCATAAGACACGTGTTTCAATGCCATCATAACTTCAAATGGTTGTTAATGAAAGATCGGTTGTAAGTCGAGAACTGCTTGTACTTTGGTCAATGTCCAATATAAAGAACTGATTTTTTTTTTTTAATTACTGCTGTGGTAATCTAATAAGCCTTGTTTTAATCATAGCAGCCACTCAAGTGGAGGCCAAGTTACATGCTGTTGAAGAGGATAATTTTGCTGTCTATCTTTATGTCACAATAAGTGGTGAAAAGGTAATATTTACAAATTGCATACAATCTTTTTAACTTGAGTGTTGGCTTGCTTGCAGAGGTGGGTTTCAGCAGGTTCTGACCAGTTCTGGAGAACCGGTAGTGGAAATTTTGAGTAGTTCAGAGAACCGGTAAAAATCACCTCTGACTGGCCCCGCCCCCATCTATTCTCTGCCTCCTGAGTCCCAGCTGATTGGGAGGAAATGGGGATTTTGGAGTGGGGAGGGAATGGAGATTTTACAGTATCCTTCCCCTGCCATGCCCATCAAGCCACGCCCACCAAGCCATGTCATGCCCACAGAACCGGTAGTAAAAAAATTTGAAATCCACCGCTGCTTGCTTACCATTTTATTCCTGTGCAGCAAAGTAGAAAACAATACTCTTCTATGCAGTGCTTATAGTCAGGTTTGCACAGCAGTATTCGAATAGAATTATATTAGTTATCATTGTTTTGTGAATTGAGATCTAAAAATCTGTTTCAAAGTTCTACATAGTTCTAAGTTCTACATAGAGACCCACAGTTGTTAAAACAATTAGAGGACATTTAATATAGTTTAGATTAATATTGCAGTGCCCTTTTCTGCTGCTCTTAATGTGATATTTCTATCTTGACAAAACTCCTTACATGCTAGAAATGCCTCGTTAACTACTTAACTATGTCATTTCTAATATATAACCATGAAAACCCTTGTGTATTTTAATTTATCCTCCTCTTTAATCTTCACATGCAAAACATTGCTTTTGTCACAGGTGTGTGTGAATGATGATCTTGTTGCAAAGAACTTTGCTTGCTATGAACTCGGTAAAACAAACCAGAAACCAGGTTCAGAAGGTGCCAAATCTCTTTCAGAGAAGAATCCTGTAATGTTGCTGTGGCCAACGTTACTGCGAGAATCTAAGGTTTCTGAGATGGGTGAGTATGAGAAATCGGTCCCTCAAGGAATAGGTCAGAGGCGATAGCAGCTGAGATGAAGCCTCTTCTGGAACACATAGGCAAAGGGGATAGGAAACTGACAAAGCAACACGGCAGCTAAAGACACCAGCACATTCCAGACATATCTTTCTCAAGGCTGTCACCCAGGGTTACCCACAGCGGCCGGAGGGGAGTGGTCTCTAAAACCCTCAAAATTGCTCCGTCTGCAAATGTGATTGATGACACACCCTGGGGGGAGTGGGGAAACAGGGTCATGATTAGGGTATCCGTTGGAACCCTGACACTGCCTGCGCACAAGAGCAGGATGGCCCAACTGCCAGGAATGAGCTAGCAGGCTATTCCAATGTTCTGTGGTTAGAAATCAGTAGCAGGGATGAAACTGGAGGTGTTGGAGGCACTAGCAGTGTGCCTTTCAGGGCTGAAGAAGCTGCAGAAAACCAGGTGAAGGTGGCTGATATCTTCCTGGCTGCAGCAATGTTTGGCTACGTAGTTGTTATAAAAATAATAATAACAAGACACAACAAGACAAATGACAGCTGCTTGGAATCGTCCCTATGTTTGTAGGCCTATACTAGAGTATCTGCCATGAATTATTCCCAATCAAAAAGAGAGGAAAAACGAAGGGGCATACTTTGGTTCATTGAACACTGAATTAAACCAATGTTTACGTCTAAACCAAAAAGAGTGTGCTATGTTCTATATTTTGTACTGTTTTTACCTGCAGTAGCCCACCCAGAGTCACTATATGAGATGGGTGTTTATATCTGGAACTGAACACACTCAAAAAACCGTAGAAATGGTGGTGGACTTTAGGAGAAACCCTCCCATACTACCACCAATACTAGACAACACAGTATCAACAGTAGAGACCTTCAAATTTCTAGGTTCTACCATATCTCAAGACCTAAAATGGACACCTAATATCAAAAACGTCATCAAAAAAGCACAACATTACTATTAATCTTCTCATCGTTCCTATCACCCATCTCCTCCCACTTATGACTGTAACCTTGTTGCTGGTATCTTTACGATTTATATTGACTGTTTCCTAATACGATTTGATTGCTTATTTGTGCCCTATGACTATCATTAAGTGTTGTACCTTATGATTCTTGACGACTGTATCTTTTCTTTTATGTACACTGAGAGCGTATGCACCAAGACAAATTCCTTGTGTGTCCAATCACACTTGGCCAATTCTATTCTATTCTATTCTATAAATGAAAATTGTACTTTTAATTTTATTTTTTATTATTTTATTTCCAGGACATGGCCTTCAGAAGATTTAGTAAAAAGTCACTTGTACTTTTCTTTTAGGTGCTGCTCCTATTTGTGATAATCCTGACAAAGCAGAGTTTACACATTTCTCAGAAACTAATTTACATAAAACAAAACAGCCTGTAAGTACTAAATACATCCTTTTTTTCTTCTTGGTTTTCAAATTTCAAGCATTGCTGAACTGTTAAAACATCCAAAACCTGGAGAAAAGGTCCATTCAATTTTTGAATGGTTTATTCTAAATAAACATGTACAGATTATGCAGAAGATGATAGCACATATCTAGTATTTAGCTGCTTTAAGAAATACGATACCAAGTATCTTGCTTTTTATTCTGTAGTGAAATGCATTCAGTTAACAAACATAGACATGACCCTTTTTGTAGAGTCCTGAATAAAAATGTGAGATCCTTTATTTGCCTGCTTAGGATATAGTGGTGCCTGTTTCACCTTTGAAGCAAGGAATAACTTTTTCTGTACCAACAGACATGCAAACAGTCAGGTATATTTTAAATTTTTGTATTTCGTTTCTGTTTCATTTACTGGTAAGATACTATTTTCTTTTTTTTAAAAAAACATAGAAAATAGTTGATCGAAATTATAGAGCAAAATTAATGTTTAAATTTAACTAATTTAAATTTAAACCAATTTAAATTGACTTCTTATTCATTGACTTCTAACAAGAGACTGAGGGATGTTTTAAAATATCAATATTATCCATGCTTTTGTTCAACAGAATATTGATCAAATTCATCTTAATAGCTCACTTCTTATGTATCTTACTTCCAGTTCTGGGCTGGGCAATTAATTTTCCCAAGGTGCCACATGAGTAACCGGGGCTTTTGTGGAGGGTACACTCGCCCACAAGGCCATGCTTCAACTGAGGTGGTGGTGGGTGGCTGAGGCCATATCCCCTTACACAGTGACTGCTACTGCCACCTCCTGAGTGTTCTGACCTAGGCTTCCTTAGAAAGTATACAGCACAATCTTAGTCCTGGCAAACCTCTTTAAATTCATACAGCTGTGAATTATTGTCATTCCCAGAAAGGCTTCTCAAAAAGTCTTTCAGGGGAGTGTTTACAAACACTCACTTATCTCTCTTGGAATGCTGCCAGAGAACTAATTGCCACACGCAGGGCAAGGCCAAACTTAGCACAGAGTCAAAACAGAACTTTTCCAGAGCTTTTACCGACCAGATGAACTAAATTGCTTCCTGTAAAAGCTCACATCCCGTTCGCTTCTCTTTTATGTCTTATGGGAGGGGCCAATCATCTCCAAGCCTTACTCCCAAGTCGACCCTGTTTTCTTAATTGTTCCTGCCTTCTGGCAGCTCTGGGCATGCGCACGCTGGGAACAGGCTCCCACTGTTCTTCTGCCTCGCTGATGTCAGACTCTGGAGGCTCCGGAGGCAGCAAATAACTGTCAGATGGCCTTGGCCCCCTCTCTTTCTCCAACTCGGAGCCCTCATCCAACTCTTTCCCCAGACTCCAGGACTGGCCCACATTCCTCCCCAACCTCCTCACTGTTCGATCTGCTGTCAGCTCTGCTGGCTGCTGGCAGGCCACAACACTGAGACTGCTCCAGGATTTGGTTTATAATTTACAATTTCCCTCACACAGTCCAGGCAGCCAATGGCCAGATGTAGGCCAGCAGCCGTAAAATACCCAGGTCTGTTTCTACTTGCATTTTTCATACTTAGCTGGGATACACACACACACACACACACACACACACACACACCCTGTGAGTAGAGGACACATTCCCATTTCTCCCCATGCTGTTTTTCAGGGAGAATAAGAATCTCAGAATTTAGAAAGATTCCTGATTCTTGTGTGCAATCTCTCACCCATTATGTTTACCGATATTGCTAAGATTTTTCTGAAAACAGTTGTGCTTCATTTTAGCAACTTGCCTAAGACAAGTACCAAAATCCAGGAAGGGGAGAATGATCTCCAGGAGAACAACCTTGGGGTGAAGTAAGCTTTTTCTCATCATGACAGCCAATATTTATAAAGTCCAAGCAATTAATATGCTTTATAAAAAAAAAAAAACAGGCAGGTGCATTTACACCTCTTCCTTGAAATAGGTCTGATTCTGTGTGTTTCAGGAAAGGACACTGCTGGTACTGCATCTCTTTCAAAAATGAAGGTGGCTTGTTATTATAAACTTGGAGTCTCAAATTTGAGCTGGCTTTAATATTTAGCTAAAATGTGTGATTGCCAGCAATTCTTGATTGTTCCCACAACAGCACAATCTTGACCACGATGTTACAACATGCTTCAAAAAAATTTGAGCTCCCTGAATTTCAGAAAAGCAATATCTTGTACTCCACTATGCTTGGGAAAAGGTAGCCCTTTTTCTCTGAATTATTACTTGGAGCAGCTCAGAAAACAACCAAAAGGCATTTAATTGCTTCGTGAGCCTTTCCAAAATCAAAGTGAGGTGGTGAATTTTATCCAGGAAAAGAGTGGAAAGCTTACCAGTTAAAAAAAGATAAACATTCTTGTTAATGGGGAGTTGATCAATACCTTTGTTAATTATATTTTTCAGATATTAAACTACTGGGAAAAGTATGTACTGAACTGGAGCATTGGGGTTTATTTATTTATTTATTTGTTCAACTTGTATGCTGCCTTTCTCCAAAGACTCAAGGCAGCTCCTCAAGCTCCTTAATCCTCAAGCCGTGGGGTGATCTATGTCCTGTTTATTTCAAACAACGTACATTGTTGCTAAACAACAGTTCAGTTCCTACCATGATGGAGTAAAACTTTTTAATATAAGGAATTAAATGTGGTAAACAAAAAAAGTTACATTGTCAGAGGACTGGATGTGTTTTAATAGCTGAATAAATCTCTTTATAACATCTATCATTACTTTAAAAGAAACATTCTAATTTGGGATTTGGATTGCTGAGATTTAGGGCCAAAATTGGTTAAGTAAATGAACCAAGAAATGTTAATCCTTCAGCCAAAGCTGCAGGAAGTTGTATATTTGGCCCTCAACTCTTTGTAAAACTTAGGGAAAAGCAAAGGCTGGATGAATGAACTTTTAACGGATACTTGAAAAGTCAACTTGTGTGTTTTTAGGCTTCTACAGTTTTTAAACCCTGATCCTCTGAAAATTGCCACCGGACAAGAAACTGAGGTAATACAAGAAGCAAGTAGATTAACTTTTAATGTTTTAATTTATGTGAACTTTTTTTCTGAAATGAGAAATGTTTTAATGAAGGCATCAGAAACTGAAGCTTCAGATTTACACATTCTTAGAAGTTTCTTAGATGTTGCAGGATCCAATTATCTTGGGACATGTATATTTGCCTTCATTTCTTGGGTGTTTTTGTTTATTTGGTAAAGGTAGAAAACATTGTTTCAGGTTGAACACTAAAACAGTTGTACATGGCCTTTTAGCCTTTCATTGGTTTATTTTTAGGAGCTTAAGATGAATATCACTACATGTCTTCCTGTTGTGCTGAGTAATAAAATTGATCCATGTTCATCTCTTGAAACCGCACCACTGTTTCCAGCTTTAAAAAAGGTAGTATTTACAACGTTTAATAGGATATAATTTACTATATTGCAGAAAAGCACATGGTGATGCCTTGGGGTCATACCTTGATCAAATTCCTTAAAGAGCAATGACTACGTTGCTCTGAACAAAAGCATTCTAATAATCATTCTTGGTTGTGTGTTTGTTTTTTTTGCAACGTTCAGCATAGTGGTATTAGTAATTAACAACAATTAATAGCCAATGCTTCTGGGGTTACCAGAGCTGTCCCAGGTTCGTTTACATAAATTCTTTCCATTTTTGTGGTGGCATACCAGAAAAGGGGAAAGGGGCATTCTATAGTTTTATTTAGCAACAGCTTAATCTTGATTCTTTCAATAGTAGAGTCCTTCAAATTTTGGGGTTCTATAATCTCCCAGGATTTGAAATGGACACCAGATTTAGAACCATCATTAAAAAGGCACAACAAAGAATGATCTTCCTATGTCGATTTAGGAAGTTCAGACTGCCCAAGGAGCTGTTGGCGCAGTCCTGAAGAGGAATTATTGAGTCTATCATCTATACTTCAAGAACTGTCTGGTTTGGTACAGCAGCCAAACAGGATAAGTACAGACTGCAAAAAAAATTGCAACAAGACAGTGGTGAAATGTTAAATTGCAGGCCAAAACAACTAGACACAGGGACAGTTTTTTCCCTCGTGCCGTGACTGCTGAACACCTAATCCTCATGATATTGTTCTACGTCTAAGTATGTTTACCAATGTTTTATGACTACTAGTAGTATCCTTCTCATCTTCTCTACTATCCCCTCTTATATAATCATTATTATGATTGTTATTACTCCGTTGCTTTTCAAGTACATTGAGAGCTGCTGCACTGGAGAAAATTTCCTGTATGCCTAATTACACTTGGTTAAATAAAGTGTCCTATTCTGTTCTGTTTCTTGCAAGCAAAGTCTAACTCTAACCAAATATTCTGTGTTTCTTTTCTGAAAGGAGCTTTTAAGAAAGCAATTCCAAGGACCTAATCATGTACAGTCTTATTGCTGGCCTGCAATAGCACGTGGATATGATTCGCTTATTATCTCTTCTGAAAGTAACCCACTTTCATATCTTCTGCCAATCATTACATTTTTGCAGTCAAGAAATTGCTACATATCGTTATCCGCTAGACATGGTGTAAGTGGAATATTCAATTACTGCTTCACAATTGCCTTAACTACTGACAAGTACTTAAAACGGGCTACAGTTAGGTTATTGTTCCTAGTTCTGTTGCATTTTTGAACATGTGTGTGTGTGTTTTTTTTTTTAAATGAAATTCTTCACATAGAAGGAAAAATGATTTTGGAAAGATGCCAGTGATTTAAAGATAGCAATAATTTTAAAAAAAATATGCAGTGGTACTCTAACTCATTGTAAAATGTTTGGGTTTCTGCACAAGTTTGTATTGTTTGTAATGGCTAATCAACTTACTTTTTTAAGAAGTATGATCTACGTATTTCTGATTCATCTCTGTATAATGTTTTGTATATGTAGCCAGTAGCATTAATCATATGCCCTGGCCAGAAGAAAGCAGAACTGGTATTTGAACTCCTGAAAATGTACAGCCATTGCTCCAGGCCTCTCCACCCAATGTTGCTTTTCCTGGGAATGAATAAGGAAGAAATCAAGAGTGTAAGAATTCCAAGAGGATGTAAGCAAAACTTGATTAATTGTATTGCCCACGGGAAGGAATGAGCAGATAAAGTCATGTCAAAAATAGAAAGGCAATCCTAAGCATGAGGCGTAGAATTTTAGAATAACGCTGCTGCCTCTTAAAAAGTTTTAACAGTTTATCTACAGGCAGTCCTCAACTTACAACAGTTTATTGAGTGACCATTCAAAGTTACGATGTCACTGAATAAAGTGACTTATGACCGTTTTTCATGCTTACGACCACTGTAGCATCCCCATGGTCACGTGATCAGAATGTGTATGTTTGGCATATTTCATATTTATGACAAGTGCAGCGTCCCTTGGTCATGTGATTCCCCTTTTGCGACCTGACAAACAAAGTCAATGGGGAAGTCAGATTCGCTTAACAACTGTGTTACTAATTTAACATCCTCCGGGGATTCACTTAACTGTGGCAAGAAAGGTAAAAAAAATTAGGCAAAACTCGCTCAACAACTGTCTTGCTTAGCAACAGAAACTTTGGGCTCCATTGTGGTAAGTTGAAGATTACCTGTATCGATAGCCAAAACAAATGAAGCTTTCTTCATTTCAGGTAATGAGGTTTCTAAAAGACATAACTATAAGCCATAAAGCATAACAAATTACCTCAAATTGCCCATTTTCTCCAGGCTAGAGTGCCTTTCAGAGGTACCAGTTAGTGACAGTGTATTTGAGCCATTGAGTTAATAATGTTTTATTTTCACTTTTGAACCCAATGAGCTCGTACCAGTGACGCGTTCCTTTTCATTTGACAGGTGAAATCGTGGTAACAACCCCACCTAGCTTTTTGCGGCTGCTTGAGCATCATAGTTTACTCTTCCTTAGGTTGTGTCATCTGGTGTTTGATGAGGTTGATGTATTGTTCTCTGATGCCAAGGAGCAGGTGAGTTTGGGCTTGAAAGCACTTTTTGGCCTCCGATGAAGGAAAAATAGCAATTTACAGCCATCACTAAGCAGTTTACAGAGTCAGCATCTTGCCCCCAACAATCTGGGTCCTCATTTTACCCACCTCAGAAGGATGCAAGGCTGAATCAACCTTGAGCCCCATCAAGATCTAACTTCTGGCAGTGAGCAGAGTTAGCCTGCAATAGAAATAGCACTTAGACTTATATACCGCTTTACAGTGCTTTACAGCCCCCTCTAAGCGATTTACAGAGTCAGCATATTGCCCCCAACAATCTGGGTCCTCATTTTACCCACCTCGGAAGGATGGAAGGCTGAGTCAACCTTGAGCCTGGTGAGGTTTGAACTGCTGGCAGCCGGCAGTCAGCAGAAGTAGTCTGCAGAACTGCACTCTAACCACTGTGCCACCACAGCTCTTAAGTGGAAAAAAAGATTTCCCCCCCTCTGCCCCCCCCTCCCCAAAATCAGCTATGCTTTTATTTTACTCCCTATAAATAAAACATTTCATTGAGGCGCAGAGAGCTTGAAATTGATGCAATGGAATGGAAAGAAAAACAGAACAAGTATGGATCTAACAATACATAAACCCAAATCCTAATTCACTTCAAAGGAGCAGCTAGTAAGAAGTTGTTTTTTTGTCCCGTCATTTCCATTCGTAATCTCCTGTATAGCTATCCTTTGTTGGAAAGCAGAAGATAACAAAGCTTTAATCCCTGTTTACAGTTACTTGCTATTTTGCAATACTACAAATTTAACTTGAGCGTTGAAGAAAAGGAGTTTGCACCTCAGCAGATTGTTGCTGTTGGAAACCACTGGGACAAAAACGTAGACGTTTTAACAAAAGAATTCATGAATGATCCATATATTATAATCACCTCCATGGAAGAAGCTGCCATATATGGGAAAGTGCAACAGGTAAAAGATTTTTTTTATATCTTTTTTATGTCTATATAATAGTGGGTTTTGATTTGGGGAATGCACCAAAGGCAGCTGTTGAGATGGCATAAAAAGTAGGTAAAAGTATAAAAATTAAATCATAAAAATTATCAAATTTCTGTGCTGCTCGGTTCATGGCATATAAGAGTATCCAGGTGGGAAAAGTTTCCTTTGTGGAAAAAAATGTGTTACGGCATCTCTAAAATTCAATACAGGTAGTCCTTGACTTACAACAGTTCATTTAGTGACCATTCAAAGTTTCAACAGCACTGAAAACTGATTTATGACCGTTTTTCACACTTCTGACTGTTGCAGCATCCCCAAGATCATGTGATCAAAATTCAGATGCTTGGCAACTGGTTCATATTTATGACGAATGCCATATCCTGGGGTCATACGATCCCCTTTTGCATCCTGACAATCGAAGTCAACAGGGAAGCCAAATTCATTTCAGAACCGTGTTCCTAACTTAACAACTGCAGTGATTCACTTAAGAACCGTGAAAAGAAAAATCAAGAAATGGGGCAAAATTCACTTAACAAATGTTTCACTTACCAATAGAAATTGTAGGCTCGTAAGTCAAGGACTTACCTCTCTTGTCCCCTCGGAACAAAGGATCAAACTTGAGTGTCGGCTGAACCATTCGGGATTTCTATCTTTTGGTTCTTGACTGTGTATAAAAAAAAAATAAATTATTGTGGATTTCTGCCTAAGGAAATAATCATGATGGGGTTAGGTTTGCATTACCAAATCACTTGGCTCAAAGGCTTTTTTAAAATGAGGAAAGATTTCCATTCTGACACACTTGAATAATGTGTAATTTCAGGTTGTGCAGCTCTGCCTTGAATGTGACCGGATCTCTACTTTACTTCAGACATTAGATTTTACCCCTACAGATGCTCAAAAGACTCTGATTTTTACAAGTTCTGTGGAAGAAAGAGACATGGTATACAAGGTATCTCCTTCCCTAAAAATTGCCAAGGTTGGATACAGAGGTGGGTTTCAGCAGGTTCTGACGAGTTCTGGAGAACCGGTAGCAGAAAGTTTGAGTAGTTCGGAGAACCGGTAGTAAAAATTCTGACTGGCCCTGCCCCCATCTATTCTCTGCCTCCCAAGTCCCAGCTGATCGGGAGGAGATGGGGATTTTGCAGTAACCTTCCCCTGGATTGGGGAGGGAATGGAGATTTTACAGTATCCTTCCCTTGCCATGCCCACCAAGCCATGCCACGTCCACAGAACCGGTAGTAAAAAAAAAATTGAAATTTGAAACCCACCACTTGTTGGATGCCCCCGTTTTAGACCCTGCATTTAAACAAAACTAAGAAAGGATGTTAGGCATGGTTTGTTCAGTGAGTTGTAACAGATAACTAAGCAATAACGGATGGGCTCCGACATCCTCCCCTGACCCAAATAAATGAATCTCATTATATGACTCAGTTATTTTCTGTCAGCTGAGCTTTTAACAGAAATTCTCTTTAATATTGAATATTATTTGACATGATTGCATCTTCATTTTTACGATCAGGCAGTAGAAAGCATTTCACTCTTTTGCTTGAAAATGAACCCGGGAATTGGATTTCAATCTGATTATATTGTAGAGCAGTGGAACAAAACCATCAGTCCTGGCACCCATGTTGTATTAGGTAAGTATCTTCCCTAGGCTCTTTCTCAAAAAAAAAAACAACAGTTGACTTTTTAGCTCCCTACTTATGGTTTAATTGACTAATTTATAAAGCCCTTTAGATTAAGATCAGTGTCAATTCGATTGTGATCAACTATAATGATTGTCTCGTTAAACCTTAGGGTAAGAGTTAATCATATAATGAAAAACAAGAAATGAATTAGTAAGAACAGTATTTATTCTTGATGCTTCTATTAATTAACCCATCTTGTCTACCTGTTCCTGGTGGTTATTTCCTGCCTATAAAGGACGTGGTTTGCCTTATTTGTAGCTTCCTCCCAAGTAACTAATTAGTAGTCTGAAAGCGATATACGGGAACACTCCTATAATTTAAGAATCAGGAGATGAGATGAATGCTTATGTTAGAACTAAACTTACAGAATCCTGTAGGGTTTGTGCTAATTATAAAGTGACCTAGACATATCTAGAAATAAAGATTTCCTTTCGAGTTTTTGACAGCATGTAAAAAAGAGACTTTTGCATGATGGATCTCCTGTTTTTTGCTTCCAGTTTTAACAGACGACTGCACGGCAGCTGTAAAATTTACAGACGCAACCCGTGTCATTCATTTCAGCTTTCCACCAACTCCAAGAATCTTTGGTGCCCGCCTACATGGCTTGTCTGCCAACTTCCAGAATTCAGTAGAAAAGGTCTGAGTAAAATCCTAAGAATTGCTTGTCAGCATGAAATACAGTTCTGCCATTTCAAGTAGAAAAGTTCTCACTGGGTCTTTCCCTCTTTTCTCTCTAATACACACTTCAGTAGCCATTGAGCCTCTGTTCTACCAATAATTCTACTTATTAATTTTTTTAAAAAAGATTTTTAACTTATGCCTGGAATTTTCTGTCCAACCCGCAATGTTGGTACTTACGAGACCGCCTTCTGCCACCAATAGCCTCTCACCGCCCAGTACGCTCCCATAGAGAGGGGCTTCTCAGGGTGCCGTCAGCCAAACAGTGTCGACTGGCGGCCCCCAGCGGGAGAGCCTTTTCTGTGAGGGCACCCACCATCTGGAATGACCTACCCCCAGAGATACAGAAGATCCTGGATCTGCGCACTTTCCGCCGTGCCCTCAAAACATTCCTGCAGGCCGGCCTGGCCTAACTTTTCCCTTTATATTGCTTTTGATTTTAATGTTTTAAACTGGGATGTCTTGAATTATCTAGGACCAGAGTGTTTAGTATATTTTAATTGGTTTTTTAATATTTGTATTACATGTATTTTTATCTTGCGCTGTTCACTGCCCTGAGTCCCTCGGGAATAGGGCGGTATATAAATTAAATAAATGAATGAATGAATAAATGAATGAATGAATGTAATGCTCTCTTCTTCTGTTCTTCCGACATTTTTCTCCCTTCCGTGCAAAGAGTCCATCGCTGGGAAAAGAACAGAGCAAAGCCAAATCCATCTTGCTGTTGACAGAGAAAAACGCCTGCCATGCAGTTGGAGTGTTGCATTATTTGAAACGGGCAGAAGCTTTCATCCCCCCTGACTTGTACAACTTTACCAGGGGAGTGTTGGAAGCCAAAGAGGAAAAGAGAAGCAGGCAGCCGTTGTGTTCTTCCATTAAGGCCTATGGAACATGCAAGTAAGGAAATGCCAAGGCCATTATGTCTATGGAGATTCTCGGTCAGGCTTGTCCCAAAGGTCCTTTTTTGAAAGGCAACTGGTGTCAGGGTTCCAAGTAATTCGTAGGCTTGAGTTTCCTCAAAGTTCCACTTTATTACAGATGTCATATTGGCACATCTGGGAAAACCCAAATCTAAAAGTTTCCAGGTTTTCTCCACCCAAAGAAAAGTTCAAGTCCCTGCCCAACCCCCACATGTCCATTACATGGTCCAGTCCAAGCAACATCCCAACTGGAGATGCCTCCCAGTTCCATCCGTCCAGGCGCAGGGCAAGATGTCCTTGACTTTCTGAGAAAGGAATGTTATTTTGACTATATATCATCCTAACTCCATACGATCCCCCCTCCCAGTTTCCCACAGCAGTAAATGTGGAAGATCCAACGAAAAAGATGACTTCCAGGCCTGACAACTGGACTTTGTTTCTCCTTGAAGACGTTTAGCTTCTCACCCAAGAAGCTTCTTTCTTCAGTTCAGCTGAAGAAGCTTCCTGCATGAGAAGCGAAACGTCTTCAAGGAAAGACAAAGTCCAGTTGCCTTTCGAAAAAGCACCTTTAGGCCAAGGCCATTAGTCTCAGCAGTCGTTTACATTGTTCTCCTGCTATAACGGGATAACTTAGCAAGACACACAGCCAGTAATCTGATGGCAGCAGTTTGTAAGAATTGTTCTGGCTGCTGTCCACATTATATTATCCTTTGATAAGGTGAAACACCTGATCCATTCAAGTAACAGAGGAAGGAAGTATAAAATTTGGCTTTTTATCAAAACAACTTGTTAAGGAATGGAGAAGAGCAGCATCAAATCATGGATTTGTCGCAGCAACTTCTGATCTTTCGCATTGGCCAAGGCTCTGTGCAAAACATGTGTTGAATCACTGCGAAGGAGTCTTTTTGCTTGATTCCTTTAGTGAATTGTTCACAGGGACACCCTCCGTGGCTCTCATTTGGGATTCACAGAACCTTTGATTTATTCACCATAGCAATCTGTGGTGCTCCAGTGACACGTTTGCAAGTGATTGTTTTGTGGACGTTTCTGCTCCTATGTTCTCCATGCAAGCAGAAATTGGGTAGATTCCTTTTCGGTAACTGCTTGCTTTATTCTGTGGTTCCAAAACGGTGCAATATTTCGGAAATTGCTACCCTAATATTCTTTCATTATTTTAATTCTGTCTCCTTATGATCGTGCAGAAATAAAAAACGCTGTCCCGATCGCCATCGCATTAACCTTCAAACTGATGTGCCCTCAAAAGTAACTGACGAAGTTCTGCAAACAGGTGGAATTATAACAGTGAGTCTGTAAAACACCTTCTGTTTCTAAATATTTAAAATAACCTTGTGGATCAGAACAGGAAGCTTGTTCCAAACTTTCTCACAGAAAACACTTTTCCTCCTGGGTCGTCTTGATCCCACACTGCCTCGCTCTACACCTGGATGTCACCCCCACCTGCACCATGCCTTACATTATTTTAGAAGATGAATAGAATAGAATTCTTTATTGGCCAGGTGTGATTGGACACACAAGGAATTTGTCTTGGTGCATACTTTCTCGGTATACATAAAAAGACAAGATACATCGTCAAGAATCATAAGGTACAACACTTAATGATAGTCATAGGGAAACAGTCAATATAAATCTTAAGGATACCAACAACAAGGTTACAGTCATAAGTGGGAGGAGATGGGTGATAGGAACGATGAGAAGATTAATAGTAATGCAGATTTAGTAACTAGTTTGACAGTGTTGAGGGAATTATTTGTTTAGCAGAGTGATGGCGTTCGGGGAAAAACTGTTCTTGTATCTAGTTGTTCTGGTGTGCAGTGCTCTATAGCATCGTTTTGAGGGTAGGAGTTGAAACGGTTTATGTCCAGGATCTTGCAGAATTGCTTCGGTTTCCTATTCTTTGGGTGCTAGCTCCCGCCGCCCCCCCCCCAAAAAAAAGCCTTGTACAAGAAAGAGAATGGAATGAAAACAGTTAAAACAGATGCATTTTAATAGACATTTATGGTAAATATAATTGTTGATAGAAATCTTCCTCTGTTGACTTCCAGGAAATTTTTACTTACGTTTTGTATTTTCAGATACTGCCTCTTTTTATTGTGGATGCCACAAACTACTTAGGCCGTGTGGTCGGGAAATGGGGTAATCCCTATGCAGCTCTTGAAACAGAGCTAAAGGATTATTATCAGGAATCTAATAATTGTACCCCAGTTGACAAGGTGAAGAAGTTGGCAGTGTATGGACTGCGGGAAGAGAATTCTTTCCACAGGTAGGATACTTGGGGCATTGTAGAAATAAATAAATTTAGCCGTCACTAAGCAATGCAGTCATAAAGCACAATGTCAAAGGACCACACCACGTGGCAACAGCACTCCCAGCTGCAATCATAACTTCAAAATGTGATGAGTGTTAAGGGGTGCAGGAGTCCCAGTTAAGTACTGCACGGTGAAGGTGGGGTGCCACAGGCTGCGGGAAGCCAGAGCAGAACTGATGTAGCTGCAGGAAGATGGGTAGAGGCTGCAGAGAGAAAGCTGGAGCAACTTACCAGAGCAATTTGCACATTTCCCTTCCAGCTTCCCCATAGACTTTGCTTGTGGGAAGATGGCAGGGAAAGTTACAAATGTGATCATGTGACCGCAGCTCCCTGCAATGTCACAATTGCGAGCAGAGCACCCAGATTCCAATCCTAGCGGTGGTGCAATGGCTGGAACTTCAACGACCAAGTGTACCTCTATTTTTTTTTTTTTTTTAAAGCATTTCTACAATTTCCACAACGGTCACTAAATGAATGGACACAATCAGAGGATTCTCTGTGTAATGACTGGTAGAGTGATGGTCTAAATTAGAAACAGAAGCGGACAATGCTCTTGGTCTGTCGTGGGGTCTCTCTTTTGCCTAATTTTATTACTACTAGGGTAATGAAGGGACCAGAGATGGGATTCAGCCGGTTCTGGCGAACCGTTTGTGGCGATTGCGGTACCCACCTGGACGTAATGATGTCCTGTTTTGCCACGATTTTGAGGCCCGGCGCATGAATGGAAGGCGCGAGCACAGAGTATGTGCGGAAGGCTGAGCATGCGCTGAGGGTGGCGCATGTGAGTCTAGCGAGCGCACACACACGCTCACATTTGCAAACCGGTAGGGAAGGTAAGTAATCCCACCTCTGGAAGGGACCCTATGCAGGATAGCCAACCTCTTGGTGGGCTATAGGAAATTTTCACCCTAACCTGCCTGGGAAAGCCAAGGGAAATCATCAAAACCATAAAGAAGCGAAAGTTAGAATATTTTGGACACGTGATGCGACACCCAGAAAAATACAGCATCCTTCACTTAATCCTCCAAGGAAAGATTGAAGGCAAAGGAGGTCCAGGCAGAAGAAAACCATCATCATGGCTTCAAAATCTAAGGGATTGATTTGGACAAAACTCAACAGCACTTTTTTCATGCGGCTGTTGATAAAAATAGGATCGCCAGCATGATCTCCAACGTCCGATGACGGACGTGGCACAAGAAGAAGAAAGTTATCTCCCCAAACAGGATTGTTTGAGCAGCAGAATCTTAAGGGACCAAAGATGATCGCAGGTTGTTAAGCATAGGGAATATGAACTGAATGCACAGTTCATTTGTTGCACTGATTTACACACTCTGGTAGGTTGTACACGTAGATAAAAAGGCCAATTTGTATATTGTTAATAGCTGGAATTTCCTGGTGTCCTTTCCCTGCGTTCTCTTAAAGGGTCCAAGTGCTAGACGTGGAACCAAAAGAAGATTCCGGTGCGTTTTACAACGTCCACATCAAGTACATAGACGAAGGCAGAACTGGCTTTGTCCAAAATCATCACTTGCTTAGTTTACCAGAACAGTTTCAAACGTTGCCTCCGCAGGCTGTGGAATTCATAATTTGTAGGGTTAAACCCATTGATAATGAAGCAGAATGGCATCCAAAAGTAAGTTCCCAAAATTTGGAGTTGATTTGGTTTAGTTTTTGGTCTTTGCAAACAGCGAGTATTTTTTCTTCTTCTTAATAATCCCAAATATAATTTTTTTCAACTGTTTTGATGAACTATCACACTAAATAGTGCCTAATGCCTGATTTTAAACAAGAAACAACCCATTTGGGGTCCCCCCCCCGGTTTTAATTTTAATTCTTTCATTGTGCCAAACAATGACTGGGATACACTGAATCCTTAGGAGTTAATTAATATATTTAATAGGCACCTGTTCGTATAATTGCTTGCCCTATGGCTACACCCCACTACTTCAGTAAGCTTCTATTAAAAAGAATGCTATAGTCATTGAAAAGGAACATTGTCTCTTTTCTGAAGATTGTCTTTGTTTTTTGTTAGGTATCTAGATACATTAATGACAAAATCAGAGGGAAACCACACGAAGCAAAAATAGCACTTGTCCTGGGAAATACAATTTGGGTAGATCCGGTGGTACGTAATGCACAATTCAACTGTTCCTTATTTCCTTTCTTTGAAAATGCAGGTACTCTTCGAGTTATGACCACAATTGAGCCCCCAAATTTACGTTGTTAAGTGAAACATTCATTAACCTGAATTTTGCCCCCATTTTACGACTTTTCTTGCCACGTTTGTTAATTGCCGTTGTCACTTTTTTCCAGTGCCGTTGTAACTTTGTACGGTCGCTAAATGAACTGTTGTAAGTCGAGGACTGCCTGCAATAGATGTAGTCCTCGACTTATGACCACAGTTGGGGCCAGAACTTGCATTGCTAAGCAAAGCAAGCCACGCCTGATTTTACAACCTTTTTTTGGTGGCGCGCCACGTGGAAGTGAACCACTGCAGTTGTTGAGTGAATCACGTGGTTGTTAAGCAAATTCAGCTTCTCCCATCGACTTTGCTTGTCGGAAGACAGCTGGGAAGGTCATGCGACTCTGGAATGTTGTAAATATGGGCTGGTTTCCAAGCACACCCAAATTTCGATCCCATGACCATTGGGGGGGGGGATGCTGCAGTAATTATAAGTGCAAGGACTGGTTGTAAGTCACTTTTATCAGTGCTGCTGTAACTTCAAACATTCGCTTAATGAATGGTTGTAAGTCAGCTACCTGTTTTGAAAGTTTTCCCAGGTTTGAAATTAGAGTGAACAGGTAGTTTCTTCTGGGTAATAGATGTGATCAGTACCTTGTAGTTCTAATTTTCAACAAAATTTTGCTTTCTTTTTGTGTCGGGGTTTTGTTTTGTTTTTTTACATCTACTTGAAACTGAAATCTTAGAACCAAGAGAAGGACAATAAGATCTGGCTGGGTCTAGAAATGTCCAAAATTTAAAATGCAGTCTCGGTCGATGACCATCTTCTAAGAGAATGGATAAAATAATAAAAGGATGAGATTGTGGTCATAAGTAGGAGGAAGAATCAAGCAATCATTTGGAGCCACAAAGAATTAAGTCTGGGGGGAAAAAAGTCACTTGTCTTGTCATTTTAAATTCTAGATTCGAGTCACTAAACTTCAAGACCTGAAAACTTCAATCAACGAATATAATGTTCGCTCTGAAATCCTATCTACTGGATTGGGAGTAGACAATCCTGAGCATATACAGGAACTTGAGAAATTATTTAACGAGGCTGAAATACCCCATGAGAAAAAAGAGAAGCTTGCATTGTAAGATATATTTTATGGATAATTTACTGGCTGCGTGCACTGAAACTGGGGGATGGCTATTCAGAATGACGTTGAGAACATTCTGGTTAAAGAACTATATTGGTATATAGTTTCATACCCTATAACCGTGATGGCGAACCTATGGCACGCGTGCCAGAAGTGGCACACAGTGCCCTCTCTCTGGGCACGTGAGTCATCGCCTCAGCTCAGCTCCACCACACATGCGTGCATGCCTCCCGCCAGCCAGCTGGTCTACAGGTCTCTGCTATGCATTCGCGGGGGGCAAGGCCCGCATGTGTGTGGGGCACACACGCATTACATTTTGGGGGTTCGGGCGCGCGCTTTGGCCACTCGGTCCGGAAAAGATTATCCATCACTGCCCTATAATATTCTAATGGTTGTAGGAGGCAGGAAGAAGGATAAAATTCATGAGGTTAAGTTGGATATTTATAGCTCTGATGTATGTTGATCTGTCTTTGTTTCAGGAAATAAGTAGTCCCTTGAATGCATGGTTGACATTAGGTTACTCCAGACACAAAGGGGTAAGGATGTGGCACTCCCCCAGCTCTGCAAATACAGCCATGGGTTTCCTACCAGCCAGCCACCATTGGTGGCACACTCCTTGGCCTGGCATAATAACAAGCACAGTCCTTACATGAAGAAAACATCAAAAGACATTTTTTTGTATTAAGACATTAATAGGACAAGAACCCCGATAGCTTTAGAACTTTAGAAATGATAGCTTTAGACTTGAAAGCATCCTTTGTTTGTTCTTCTGTTTCAAAGACTTTAATTATTTACTCATATTAATAGGGAATCGTTTCATTAAAGTCTTTGCTTTGTAGTAGGGAATCATTTCATTAAAATCTCTTCTCCCCTGTGTTGCTCTTAGATTTTTCATGTCACTTCATAAAGCGAAGAGCAACATTTTTGAAACACGAATGAAAGTGTGGTGGGCCCAAAGTCAAGGGAGCAAATGCCTTTTGTGCATTTTCATGAGACCACCTAAGTGCTCATGGATGGAGGCTCCACCTTTCAATTTTCCTGCCAGAAAGCTTCAGTCCTGTCTACATCTTCCACAAAAATCTAAACCTTACTACCCACTTGTTTTAGTTGCGAAATCATGTCCGACCCATCACGACCCCATGGACAACGTTCCTCCAGGCCTTCCTGTCCTCTAGCATCCTCTGGAGTCCATTTAAGCTCACGCCGACTGCTTCAGTGACTCCATCCAGCCACCTCGTCCTCTGCGGTCCCCTTCTTCTCTTGCCCTCAATCGTTCCCAGCATTAGGCTCTTCTCCACTGAGTCCTTCCTTCTCATTAGGTGGGCAAAGTATTTGAGTTTCATCTTCAGGATCTGGCCTTCTAAACAGCAGTCAGGGTTGACCTCCTCTAGGACTGACCGGTTTGATCGCCTTGCAGTCCAAGGGACTCGCAGGAGTCTTCTCCAGCACCCTAGTTCAAAGGACTCAATTCTTTGGCCTTCTCAGCCTTTCTTATGGTCCAACTTTCATAGCCATCCATTGCAACTGGGAAAACCATCGCCTTGACTATACGCACTTTTGTTGGCAGGGTGATGTCTCTGCTTTTTAGTAAGCTATCTAGATTTTCCAAAGCTTTCCTCCCCACTAGAGGGTGGCAAAGAACCAAGAATAGAGCTCTTCCCGTTCCAACTGGGTAGAAAATGGCTTTCTAGCAAAGCATTTTTGTCCTATCAGATTCAGGGGTCTCCAACCTTGGCAACTTTAAGCCTGGAGCAAAGCTGGCTGGGGAATTCTGGGAGTTGAAGTCCTCTAGGCTTAAAGTTGCCAAGGTTGGAGCCCCCTGAGATAAAAGTGTCTCTCAATGTTTGTGCCTTCTTTTTAAAAAATAAAAAAGGCATTGTTAAAGAGTACAACTGACCAGCAGCTGGGAGAAAGGGTAAAAATGCTTCTATTAAAAAAAATGATATATGTGTTAGGATCTTTTTCCTTCCCAAATTTCAGAAAAGGAGGGCATGTAGTTCAGTCCTTTTTGCTGGGCAAAATGTCTCGATATATGATCAGTAGTGTGATCTTAAGAAACATTGCACGCACTGCCCTGAAATACTGGATAAAAGCCCAGCAACTGATAATATTAAATCCATGGCAAAATGAAGGGTTTCTGTATTTGCGCTAAGCAAGGCAGTGGTTAAGTGAGTTGGGCCTCAGGTTATGAAACTTAGCCACAATTCAGCGAATCGCTGTGTTGTTAAGTGAATCACACGGTCATTAAACGTATCTGGCTTCCCCCATTGACTTGGCTTGTCGAAAGACAGCTGGGAAGGTTACAAGTGGTGAGATCACATGACCCACAGGACAGTGCAATTCATAAATACATGCCAGTTGCCAAGCACCTGAGTTTGGATCACTTGACCATAGGGACGATGCAATGACCATAAGTGTAAAAACGGTCATAAGTCACTTTTTTTCAGTCCTGTTGTAACTTCGAAGGTCACTAAACAAGTTGAGAACTACCTGTATTCTAATGGCTTCATGCTTGTTTTGCCTGAAGGTTTCTCCTAAAACTGAAGCCAGGGAGGTTCAGGCCCTGGGAGATTCTTCTCAATTTTTTTAGTCTTGCTGGGTGACTATAATAGATCTCCCAGGAAAAGAAAGACATTTTAGTGTTTGTGTGTTTCCCTTTTATTCTTGTATGTTTTTATGAATAACTAAAGAAAACTACAGTGCATTTCGAATGGTTTGCCTCCTCGATGTCTCTGGAAAAACCTACACAAAGCAAAGGTTTTTGAAAGGACTGGTAGTATGTGGTTCAGTGGTGAAATCCAATTTTTTTTTACTACCGTTTCTGTGGGCATGGCTTGGTGAGCATGGCAGGGGAAGGATACCGCAAAACATCCACTCCCTCCCCACTCTGGGGCCAGCCAGAGGTGGTATTTGCCGGTTCTCCGAACTGCTCAAAATTTCCGCTACCGGTTCTCCAGAACCTGTTAGAACCTGCTGGATTTCACCCCTGATGTGGTTCCTTCTATAGCACAGTTGCTTCCCTGCCAGCAAATAATTGAAGTCAGACCACTTGAGAGCATCTCTCTTCAAATATTTTACTAGTTCATTGAAATACCAAAAAAAATTAAAATAGGGAGGGCGGGGGAATAAGAGAAGAAAAGAAAAAGAAAAGCACTGACTTCAAACTCCTTTTGGTGCATTAGAATAAAGTAGTAACCTAAAACCTCAACTTCCTACTTTTATGCTGGCCATTTCTATAACAACAAACCTATTTAATCTGCAAAATCCAAGGCCATGTGAGAGCGTCAAGGTTGCAGCGTTTTTCTCCTGTAGTTTGCAACAAAATAGAAGACAGGTGCTTCTTTGGCATTAGCAAAAAAAAAAATAAAAGGATCTGAGAATATTAAAATATATATTGTTTGAAGCTAAATCTGTTTTCTCTTAATAGAATTGCATAGAATTGAATTGAATTTTATTGGCCAAGTGTGATTGGACACACAAGGAATTTGTCTTGGTGCATACGCTCTTGGCTGAAAACTGCCAATTCAACATTTCGGCCACGAAATTCTCTCTCCATTTCAGACTTCATCCCCCCATGGATGGAAGAAATGCTGAACCCGTTGAGCAGAATGTCTCCGCTCCTGCAACTCTTAGCTCAGAGGCCACAGACAAACCGGCCCTGCCCGTTGTACAGAAATCGCAACACAGCCAAGATATCGTCCATGATGGTTATTCTGAAGTACCTTTAGAAAACCATTGCAGTAAGTACGATGTAAATAAACAGGTGGAATATAGTAAAAATCCATAGGAGGAATTTCATTCCTGAAAAACAGGAAAGGTACGAAGTGTCGTGTTTGAGCAGGAGGTTGGACTAGAAGACCTCCGCGGTCCCTTCTAACCCTAATGGTTTTACATTCTGTGAAAAAATTCTGATCCCTAATGGTAAGACTTAAAAGTATAGGCGCCTGAGTGGCGTAGGAGGCTAATGCCTCCTACTAAGGCAGCATTTAACATCCAGCTGCCTGCAATTACTGCGAGTTCAATTCTCATCAGGCTCAAGGTCGACTCAGCCTTCCATCCTTTCTAAGGTGGGTAAAATGAGGACCCGGTTTGTGGGGGCAATAAGCTGACTTTGTATAAAATATACAAAAGTATGAAGGCTATTGCTTAACGCCTTGTAAGCCGCCCTGAGTCTCCGGAGAAGGGCGGCATATAAAAATAAATTAAAATAAAATAAAATAAAATAAATAAAATATGCAAACTTTGCTTGTTTTTGCTTCATTATGATGTTTTTGAAATTTCTAAGTACCAAGCAAGGCCTAATGTGCCAATAAATTATTTTCTGAGAAATGTGGTTGGCTTTTCAGGCCTTGAATATGCCTCAGCAATATTAGTGCTGATGATTGCCGTTTGAAATATACTGAGATGAGGACTATTTTTGTTCTGTGAAACATCTTTACCTTGAAACAACCTTTCTAATTAATTAAGTGCAGTTGGAACATTGCGTTCAGTTTTACCCATTGAAATCTGGTAAAGGGAGATGCCACGCAAATTTAACTTGTTTTATTTCTTAATGTAGATGAAACGGTGCAAAGTAAGAACGACGAAGACGTTCCGCAGACTTCGCCTAAATGGTATCAACCTTTATTTGATGGGACTTATATACGTGCCTTAGTTCTTAGTTTTTCTTGCTCTCTCCTTGTCTATCCTGGGGTTCAAAGGGCTGCTTTTAAAAGGCTTCTGGAAGGTCTCCAACTGCGAAAGTTTTAAAACTTCTCAGAGAAAGTCCAAAGTTAGGATTGATTGAGCAGTGGGTGAAAAGTATCTGATTTGAGTGAGCCGAGGTAGCGCAGTGGTTAGAGTGCAGTACTGCAGCTACTTCAGCTGACTGCTAGTTCAGCAGATCAAATCTCACCGGCTCAAGGTTGACTCAGCCTTCCATCCTTCCGAGGTGGGTAAATTGAGGACCCAGATTGTTGGGGGCAATATGCTATTTAGTATACTGTCTTTGGTGTAAGCCGCCCAGAGTCCTCGGAGAGTGGGCGGCATAGAAATATGAATAATAAAAATAAATAAATAAAATTTGACATTTACCGTATTTTTCGGAGTATAATACGCACTTTTCACCCCCCTAAAAGAGGGTGGAGATGTTGGTGCGAATTATACACCGAATACAGCCATTATTGGCCTCCCGAAGTCCCACCCCACATGTCCTGTTTTCACAAAAAAATGGGCCTGTTTTTCACAAAAACGGGCGCACAGAGGGTTTGGGAGGCCTGCAGAGTGCTCCTCAGGGCTAGGGAGAGCAAAAACTTTTTATTTTTAATTTACCTCTTCAAAATCTTGGTGCGTCTTATACACCGGTGCGTCTTATAGTCCGAAAAATACGGTGAATCATGTACTCTTCGGACAACTACAAAATGCTTTTTGAAAAGGTGAGTCAGCATCACAGCAAAATTATTTCCAGAAAAAGTTATGGAAGAGTGAAAGGCAAGCAGGCACAGGCTGGCTGACACGCACACACAAACACAGCAAATTCCCCAAAAGTGATTTCCTTTTTTCTTTTCTTTTTTCCACTTTCATGCATTATGCATATTGTTTGCATAGTGCATATCGTTTCCTGTTTTTATATATCCACATGTGTATAGCGGTTTAACAAAGCTGTGTGGCTTTGGATTCAAATGTTTATTTTTCTACACATGGGATTTTTAAAAAAATTTTTTTTTTAATATTTTACTCTTCCAATTTCAATATGTAATTATTTTTTCCTTAAATGTTTTTGCCCTACTGGATGACACTATATCTTCTTTCGGGACGTATTTGTTTTTAGTTTTATTATGTGAAGTTTGAACATCTATCTCTGCAAAATGTAACTACATATCTAACTGGTAGAGTAAAGCAGTTCAACTATTGGATTGGGGTCATGGCCAAGATCTCAATCAATGAATAAATATTCAGCTTTTCAGTTGGATGCTTTGTTTTGCTGATTTGGGGGTGGGGGTGGGGCGGAATAGGCAAGCTTTATTTAGATGATTTCATGGAAGAGTAACAAACACAGCTCATAAGCTAAGTTACTTTATGAGAACTGCATCTAACTTCGTATACGAGCAGCGTTCATATTTGAAGACTCCACTTTAACCCACTGTTTTTTTAACGTTTCAGGCTCCATCCAGCAATAAAGTGGTTTGACAAGCAAGATGCTGTTGTTGTGAAGATAAAATTGCAAAATATTAGTAATTACGACTGCAGGATTTTTGAACAGAGGGTCACGTTCAGGTAGATTGATTTGTATACGCAAAATCTTTTTGACGCACGGATTTATTGCTTTCTGACAAACATGTATTTTAACATTTGTGCAGCGCTTCGGCAAACGGCAAATTTTATTTGGCCGATATGGAGCTGCAGAGAAGCATCCTCAGAGAGAAATCGACTTGCGTACTTAAGGGCAATGAACCCACCATTCTCCTTGTAAAAGTGAAGAAGGAACCTTGGTGCAACTTGCTAAAAGAGAAAGTGAGTTGTAAATAATAACTTTTAAAAAGTTCCTAAAGCATTTGCATGATATCATGAGGTGTTTAAAATATTTGTCAACACACTTTTATATAACAGAATAAAAGCAATAGCTAGACGGAAAGATTAGAGGTTGGAAGATGGTATTATGGGTGTTTAAATAATATGGTGATTGGCATTAGAATGGAGCATTGAAACATTGAACAACGTAAATAATGAAGGATTATATTCCAATACAGACATGTGTATCAACACTAGGACTAGCAACTAGGACTAGTAATGGTGGTCTGAAAAGAGTAGAGATAGAAATAAGAAATAGGGGGAATATTAGTATACACATTTTTATATAATAGAATAAAAGCAATAACCAGATGGAAAAATTAGAGGCTGAAAAATGGTGTTACTATATATCCATGATGGCGAACCTATGGCACGTGTGCCCAACGTGGCACGCGGAGCCATGTTGACCGTTCCTCTTCCGGGTTTCTGGCGCGCATGCGCACATGACGATCAGCTGGCCTTTTTGCATGCGGCAGTGCCAGAAACTGGAAGAGCTGGTCTTTTGTTTTCCTGTGTGAGCGTATGCGCTGGCCAGCTGATCGTCATGCGTGCATGCGCACCAGAAACCCAAAAGAGTAGCTGGTTGAAACCGAAAGTTCATTTTCGGGCACGCTCATATGCCCTGGGCAGCTTCTCTTCTGGGTTGCGGCCCAGGCGCGTGCACGCTCCCTTTTCGGCACTCGCCATCACTGCTATATATGCTCAACTAATATTATGATTGGCACTAGAATGGCACACTGAAACACTGAACAATTAAATAATGAAGGATTATATCTTAATACAAAAATGTGCATCAACACGAAGATTACAAAAGCTTGACTAATATAACATTATTAATATTATTATTTGTATTAAAATGAACGATACCCAGATGCCACACTATTTCATGTATTGATGTTGATGTATATCTTAAAAAAATAAAATATGTATTTGTCAACAGAACCATCATGTATCTTTTGACTTTGATTACTTGGATGACAATGAGGAAAGAAGCCCATTCCATGTAGGTAAGCAGTTCAGTTTTATGCCCAGTATCTTCACGTCTAAAAGGATGGGAAGCGCTTCTGTACTTTTGCAAACTGTTCTGGGGAAGACATCTGTATTCATTTTACCACATTGGAGATGGAGATACAGGTAGTCCTTGACTTACAATCACAATTGAGCCCAAAATTTCTGTTGCTCAGCAAGACTGTTGTTAAGGGAATTGTGCCCATTTTGCAACCTTTTTGCCACAGTTGTTAAGTGAGGGAATCACACGGTTGTTAAGGGAATCTGGACTCCCTCATTGACTTTGCCTGTCGGTAGCCCAGCTGGGCAGGTTACCAATTGTGATTATATAATTCAGGATACTGCAATTGTCATAAGTACATGTCAGTTGCCAAAGCGCCCAAATTTTGATCACATGACTATGGGTATGAAAACCCGCCATAAGTCATTTTTTTTCAGTGCTGTTGTAAGTTTGAACGATCACTAAACAAAAGGTTGTAAGTTGAGAACGGCCTGTAATTAGATCGGATGGGTCTCTTCCATGAGGCTGTGTATCTTGCCCATAGAACTCAATTGAGACCCGGGCCAGCTCATGCCTGCATAGTACTAATGCAGGGATCTGTTTGCAGAATACACTGTATTTCATGGTAAAGTTGGAAGCTAGCTTATAAATGTAATTCTTTAAAAGTCTTCATTCATGCATTTGTATAACAACAATGTGATTTTCTCTATTAGGATCAAGTCCTAAGAAAATATATGAGATTCCTATAGGGGTGTGTGAAGAAGAAGAGGAGGAAGATGAATCTTCAAAAGATAGTGATTCAGAGAGTGATTTATCCTCTTGTTAATTATATCTTGGGCTTTAGTCTTTGATCCCCCTACAAGGTTAAAGAATCTAAAACAGATAGTACAAAACCCCTTGCAAGTGCATCGGATACTTTTTCATAGTATCAGCATTTTATCAAAAATGTTGAAAACAAGACTTCTGTGGGGTGTTGCATTTGCTGCTTATTGACAGTTATAATTCTAAGCATGCTCGTTCCAAATGAATCTTAACAAATTTGATTGAAATTTAATTTGATATACAAGTTGATAGTTACACCAAATTTAACAATTAGACCAGGACAGGTACAGTATTGAAAATTGCTTTTCAGTTGCAATTATACCAAAACACTTCACAAAGAAAGCATGTTTTTTTTTAATCTTGCTTAAAAAAAAACCACACACAATATAATCAGATTTTTTTGTAATGCTATATGTGCTAACAGGGTAGGCTGATCATTTGTTGTAACTCGGTTCTTAAGGAACTTAAAATGGGTAATGTTAATTCAATCTAATTGCTTTGACAAGATAATTCTTTGTGAGAGGTAAAGCAGTAATACAACATTACAAAAGAATAACTTGGTTCTTTTTTCACAGTATTAAGTTTTGTGTGTTTGTTTCAGAAAATGTTCAAATACCTGATTTTGCTTTCAGGTGTATAGTTTTGTTGTGGTATTGCAATATATCAGCTGTGTCGACCAAAGCAACACATATTTCTTCCTCAAGCAGAAGAAAATAAAGCATATCACATAATTTCTTGAAATGTTAACATGGAAAATCTGAATACAGAAAACCTGTAATTATAGTTGCAACTTATACAGAATAGTAAATTTTGCAAAATGTTATTGACATAGAGGGCTGTAGTATATGTTTGTGGGCTAAGGTCAAAGGTTTTTATTGTAGTCAGGAATTCTTCACACCCCCACATTCATTAGAAGTGTGTTTCTCGACCCCGGCAAATTTAAGATGTGTGGACTTCAACTCCCAAAATTCCTCAGCCAGCAAAGTTATCAAGGTTGAGAAATTGTGTTAGAATATACAAGCCAGTTCTCTGAAAACCTATAGTTACTGTACAATCCAATTGTTCTAGTTTTATAGCTGTGCAAAATTTTATCAAAACAACAAAGGAAGCACAAGTCTACAAACAATCTAAGTTTATAATTCTGCATTCAGATACTTGATCTTTCTCTGAATTAATATTGGTCCTGTTAACCGTTAATTGTCTTTCTGAGAAAAAAAGAAGTGTTCATTAAAATCTAAAACGAATAAACCTCTGTTTTGTAAAATCTTTTATTTGTTGCTTGAAACTACTATGGAGTCAAAATAGTCCCAGAAGCTTATCGTTGATAGGGATCAGTTCTGAAAGAGAGCACCTCGGATTTTTATAAAAGCCCCTGAATAATTTTCAAAAACAAATATTCAATAACGGTAAAAAGTCTGTGGTCTCCAACTATGATATGGCCCTGCGTTCTCCCATACTTGGTATTTCCTAAAAAAGAACATGAAACTCTTCCTGCATGTTTGGAGGAGTGAAATCCTAACAGATTTTCAAAATTGCAGTAATAAATGTCAACAGTCTTTTTAAAATGCGACCAACTCCTTTGTTATCTTCCAATTGTACCTTGCGATGCGGTTGTTGTCCTTGTTTCTTAACAATCCAACGTTGAATGGTCCAGAAGATAACACACTGCATCAACCTCATAGTTAAAGCTCCACAAGAATGAAAACATAGACTTGGATGTCAGAGGAGGAAAAGTGTAGACAATTCCGGTCTAGGCTGTGAGGATTAGACCTCATGCCAGGCCAATAAGCGCCTATTATCCCATCCATTGATTTTGCAAAATGCTTTAAGTACAGAGAAAGCATAGCACTGTCTCCAGCTCTCTCGAGGCCAAGGATAGACTTGTTAATTTCCTCAGGTTTTAGAGGTAAGCAGTTCATCTCCATCCTTTTTGAATCTCCTTGCCATCTGGATATGGCTCTCTAGCCTATCTAATGCAGGAGTTGGTCTCTTCTGTATTTCAGAAAAGTACAGATAGCTCAGACGCATTGTCCTACGAGATTGCCCAAAAGGTTGTTAAATGCTTTTCATTTTGAATCTAGTAGTAGAAACTCCCCGTTTCCTTCCTTGATTTTTCCACGCTTGACTATAAATCTTTAAATCGTAACTGATGCAAAAATTGACTCCCTTCCTCGGTAAGTCAAGGTAAATATGAAAAAAAATATTTGTAAGATTGTTGCCTGTCTCATACATATTGTGAGATCTTTTGCTATCTCGTGCATATTCTGTAAACCAGCACTAAATTTTGCTTGGCAAAATTGAGCTAGTTTGAGGATCCTGTTTCTGTCCTGTTTCAGAGGGGAAAAAAAGATCTTTTCTTCATTCAGTAACTTCTTCTGGTGGAACGACTTCCAGCAGCATCTGAAGATGCATGGTGATGGGCTCTGAAATACAGAGATTATCAGAGTTAAAGTAAAGGTTCCCCTTGCACATACGTTCTAGTCATTCCTGACTCTAGGGGGTAGTGCTCATCTCTGTTTCAAAGCCAAAGAGCCAGCGCTGTCCAAAGACGTCTCCGTGATCATGTGGCCGGCATGATTCAATGCCAAAGAAACATGGAACGCTGTTACCTTCCCACCAGTGCTGAAATCTAAAATTTGTTTTTTTAAAGGCTTCTGTCCTTGTATCCATAAAGGATGTACTAATAAAGGAGAATATTTGTAACCTGAGATTGAAATGAGGAGTCTTTGGCGCTCCCTCCCTCCCTCCCTTTGGTTGTTGTTGTTTTTGTTATCCAGACTAGGTAACATCATCAGTGCATAAAGGAAGTTTTAGGGAAAGAAAATGAGCTTGCAATTGGATGCAAAATCTACCTTTATTTGGATTCCAGAATTTAGCAGGTTTGCTAATAATTCTTCATTGGCTCCCATTTGCAATAAAGCTTAGTGAGATTATTTATAAAACCTCCATTCTTGGGTAGTTCCAAAGCTGATTTAACTTTCATTGCTTTATTGATGCTTGCTTTGCTCCGTTCCATTCATCCCTATCACCTCTTTTAATGAATATTTTAAGGACTGCATTCATTCTATTGCTTCCTTGGGAACAGGAAAATGGGCTAAACTTTTTTTTCTTTTTCTTTTTTTTCTTTTTCTTTTTTAAAGGAAATCTGTCCACCCTTTTTAGGTGGAAACCATCCACGTAAAACCATCCAGGGTACTTACCTGAGATTTTTTGAGCCCAGCCAAACTTATAGTGGACGAAAAGAACGTAAAAGATAAATCCGCTACAAATAAACAGGACACAGTACAAATACGCAAACTCGGGCTCACTGATAATAGGAGCCAAAACCAGAACGATGGCCACTAGCACCACAACAAAAGGGATGATCAGTGGGATCTGTAGGAGAGAGCAAAAATGCTGTTAGGTAATTGGGTGTAACTGGCACAGCTAAATAACCCTCTTGTTTCTAGCTGAAGATAACCAAAGATGGTCTTTTTACACCATCAATGTGGGGCCATTTGTTCCATGTGGACTTAATGCCCGATCCGATCTGTGTTTAGCTTGGCAATGTTTTGCTTTCAATCAGACTGATAGCTCCAATCATCAGTTGTTCAACTTCACTTTCAGAATTGGGAGAACCAGTGGTGGGATTTAAATTTTTTATACTACCGGTTCTGTGGGCGTGGCAGGGGAAGGATACTGTAAAATCTCCATTCCCTCCCCACTCCAGGGGAAGGTTATTGCAAAATCCCCATTTCCTCCCAATCAGCTGGGACTCAGGAGGCAGAGAATAGATGTAACCCAATAACATTTAGGAGTCAATTTTCCCATCTCTTGCTTGCAAGAGGACAAGGATGCAGGAGGCAAGAAATGGCTGCCCAGTGGAACGCTTCCTCAAGTCTAGGAGGACACTAGAATCTTCTGGGTTGATACTTACTCTGATAGGCCTTTTCAGGTCTTTTCTTGTATAGCGCATAATAATCAGTCCCAAGACAGTTAAGCCATAGAAGAGCCAGACTGCAAAGCTGAAGTAGTTAATGAGGGTGTTGATGTCTCCGGGGAGGACATAAAAAAATGCGATTGTACCCTGAAAAAACGGAAGAAAAACACAAAGAAGTGTTACAGGAAGGAGTTGCCACGTTCACGGTCTTGTAGTAGAGACCCTGATGCAGTGTGGCCATTTTTAATTCCATGTGTTCCATTCCCAGGTAGCCCTCAACGTACGACCACCATCGAGCCCAAAATTTATGTTGCTAAGTGAGATATTGGCTAAGTGAGTTTTGTCCCCATTTTAGTAGCACTGTTGTTAAGTGAATCCGGCTTATCAGAAGTCGCAAAAGGGGATCACATGACACCCCCCCCGGGACACTGCAACCGTCATAAATGTGAGTCGGTGATCAAGCATCCAAATGTAAATCATGTGACTGCAACGGTCATAAGTGCGAAAAGTGGCCATAAGTCACTTTTTTCAGTGCTGTTGTAACTTCGAACGGTCACTAAATAAACTATTGTAAGTTGAGGACTACCTGTATATTATTTTCTGGGGAGCATCAGTTGAAACAGACACAATTAGTTATGAAAGATGGACTCTCTAACTGATTTCCAACATGCACTTCTCTTTGCTTTCTCTTAATACAAGATCGCTAGAAAGATCTCCAGAAGAATAAGAATGAATATAAATAAGAAATAGTGTGAGATTTCAAGGATCCTTCATGAAAATTTTTGCTATTGCGTGCCAAAAGCGGAGGTAGTGCAGGGGGTTATGCGTGCACATGCCCACATCCATAATTCAATGTGCCCCTCCCCGCACATGTGCATGTGACCGTCCCCCGCATTCCCCCCGCTTTTGGCACACAGTGGGCACGGTAGGCCCATTTTTTACCCTCCCCGGGTTCCAGAGGCTTTCTAGGAGTCTGGGGAGGGCAAAAACAGCCTTCCCCACTCCCTGGAGGCCCTCCAGAGGCCAGAAACAGCCCATTTCTCGACTTCCGGTGGGCCCGGAAGGCCCAAAAATCAGCTGGCTGGCATGCACATGCACACCGGAGCTGAACTAGGCCAACATTCACGTGCCTACAGATATGGCTCCGTGTGCCACCTGTGGGATGCGTGCCATAGGTTTGCCATCATGGGTATAGGGTTTCCTGCCTGAGCAGGGGGTTGGTCTAGAAGACCTCCAATGTCCCTTCCAACACTTATTCTATTAAAATTAAATTATAGAGCCAAATTTGATAAGATTTTTTCTTTGAAGCTAGAAACTTTTATTTTGCTATTTGAGATATTATACTTACATAAAATATAATAGCGGGTGCCGGCGTTAAACGTTTAACGCTGATGTAGGATAAAACCTTTAACATGTGCCCTTCACGTCCTGCTACATAAGCCAGCCTAGAAAAGCAAAGTATGATATTATCTAGTTGGTAATGACGTATCTGCAAGAAAACAACCAAGCTTAGATACCGGCAGTCCTCGAGTTACCACCACAATTGAACCCAAAACTTACGTTTCTAAATGAAACATTTGTGAAGTGAGTTTGCCCCCATTTTACAACGTTTCTTGCCACAATTGTTAAGTGAAGTTAGAAACACGGTTGTTAAGTGAATCTGGCTTCCCCACTGACTTTTGCTTGTCAGAAGGTCACAAAACCACTTGTCAAGGGTTGCCCCAAAGAAGAGGGAGTCAAGCTATTCTCCAAAGCACCTGAGAGTAGGACAAGAAGCAATGGGTGGAAACTAATCAAGGAGAGAAGCAACTTAGAACTAAGGAGAAATTTCCTGACAGTGAGAACAATTAATCAGTGGAACAACTTGCCTCCAGAAGTTTTGAATGCTCCAACACTGGAAGTTTTAAAGAAGATGTTGGATAACCATTTGTCTGAAGTGGTATAGGGTTTCCTGGCTAAGCAGGGGGTTGGACTAGATGACCTCCAAACGGGTGAAATGCTCCTGGTTCGGACCAGATCTCCCGATCCGGTAGCGATGGCGGCAGGTGGTTCGGAGAACCAGTAGCAAAAATCCCTGCGCCCCGCCCCCCATGGGGATGCTGCAACTGTGAAAAACGGTCATAAGTCAATTTTTTTCAGTGCCGTTGTATCTTTGAACGGTTGCCAAATGAACTCTTGTAAGTTGAAGAGTCCCTGTATTTTGGACAAAAGGCTATTCGGTGGCATCAAAGATAAATCTGTTATAATGTCAACAGTTTTGTAAAAAAAAAAAAAAGGAGGCTTTGTGGCATGTTGCTTGACACGGAAAGGTAAGAAAAAGCTGCCCAAGCTGAACAAAATGTTCTCTTCTATCGATATCGATATTGATGCTCAGAAAGAACAACAACAAAAAAAAAATAGTCAATGCAGCAAGAACACAAGATGATTCTCAGTCAGAACTAGTGGTGGGTTTCAAAATTTTTTACTACCGGTTCTGTGGCTGTGACTTGGTGCGCGTGCATGGCTTGGTGGGCGTGGCAGGGGAAGGATACTGCAAACTCCCCATTTCCTTCTGATCAGCTGGGACTTGCGAGGCAGAGAATAGATGGGGGTGGGGCCAGTCAGAATTTTTACTAACTGTTCTCCAAACTACTCAAAATTTCCGCTACCGGTTCTCCAGAACTGGTCAGAACATGCTGAAACCCACCTGATCAGAACCCATGGATTTTCCATGGTATGCAACATTTAAGATTTGGAGGCAGGAACAGAAAAATGGCATTTGGTTTGATCAAAGTGGTTGACAATGTCAAGACATGGAATGAATCTCGCATCTCCAATGCATGAAGATCATTTATTATTTTATTTTATTTTATTTTATTTTATTTTATTTTTTTATATTTTATTTTATTTTATTTTATTTTATTTTATTATTTCCTTCAAGTCAGTGTGGACTTTTGGCAACCATCTGGACAAGTCTCTGCCATTTTCTTGGCAAGATTTGGGGGGGGGGGGGAATTGCCACTTCTTCCTTTTTAGGGCTGAAAGAAAGTGTCTGGCTCAAGGTCCCTCAGCTGCCTTTGTGTTGGACAATAACTCCTGATCTTTTGGTTTACGGATTGTGATTTTAGTATAGTTAGACCATGTATAATTGACAGACAGGATTTTATCATAGATTTTATCTGTTTGTTATCTTATTCTAGAGTTTTTAATTGTATATTTATTGAGCGTTTTTATTTGTTCTGGTCTCTGGTCTATGACTGTAATAAAATTCTGATCTTGTGGTTTCTAGTCTGGTGCCTTAACCCATTGCACCAAACTGGTTCTCCATCTGGCCTATGCTATAATAAACGAGAGTGAAAATATCAGATTTAAGCTGCTTTGGCTGATAAACTCTCCCCCCAAATTTTCCCCTAGTAACCGAAAAGGTAAATGACTATTTTTTTTCCAGTTATCCTAATGTACCGCATCCCTTTTACCAGAAGCATTGGAGAGGTATGAACTGATGTTGCCAAGTCCTCCTTCGGACCATTAAATTTGCACAATTCTTTAAGATAATGCTGCCACAGCAGTTTCTGTGTCTTAAAAACGATCACGTGAATTAAAGAAGACACCTAAAAAGCCCAGAACTGCTCCATTGAGAAACAAGGCTGCTAATTAGCCGTGAAATTTGTCTCTAGCTTTGTGGTCTGACCCCAAAATCCTCTCCTCACTTGCTACAGAAAAAAAAAATAACCAAAGGCACCATTTTCCGTCATGGATGAGATTTCAGCGTCAGCCTGATAGAAAATAGTTCTTGTGTTGTGTTTGAATCGGGGCTGCGGATTTTTTAAAAAGCAGCACCGATGAATGAGATAGATCCAGACTGGGAAAAATGCCAGGAATATTTCAAATTCAACCTTTTTAGATTTTTACCTTGTAAATTACAGCTTTTCATCTTTTCCAAGGCCTCCTCTGATGACAGAATGAATTAGCTTCTGCAGTCTGTTTTGACAGCATATTTAGTGTCTTTAAAGCAATGGCATGAATTTCGAGCTAAGTAGCAGGGTGATATATTGGTCATGAAAGATACAGGCGACTCAATTATTTGTTGTGGCCCGCCAGCAGATCTGGCAACAGATTCGGGCAGTGAGGAGGTTGGGGAGGAACATGGGCCAGTCCTGGAGTCTGGGGAAGGCTCTGCTGAGGGCTCTGCATCGGAGGCAGAGAGGGGGCCAGGGCCGTATGCCAACTATCAGCTGCCTTCGGAGTCGAACATCAGTGGGGCAGAAGAACAGTTGGAGCCTGTTCCCAGGGTGTGCATGCGCAGAGTTACCAGACGAAGGAAACAGCTAAAGAACAAGGGTCGACTTGGGAGTAAGGCCACAGGTGGACAATGAATGTCCCCTCCCAGAAGGAATAAAAGAGGAGCAAAAGAGGAGTGGAGTTTGCAGGAGGCAATTAGTTCATTCCTGCATTCTTGCCAAGTATTGGGGGGGTCTGAAAGATATTGGCCTGGCCGCTTTCCAAGTCCTCGGCTTCGTGCTGCTGGGGAAGCCTAAGTCAGAACATTATTAAAACATCGTACTAGACTGTGCTGAGTTTTACCTGCCAGACGTGAAGCAAGTCCCATTGGCTGCCCCCAGGGCTGAAAGGGCGACGAAAAGAGGAACAATCCAAGAAGCGGGGTAAAGGACCCGATCCCCAAACGTCTGCAGAGATGGAAGGGAAAAAAGCACATCGCTTTAAACTAGCCAGCACACAAGGCTGGCTATAGAAAAAAGAATGCTAAAAATTGCCAGGGTTTTGGAAAAATCAATCTGTGGAATCCTTTTTCAGCCTCTGAGCAGTTTGGTTATTTTTTTTCCAATGAGGCCCATAGGTGTCTTCTTTACAGGTTGTCCTCAATTTACGCAACTGAGGCCAAAATTTTTGTTGCTAAGTGAAGAGAGTTGTTAATTCCACACCATTTTGCCACCTTTCTTGCCACCGTTGTTAAGTGGGTCACTGCAGTTGTGCAGTTAGTAACCTGGTCGTTAAGTGGCTTCCCCCGTTAACTTTACGCATCAGAAGGTCGCAAAAGGGGATCCCGTGACCTCAGGGCACGGCAACTGTCATAAATAGGAGTGAGTTTCCAAGCATCTTAATTTTGATCACGTGACCACAAGGATGCTGCAATGGTCCTAAATGTGGAAAAACTGTCATAAGTCACCTTTTTCAGTGCCGTTGTAACATTGAGTGGTCACTAAATGAATTGTTGTAAGACGAGGACTACCTGTACTAAAGCATTGCCCCTAGGCAGCCACTTCATAATAATCTACTGGAGATGTTCTCCAGGTAATCTGATGCAGGGGTGAAATGCTCCCGGTTCGGACCGGTTCGTCTGAACCGGTAGTGATGGTGGCCAGTGGTTCAGAGAACCGGTAGCGATGGCGGTGCGAGGCTCTGCTTATCTGCCCAGTCATCATTACTTCCTGTTTTTTACCCTCTGCGCATGTGCAGAAGGGTTTGCGCATGAGCAGAGGGTCCGCTCACGCATGTGATGTGGCATATGGACTTCCGAACTGGTTGGGAAGGTAAGTAGATTTCACCCCTCATCTGATGCCTAGCTGTTGGATATAAATACAAGATATTTATATATTTATATATACATATTTATATATATTTATATATATATATTTATATATATATTTACTGAGGTATAAAATGGAAGAAGAGGTAGTTAAAGATACCATGATTAGAGGGGCCAAAAATTTTGGCTACAATATAGAATTGGAGAAATGGGAAAAATTATGAGAAATAAATATTAAATTGATTCTTTCAACGGCATTCAACGGCATTTCAGTTAAAAATGTTCTACAGATGGCACTTCACACCGGTACGACTGGCTAAAATGTCTCCGAACAACTCTCCAAATTGTTGGAAATGTAAAAAAATCCCCGGAACATATTATCATCTCTGGTGGACATGTCCTAATGTGAAAAAATATTGGATGAAAATTAGAAGTTGGATAGAAGAGATAATTGGCTGTAACGCAGATTGGAAATCAGAAATGTTTTACTGGGGGATATTGAACAGAACTTACAATAAAGAAATTAGATATTTGATTCTGCATATAATTACAGCGGCAAGGATAGTCTACGCACAGTTCTGAAAAAGTGAAAAGATCCCAACAGAGGAAGAAATAATTAAGAAAATCCTGGACTGTGCGGAGATGGATAAATTAACAAAAGAAATAAAAGAAAAGGAAGATAGAGAATATTATCAAGTATGGAATAAGTGGTATGATTGGCTCGAGATTAGGGAAAGTAAATGTGAATAAACGATGGAGAGAAGAAGGTGACAGATGTGTAAAATATTGTAAATGATTAAAAATAAAGGGACGATAAAGATAATGATAATAAAGGATAGGAAAAATGGGGAATGTATATAGTAGAAAGTAAGAGGAATGAAACTGATATGTAAAAAGAAACACATCGTGTGTTTGTGTTTTGTATGTTGTGTTGTGTTGTGTTGTTGTAAAATCAATAAAAATAATTTTTTTAAAAAAATACAAGATACTATGGTATATTGGATCAAGTTTGTCCACCCAAAAGATTATTTTTTGGAGAGTTCCACACAGTTGAATTTGAATGTGTGGCCATGTTGTATCTCGCCCAGAAAGAGTCACAGCTACACAATAGATAGCTATTGACAATTTGTGTGTCCATGCAATTCCCTATGATACTTACCACTGCGACCGCTTGAGACTGCAACAGTTCTGTGGCCGACATGACCGTGAAATAAGAAGTATTGATCAAAATATAACACACCGTGACCAGGGGGATTCCAATTATTATAGACAGAGGTAGATTTCTAAACAACGTGAAAATACATGGCATTAATTCATGGGTATATTAAAGCTTGGTAGTTAATTAAATCTCCATATATTTGCAGCTGAACAATATTTATAAAGAAAAGGAACTTGATTTATAGATTATGCTCTGCACTGCTCAGTGATCTTGATAAGGTTTGTTCTTTAAATGATGCTCAAATATTGCTATTATGGAAAAGGAGTTCCTACTTCATTCCTACTTCACGTTTTCATACCCTCAAAGAGGATTGATTTAGCCACTTCAGGAAATCCAAAAATACCATCTTCCTGCTAGGTTTTTCTAATCTTTGATGGGTTGAGTTATTCATCAGTATTTTTTTTTTTAATTTGATTTATATGCCGCCCTTCTCCGGAGACTCAGGGCGGCTTACAATGTGCTCAGCAATAGCCTTCATCCTTTTGTATATTTATACAAAGTCAGCTTATTGCCCCCACAAACTGGGTCCTCAATTTACCTACCTTAGAAAGGATGGAAGGCTGAGTCAACCTTGAGCCTTGGCGAGATTCGAACCTGCACTAATTGCAGGCAGCTGGTCTTAATAACCAGCTTAATAACATTAAATTAATTTTCATTAAAAGTAATTCATATTCATACTTTTCATTAATTCCAAAGTAGGAAGTTGGGTTTACCCAATTCAAAAGATACGTCAAGTCCCTTAAAGCAATCCTCAGATTCTTGCAGATAGCAATAGCAACAGCAGTAGTACTTATATACCTCTTCGCGGTGCTTTACAGTCCTCTCTAAGCGGTTTACAGAGTCAGCACATTGCCCTCAACAATCTGGGTCCTCATTTTACCGTCCTCCGAAGGATGGAAGGCTGAGTCAACCTTGAGCCAGTCAGGATCAAACTCCTGGCAGTGGCCAGAGTTAGCCTGCAATACATCATTCTAACCACTGCGCCACCCTGGCTCTTTGATTCAGAGTATGCAGAGTATTGATTTATTGTAATGAAAAAGAGGTTGGATCACAGAAAGTTCACACTGGCTATGTAACCCACTTTGCATTTACCGTATTTTTCGGAGTATAAGACGCACCTTTTTCCCCCAAAAAAGAGGATGAAAATCTGGGTGCTTCTTATACTCCGAATGTAGCCCCATCCAGCTTCTCAAACGGAGGTTTCAGAGGCTGTAAAAAGCTTCGGAAACGAAGCTTCAGAGGCTTTTTTTTCTGAAGCTGTTTCAGAGGCTTTCAGAGGCAGGAAAAAAGGTTTTTTTTTCTGAAACAGAGTTTCAGAAATTTCAGAGGCAGAAAAAAAAAGCCAAAAAAAAAAAAAGCAAGGCACAGAGCTCACAACCAAGGAACCTGTTGCTAAAATTCACCTCTGGGAACTGCTGACTGGGGCTATTCCAGGAGGCCGATACACCTGCCAATCAGCTTTTTTCTTATTTTCCTCCCCAAAAACTAAGGCGCGTCTTATATTCCGAAAAATATGGTATTTATTTCCTTAATGTTTATAGCTGCCCTACATGACATGCAACTTATTTGACTGGCTCAAGGTCAACTCAGTCTTCCATCCTTCCGAGGTCAGTAAAATGAAGACCCAAATTGTTGGGGGCGATAGGCTGACTCTGTAAACCGCTTAGAAAGGGCTGTAAAAGCATGGTGAAGCGGTATATAAGTCTAAGTGCTATTGCTATTGCTATTATTTATTATTTCAAAGCAGGGCCCTTGATGACACAGGTGGAAATTTTTAAATTCTTGCTATTGTCCAAATAAAATGCCATTGTCCTCTCCTACCTTACCTGTAAGGATTTTTAAGCTCCTCTGTGATATAATTAAGTTGATTCCTGGAAGAAAGGAAACACCAATAGTTACTCTGTCCAAACTGCAATCCTAAATTATGCAGATTTAGAAGGAAACCTCTACAGAATCTGCTGGGAGTTAATAAACCACAGCAGGCTATAAAGTTAAGTGTTGATGATGGCCACAGCGATGCTGTGGAACGTCCTATTCAAGTATCTCAGACAAACCAGCTGGAGATGCCCTCAAAACCAGGGGTCCCCAACCTTTCGGACCTCAGGGACCATTAAATTCATCATTTTAAATCCCGCGGACCACTAATATGATCTGCCTAATGACCGGCTGGGTGGGCATGGCTTGGTGGTCATGTGACTGGGTGGGCGTGGCCAACTGGATGTCACTCACGTCGAGGGGCACCTCGCCAGCCTCTACTCACCCCTCCCCTCCCAGCCACTCCTTGCCTCTCCACCTGGGCTCCTTAGGGCCCCAACAGGAAGCAGTAGTTGGAGCTAAGCAGCTACCACGAGAAAGAGTTGGCAAAACAGCTCAGTTCAAATTGGATCTGACCGAGAAGGAGGCTCAGTAGAAGCACCTCACTGAGGACTAGGAGCATAGGCTTTCCAAGCAGAGGGAAGACTTGTGGGAGTGCAAGGCCAGGTACTGGCGCCTGGAGGCTCAGCGGGCTGAGATGGTCTGCCAGTTCCAGGCCATGATGCAGTCCCACTGGAACGAGGCCCTCCGGCTCTTCGCCACCAGAGACACTTCCCTCTAGCCTTCGCCCAAAGCCTCCCACCAAGAGGCCGAAGCAGACCCCAAGTCAGAATTTCTGACCTCCTCCAACCCACACAAAAGACCCCGAAGGGGGAGACTCTCTGCAGCAACACAAATGTTCATTGCACATATCCAGCCCAAGGACCATAGTTTGAGGACCCCTGATTTATTGCAATAAAAAAAATGAAAATAATTTTTTTCACGGACCACCAAAATTTTCTCACTGACCACCAGTGGTCCACGGACCACCAGTTGTGCTGTAAACTCCTATCCATGATGGTCAACCAGTAGAAAACCCATGTTCAAGATACAGTCTCCACTAGCATTATTTCCTCCGATATTGGTGTTGTAAACATGTGTATTCTATTGATGGTAGTTTGCCCATTGTGAATTTATTCAATTCTCTTTACACAGGCTATCAAGGTTTAGTCATCATTCTTTCCTTAATAGATTTTTAGGCAACAGATTTAATAGGCAAAAGATTTTTCCGATGGAAAATCACTGGGAAGCCAATAAGACGGCGCTGAAGCCATCAGTTCTGCAGGTTGTTATAAAATCTTCCCCATTAACTAGACCTTCCCTGCTACATATTTAAGACACAGTATTAATTTCTATGCTTTGTAGAAAATAACATTAGCTACATAATTTTAGTAGAACTGCAGAAGGAAATAAGGTGCTTTCCTGATGCTTTCCCAAGGCAGAGAAGGTCACAAGTTGCAGTCAAGTGATGTCTCACTGTGGCCAACAACAAAAAAAAAAACTTGTAAAGATCAGATCATGTGATGCCTCACTTAATGACTGCTTTATTTAATGACAAATTTTCTGATCATAAGTTAAGGACTTATGTGGTACTCCACATGCATCCTGAACTGCAGTTCCTAGTATCACTGGTCTTGGGACAATGAGAATAGTGATTTAGCAACAATGCAAGGAGAGCCAGTTCTCTATGCCTGCCTTCAAGACCAAAAGGTCCTCTTTGCCCTGGCCATCATCTTCTAAAGCTTATTTTAGAAGCCATCTAAAATAGCAGCCATTCCCAGCTGAAACATGAGATTCTGTAACTACCTGTGCTTAAGTCTGCCTAAAGGAGAAGCGAGTTTCACCCTGATTGTTCATCTCTAAAGGTAAAAGGTATGCACATATGTGCTAGTCGTTCCCGACTCTAGGGGGGCAGTGTTCATCTCCGTTGCAAAGCCGAAGAGCCAGCGATGTCCGAAGACGTCTCCATGGTCATGTGGCCAGCATGACTCAATGCAAAAGGCACACGGAACGCTGTTACCTTCCCACCAAAGGTGGTCCCTATTTTTCTACTTGCATTTTTACATGCTTTCGAACTGTTAGGTTGGCAGAAACTAGGCAAGTAACGGGAGCTCACTCCGTTATGCGGCACTAGGGATTCGAACCGCCAAACTGCTGATCTTTCTGATCGACAAGCTCAGCGTCTTAGCCACTGAGGCACCGTGTCCCCTGTTCATCTCCACGAAAAATCAAAACATGTAAAATCAGTTCAGCTGCTGTTGTTTTCAGGTGTCATGCTTCAGAATTATCTACCTGTGGGAACGATTTAATTGGAAATTAGGAAAATGTAAATAAGTTACCATCCATCATAGGCCCAGAGTCCACTGTAAAATGCCAGGCTTATGCCTCCCACGGAAATTGAGGAACTGTCAAAAGAATTGTTAAAATTTTTTGTGTTTCCTGAAAAACAAAAACAATATCCTATATGAATACTGTATGCAGCAGATGATCTGAAGAGCACCCTACAAAATTTTTCCCAACAACAAATCATCAGGTTTCTAGGATGCTGTGTAGGCATTTCTTTAGACTGAGCAATGAGATAGAAATTATTTAAAAGCAATGCAATAAATATTTTTTTAAACGTGTGTTTCAAAGGTGGGTTCTAAATTTTTTTACTACCAGTTCTGTGGGTGTGGCTTATTTTTTGGGCGTAGTTTGAGGGTCATGTGACAATTATTTAGGATTTAGCAGAGATATTGGTCTACCAGGCTTTTAACTGCTTGCAGAGCTGTACCGATCTACCCATTTATTTTTTTGCAGGCACTGGTCTACTCATGTATTTTTGCAGGCACTGATCTACTCGTGTATTTTTGCAGGCACTGATCTACTCGTGTATTTTTGCAGGCACTGGTCTACTCATTTGTTTTCTTTTAACACTGATCAGCAGCAAGGTGGCAAGAGTTTAAACAGTTTTTTTCCCTCTAGCCATCAGCTGGGACTCAGGAGGCAGCAATAGATTGGGGGTGGGGCCAAATAAAAGGTAAGAATAATGCGGGGGGTGGGGGGTGGAGGGGCAGAACTGGTTCGGTGATGTCATATCATCACCGCTACCGGCTCGGGAGAATCGGGCCGAACCGGGAGGAACCCACCACTGGTGTGTTTCCCATTACTTATGTTGTAGAGGGGAAGGAATTTCTGTCTCTCATTCTCTTTTTATCTCTCATTCTCTTTTCTCTCATTCTCTCATTCTTTTTTTCCTTCTCCCTCTCTCTGTCTCTCTCTCTCTCACACACACACATACAAACACACAGAAACACTCTTCTATTTTAAGTTATGAGGTGTTTTTCTTCATTTACAAGGAAGTTAATGAAACAAGCATTTCCCCAAGAAAAGTATGATACAGGTAGTTCTCAACTTACAATTGGTTGCTTAGTGACCTTCCAAATTACAACAGATCCCCAAAGGATACTTACGACCAAGTTCCAAAATTCCGAAAGTTGGGATCACACTCATGGTCACATGGACTGCATTTTGGGCACTCGGAAACCAGCCTGCATTTAGAGCCCTTTGCAAGGTACTGAAGTTAAATGACTCTCATTTACAACAATTTTGCTGAAAACCAGCATTTACTTATGGTTTTTGGCAAAAACACCCCATAACAAACAATGGGTTCACTTAACAACAGCCGCAAAAACGGTAGTAAAATCAGATTGATCACATGATCACGAGTGATCTGCTTTATGATCATTATCTTAATTGACAGGCTTCCTTATAGGCATAAGCTGAGAACTACTTGTATATAAGAAGACTGGACTGGACTGGACTGGAATAGACTAGACAAGATGTGGAGACTCTAGAAAGAGTGCAGAGAAGAGCGATAAAGATGATTAGGGGACTGGAGGCTAAAATATATGAAGAATGGGTGCAGGAACTGGGTATGTTCCCAGTTTAATGAAAAGAAGGACTAGGGGAGACATGCTAGCAGTCTTCCAATATCTCAGAGGCTGCCACAAAGAAGAGGGAGTCAAACTATTCTCCAAAGCACCTGAGGGCAGGACAAGAAGCAATGGGTGGAAATTACTCAAGAAGAGAAGCAACTTAGAACTAAGGAGAAATTCCCTGACAGTCAGAACAATTAATCAGTGGAACCACTTGCCTCCAGAAGTTGTGAATGCTCCAACACTGGAAGTTTTTAAGAAGATGTCGGACAACCACTTGTCTGAAGTGGTGTAGGGTTTCCTGCCTGGGCAGGGGGTTGGACTAGAAGACCTTCAAGGTCCCTTCCAACTCTGTTATTCTATTCTATTCTATTTCTCAGACTAGACTAGACTAGACTAGACTAGACTAGACTAGAAACCTAGTCTTTGCAGTGGGACGCAAAGTCTAGATCAGCCTTTTTTAATCAATCAATCAGAATAGAGTTGGAAGGGATCTTAGAGGTCTTCTAGTCCAATCCCCTACTCAGGCAGGAGACCCTTTACAATTTGAGACAAGTGGCTGTCCAGTCTCTTCTTAAAAACCTCCAGTGATGAAACACCCCAATATGAAGAATAGGTTGCAGGAATTGGGTGTGGCCAGTCTACAGAAAAGAAGGACTAGGGGTGACATGTATTCCAGTGTTTCACTATTTGAGGGGCTGCCACAAAGAGGGGGTCATTTCCATTTAGTATTCCCCAGATCTACTGGATTTCTACTCCAAAAATTCCCTATGGCCAAGCTCGCTGCAGACTTTCTCTGTCTGGCTGCTGACAATGTCAGGGGGTTTATGTATCTTTATAAGGGACAACAACATACCTTTGGCCAGGAGAACGATGCCACTTACAATGATAATGATGACAATCACCATTTTAGTAGCAGTTAAAATGTTCTGAAGATAGCTCGTCCATTTCACACTCAGGGAATTCAGGACTGTAATGGCCACTGCAAGACCAAGAAAGAGTGATAAAATAGTTAAAACATTGGTTTTGCCTCACTTTTAGTTTTTAGTTTAGTCTGAAGATGTAGATGCGGACAGAGAAGGCATGTAGGGTACAATCGCTCTGTGTCGTTTGTGGCCTTTTATAGACGGTTCAGACGTCGAAGTCACCTTTCATTAAAACCTTCCCAGGTTTTTCCATCATTCTTCTATATATATTTTTCTAACCACAACATATTCTTTAAGGAAGAGAAGTATGATGTTGAGATATTTCCAAGTGTCTACTAAATTGTAAATAGGACAGAAGGGTAAAATTATTGCATTCAGCACATTGTTCACAGATTTTCTTTCCTGTGGAGGGAAATCAATCTTAAAAACTATCTATCTATCTATCTATCCATTCATCTATCCATCCATCCATCTATCCATCCATCCAAAAACATCTCTGTCAGTCTGTCTGTCTGTCTGTCTGTCTGTCTCTCTCTCTCTCTCTCTCTCTCTCCATCTATCCATCCATCCAAAAACATCTCTGTCTGTCTGTCTATCTATCCATCCATCCAAAAAACATCTATCTGTCTGTCTGTCTATCCATCCAACCAACCATTCATCCATCCATCCAAAAACATCTATCTGTCAGTCTGTCTGTCTCTCTGTCAATCCATCCATCCATCCATCCATCCCTCCAAAAAATATCTGTCTGTCTGTCTGCCCATCCATCCATCCATTCATCATCCATCCAAAAAACATCTGTCTGTCTGTCTCTCTACCTTTCTATCTCTCTATTTTTCTTTCTTTCTATCTATCTATCTATCTGTCTGTCTGTCTGTCTGTCTGTCTGTCTGTCATTTGTATCCCACCTTTATTATTTTTATAAATAACAGAAGGCGGCAAACATATCCAACACCCCTTCCTCTTTCTATTTTCCCCACAGTGACATCCCTTTGAAGTGGGTTGGGCTGAGAGAACACTCTGGCCCAAAGTGAAGCTGGCTTCACAGCTAAATCAGGATTTGAACTCATGGCCCTCTGCTTTCTAGCCTGGTGCCTTCACCACTAGACCAAGCTGGCTCAATTATACCACCTAGAGAGCCACAATCTCTTTCCAGCTGTATAACACTGACAAAGGTCTTCTTCCATTCTCTCTCCTCCTCCAGATGCCTATGGAGATTCTCCATCATGCAGGTCATGGTTGCCCCAATGGTTCTCCTCCAGATCTACTTCCGCTTCCATCTCTAGCTTGGTTTCCCTCCTTTAAGGCTAAAGACTCACCAATGGCTGCTGTAGCCAGGCACTTAATGACCGCCATGGGAGGGTCACATCCTGGGTAAAACGGAGCTGACACATACTCTGCGAAGCTCAGGCAGATAATGGCGAAGGCGCTGGGCTTGATGACCATGAGGCTGGACCAAGAAAACAAGAAGGCAGGGATGGGCCCAAAGGCTTCCAACAGGTAAGGATATTCTGCTCCTGATTTGGGGATCATTGTGCCGAGTTCAGCAAAGCAAAGTGCTCCTGAAAGTGGAGTTTCAGCATTTTTAAAATTTATTTATTTAGTTTGTCAAACATGTATAAGATAACAGATATAAGTATAAATATGATCATGAATACGGGAAATGGGAACAAATAAATGGGGACAGGAGGACAAGGACGGTAGGCACGCTGGTGCGCTTATGCACGCCTCTTACAGACCTCTTAGGAATGGGGTGAGGTCAACAGTAAACAGTCTAAGGTTAAAGCTTTGGGGGTTCGGGGAAGAAACCACAGAGTCAGGTAGTCCATTCCAGGCATTGACCACTCTGTTGCTGAAGTCGTATTTTCTGCAATTGAGTTTGAAGCAGTTCACTTTAAATTTGTATCTATTGTGTGCTCGTGTATTGTTGTGGTTGAAGCTGAAGTAGTCATCGACAGGTAGGCATTAATACTGACGGTCAGACCTGCCTTAACTAGGGCTTCTAAATAAAAATGACCCTTAACTCCGTTTGTTGAGAAAAGTGTCGTTTACTAGAAATCAATTTTTTTTTTAACCATACCCTGAAGATACCCTGCAGACAATGAGCAGAATTGTCAGCAGAGGTTTCCCCATGGCTAACCTGCCACTGTAACCATTGCACCCTACCACCAGAAAAGTAAGCAGCGCTCTCGTGATTGAGCAGAGCAAGACTTGCAGCAGAGACACAGACAGCCAAAGAGGAATCAAATAGGTGAGTGTGATAAGCCATCTTTCCGTAACCCATCAGCAGTCCCTGAAGTTTGGGGGGCGGCAAATGTCAAATCTGATTTCCATCAAAACGGAGCAATGGAAGAAAGGATGTGAAAAAGAAGCTTTCTGTAAAAAAAGAAAAAGAAATGGAGAACACGAGAAACAGTTTACCTAAGGTGGCCAACACTCCGCAGGCTGCCCAAATAACCAAGCAAGGTCCGATAGCTCCAACATTAGCCAGAACAGACTTCGGAGAAATAAAAATTCCCGAACCTATCACGGTTCCGACGATGACACAGATTCCACTGATCAGACCCACCTAAGGAGGGGGATTGAGAGGAGAAAAGCAAACACATTTGAGATGGTTTTTTTATTTACGGAGAGGGCACGTAACTTGGGTGTCCTCCTGGACACACGGCTGTCTTTAGAAGAGCATATGACGGCCGTGGCCAGGGGGGCTTTCTATCAGGTTCGCCTGATACGCCAGTTGCGCCCCTTTCTGGATCGGGACTCCTTATGCACGGTCACTCATGCCCTCGTTACTTCCCGCCTGGACTACTGCAACGCTCTCTACATGGGGCTCCCCTTGAGGAGCACTCGGAGGCTCCAACTGGTGCAGAATGCGGCCGCGCGGGTACTTATTGGGGCAACATGGCGCTCCCACGTGACACCTCTCCTGCGCGAGCTGCATTGGCTTCCAGTGGTCTTCCGGGTGCGCTTCAAGGTATTGGTTCTCATCTTCAAAGCGCTCCATGGCTTAGGGCCCAGTTATTTACGAGACCACCTTCTGCCTCCGATAACCTCCCACCGGCCAATACGCTCCCACAGAGAGGGCCACCTCAGGGCACCGTCTGTCAGGCAATGTTGGCTGGCGACCCCCTGGGGAAGAGCCTTCTCTGTGGGGGCACCCGCCCTCTGGAATGAGCTACCCCTAGGGATACGACTGATCCCGGACCTCCGGACCTTCCGCCGGGCCCTGAAGACTTCTTTATTTCAGCAAGCCGGGCTGGGTTAAAAATCTTTTAATTGGGGAATTTTATGGGTAAGGGGTTTTAAATTGGGGAAGCCAAAGATAAATTTAATTTCGTTTTAAAGTATTTTAATATTTGTATTGTGTGTTTTTAATTTTGGCTGTTCACCGCCCCGAGTCCTTCGGGAGAGGGGGCGGTATAAAAATTTAAAAAATAAAAATAATAATAAATAATAATACCGCCATGTTTCAGGAGTGACTTTTGTAATGGAAGGCTTTGTACTTTTCATTCACTTTACATCTAGATTTGTTGCTGGGGAGGAATGACTGATGGAGCTTGGCCAGTTGTAAGGCCAACTTCCTGCTTAGTGCACCAATCTGAATTAAAGCATTGAGCATTCATTGATAATATGGATGTCGTACCTAGAAGTGGCCTGGAAGCATTTCATCGGCTTGTTTGGAAAGAAAATCCTGCTGTTAGATGTATCTTTGACCTGATCTAATAAAACTCTTTATCTACTTCAAACAACTGTGTTTCCCTGAAAATAAGACCTCTCCCAAAAATAAGACCTTCCCCGAAAATAAGCCCTCCTCCAAAAATATTTAACTGTATGCGCAGCCGGTTCCCGCCATTTCCTCTGGTTAGGGTTAGGGAGACAGAGCTGGAAATCAGGTAAGATGGCAAGAGAAGCCCCGTCTTGCTCCACACGCCCCAAAATAATAAGACCTCCCCAAAAATAAGGCCAAGCACTTATTTTGGGGTTCAAAAAAATATAAGACAGGGTCTTATTTTTGGGAAAAGGTGGCAAATGGTGCCAAATCAGCTTTTCTAATCTCTTTTGTTCCAGATGTGTTGACATATCTGGATGGGTTCCCAGTCATCAGAAACGGCGAGAAGGAATCTTCTCCAGAAGGTTTTCAGCCTTCTGACATAATCAATATTCTCTAAGTGTTCAAAAAGAAAAGAAAAGCCATTCCATACTTCCAGGATCAAAGATTTGGGGTTAGCTAATTTACCTTCAACCAAATTTGTTTCTGCTAGTAAAATAGATCAGTTCTTTTCTTAGGATTCATGTATTGTTTCAAATCTTCAAATTCTATTTGTTATCTAATTCTGTCTGATACCCAAACCCACCAAATAATTAAGACAGCAAAAACACATGGATAAATCAGACTCCTGTTCCTTTCAACAATACAAATTAACAGCTTGGGCTACAATGCAAACATTAACCCGACATTCCAGGGAGCAGAAGTTTTTTAAAAGTTCTTGTGAACTTTGTTAACCTATTCTACAATCCCTGTTCTACTAATTAACGTGTTAACACGGAAAGGGGAAGGCGTGCTTGGCTTGCTCTTTTGGCACTATAGAAATGAAATGTTCACCTTGGATTCACATCATATCTGAAACCAGAAATCACACCTTGTAGGGTGTGATTTCTCGTTTCAGATATGATGTGACTCAAACGCTGGCATTACAGGCACGGGGAAAGAAGGAGGCAAAAGTGGAAAAGGATTGTCCTTTTCAGAATGCATCTGGATGACCCAGACAATGTAGAATAGAATTGATTAACAGAGTTGGAAGGGACCTTGGAGGTCTTCTAGTCCAACCCCCTGCTTAGGCAGGAAACCCTACACCACTTCAGACAAATGGTTATCCAACATCTTCTTAAAAACATCCAGTGTTGGAGCATTCACAACTTCTGGAGGCAAGTTGTTCCACTGATTAATTGTCCTCACTGTCAGGAAATTTCTCCTTAGTTCTAAGTTGCTTCTCTCCTTGATTAGTTTCCACCCATTGCTTCTTGTCCTGCCCTCAGGTGTTTTGGAGAATAGCTTGACTCCCCTCTTCTTTGTGTAAGCCCATGAGATATTGGAAGACTGCTATCATGTCTCCCCGAGTCCTTCTTTTCATTAAACTAGACATACCCAGTTCCTGCAACTGTTCTTCAAATGTTTTAGATTCCAGTCCCCTAATCATCTTTGTTGCTCTTCTCTGCACTTTTTCTAGAGTCTCAACATCTTTTTTACATCGTGGCGACCAAAACTGGATGCAGTATTCCAAGTATGGCCTTACCAAGGCATTATTAAGTGGTATTAACACTTCACGTGATCTTGATTCTATCCCTCTGTTTATGCAGTCTAGGATGAGCCTATGTCGTAACTCAACAAAGCTCTTGTGGTTGCATGGCTTCCCGATCACTGTAATTGATGCTGTTTGCTTGCCTCCTCCTTCTGTACCAGGCCTCCTGGAAAGCTGTTAAGCCTCTCCTGTTTTTTTCGGTCCAATTTGAACCTCAGGTGGGAAAGTGTTATACCTGGAATCTCTCATTGTTATGAAAGGTAATATTACCTGCTAAATCAATAAAGGAGAAATGGTATCTAACAGTGTTGCAACCAAAGATAAAAAATTAACTAGAATATGTAAACTATCTTGCAAGGTGAGCCACAAAATCGTACGTCTAAGGATATTTAGTTGTTTAAAAGATTGTATTATACAAATCTTGCCTCTTTCTGTAAGTTTGTGGATTTAGGTTTCTTGCTGGTAACAGATACATCATCAAGAGCCTGGCTTCCACTTTGTTTTCTGTGTCTTACGTTCTCCATCACCTTTCCGAGTGTTGATAAACCTGCCAATATTAGCAATCTCTGCAAACAACACAAAAGTTACCAATAACTATATTAATACCAAATGTTATCTAGAGGTTACATTATAATTCGTTTGCTCCCTCCAGTCCTTTAATTTTAATCAAATGAAGACAAATAGCATGGTTACATAATGAAAACTAAGTAATTATCAGCAGCCGGATAGAATACAACAGTTACAAACTCTAAATTCACCAGGATCAGAAAGCGCTTCTGATAAGTCATTCTTTTCAAACAATAATTCAGAAGGTCTGTGAAACTGAGTGAAAGTGTCTCCCATTCAGACCGAGGGCAGAAAACGCTGTCATCACTCTGAAATGTTTCTGTAGAGAAATTTCGCTTAGCGACAGTAATCGCTGGGGGCTCAATTGTAAATTGAGAACTACCTGTATTAAAACCCAATAAAATGGACCCCTCTTTTTTTTCTCCTGCATTACTGTACCTGCCTAGCTGGTGTGACAAACAGGAGCAAAAATGGAAGATCATGATAAAACAAACACCCCCCCCCCCAAAAAAAATTGGTTAATCTCAGTTTCTTAATGTCGACATCAGAAAATCGTCTGGCAAAATCTGAACTACTTTTACCACAATTTATTACTTAAATGTGCTTCAGGAAAATGTTTCAGCAATGTGAACTGTATGACCACAATTCAACACATCAGAAAGATCGGCGTCTGAACTTTGGAATTGCAGTTTGCTGTTTTCTGCTTGAGGACACGACATGACTCATAGCAAGGATCTCATCGGATGAGAAGAAAATTTGCCATAAAATGGATTATTGCGGGTTATGGAGGCTGCTTATTGGATAATTTACTTGAAAGTATTCATCTGATTATTTTAGTTTGTTGGCTTTTTCTTTTACGTTGTAAATTTTATGGATGGTTTTATCTTTTAATCAGTATGGTATTCTTTCATTAAAAAAAAAAACTTGATGGTTTTTTTTTTTTTTTTTAAATCTTTTCTACTCAGCAGCGACCAGAAGTCATAAGCATTGAAATACCAAATGTCAAAATTCACATTTTAGGAAGGAATGTGACATTTTATGAAGTGCTTTGGCTTTATCAAGCCTGGGGCTCAGCAAAGAGAATTATTTTACATAGTTGGAAGGAAAGGGGTGCTCCTCGCGTTAAGGAATGAATTCGAGGTTTGTGCCCTTTTTAAAAATGTCTTTATGTTCCAAAGATCAGAAGATGAAACAGTTTGTTCCTATACAGCCAAGGTTATATTACAAGTGTTAAGGACAGAACTAATTTTACATTATTTGGATCTTATTTTTTTTCCTTTTTGCCTACGTTCTCCTTATTTACTCCACTTTAGTCCTATATATATGTATGTAGGTGCTTTTTTACTATATTATCATTGATGCTTTTCTTTTCTTGAGCAATGCCACAGAATATAATCCTGGGAATTTCTTCATTTCTTACACTTGTATCCTGCCACCAGAAGTGGATTTCAGCAGGTTCTGACCAGTTCTGGAGAACCGGTAGCGGAAATTTTGAGTAGTTCGGAGAATTGGTAGTAAATATTCTGACTGATCTTGCCCCCATCTCTTCTCTGCCTCCCGAGTCCCAGCTCATCGGGAAGAAATGGGGATTTTGCAGTATCCTTCCTCTGGAGTGGGGAGGGAATGGAGATTTTACAGTATCCTTCCCCTGCCATGCCCACCAAGCCACACCCACCAAGCAATGCCACGCCCACCAAGCCACAACCACAGAATCGGTAGTAAAGAATTTTGAAACCCACCACTGCCCGCCACAGTCAATACAACCAGGATTAACTGGGAATCTCTTGTCACAGAATATAAATGGACCACACTGGACTCACAATGGAAACAACCATACTTGAACAATAATGGGGACCTTTGGCGATTCATTAAAGCAGCCAGATCTGCTTTCAGAATCCTTTGTTATTCCTGGAAATACACGTAGCTGCTCTAAGGAACCATCGAGGGGTCCAACATTTATAGTTCAAAGCAACTTTTTAGACCTGAATCCAAAACTTTTGTTCATGTGCTTTTGTGGAAATCTGGTATGAAAACAGCAGGGGAATCTTAGTGCCAATTTTTCAATTGTCACCAAATATTGAAGACTCAAATGGTCTAAGCAGGACTGTTAAAGCCTCAAAGATTTTTGCTCCAATTTGCAACAATTTCTTCAGTTAGAGGTGAATATTAATCTTAAAATAGGTGATTTCTCAGCCTGGGTAAGTAAGAAGGCTTCAGATGGAGGGAAATTTAACTTATTAGGGAAAAATATATACGAAATATATATAGAAAAAAAAAACTATGAGAAAATTGGGAATTCTGGACATTATTGCTTCAGATATGACTATTTTCTCATTTCCCAATGCATTTTCCGTGACAAATGGATTGTTTCATCACCATCACCCCACACTAGCACAAATATTTAAGGGTTTTAATATTTACCAGTAACGTACTTGAGTTTTTCTGAATACATTCTTTGCCAAAAAAGGGTGGGGTTTGTGTTTTGTTTTTGTTTTTTTGCTTTACTGTGATTTTTTCCCCTCCCTGTTAATTATATTTTGTGTATTTTGTACCGAAACAAATTTCTGTTTGTTTTTATTTGTAGTTTCATCATCAGAAATGCCTTATCTGCACTCTAAATAGATAGATCAACATTTTAAAATGCTCATTTAGAAGATTATGTGTAGATACAGGTAGCCCTTGACTTAACAACAGTTCATTCAGTGACAGCTCGAAGTTACAATGGCACTGAAAGAAGTGACTTACGACCGTTTTTCACATTTACGGCTGTTGCAGCCTTCCCTGTGGCCACGTGATCGAAATTCAAACACTTGGCAACTGACTCATACTTATGACGGTTGCAGCGTCCCGGAATTCTATGATTCCCTTTTGCGACCTTCTGACAAAGCAAAGTCAACGGGGAAGCCAGATTCACTGAACCACCAAGGGTTACTAACTGCAATGATTCAACTTAACAAGCGTGGCAAGAAAGGGCAAATAAAACAGGGCAAAATTCACTTAGCAACTGTCTCACTCAGCAACCTAAATTTTGGGCTCAATTGTGGTCGTATGTCAAGGACTTGCTGTATTCTCTGTACCTACTAAAAGATGCATCGTTCTTATTCCTGAACAAGAGTTCAGAGGGCTGAAGTTCTACAGATTTCCTCCCACCCTTTGAATGGCACAGGTAGAAATTTAACCACAAAGTTCCAGGACAATCCTAATAAATCTTAATTTCTTTTTACATGTAATAAGTCTGTTTTTTTAAAAAAAAAATACTTTGAGCTTTGATCACAATTTGGGGATTGCTAAAGACTGCTCATAACTTATCCTTTGCCTTTCAGCGGGGAACTAAGAATGTCACTTACTGTGGTCGGTCTTGTGCCTATGTCATCCAAAGAATCCTCCAGCAGGTACTTCCCTTCCCTTCTTCCTCAGGTGCTTTTCCTTGCAATTCAGCAAGTCAAATCCTTGCAAGTCAAGGATTGGGGAGAAAAAAAAAAAGAGAGGAGAGTGGGAAATTGCAGTGGCTACTTAAGCCCAGAGGTTATAAAAAAAAAAAAAAAAGATAATAATTAAACCAGCGTGCTTGCAAGGAACATTAAGGGCCCAATTAATTCATGTTGAACGGTGTGCGTGTGTGAAGGTCTTTGGTGGATTAACAAACGGCCAGGAAAGAAGAAGAAAGGGAAGGAGGTGTGCAAATGGAACGAAAGAATGCGATGGTGCAGCCGTCGTTGGCGTCGGATCACTGGAGACCCAAGTAAATTGCAGGTTGCCATGACTATATAAAACATCAAAGTCATGCAGGCTTCATTAGAGAAAACAAACAAACACGCAGCGTCTCTTTGGTGGAAAGCCGGTTTTCCATGGTTGTCACGGCAGTTAAAGGCCGGTGGTATTTCCCTCCCCCCATTTTTGGAAAATCCTCTTGCAGAGTTACCAATACCCGTTTCATCTGATGTCTATGGAGATTCTCAGTCATCCAGGTCGTGGTTGTCCCAAAGGACCTCTTTTTTTCCGAGAGGCAACGGGACTTTCAGCTTTATCTCTGAAGACGTTTCGCTTCTCATCCGAAGGAGCTTCTTCAGCTCTGACTGGATGGTGGGAAATGGAAGGATTTATATTCCTTGCAGACAGCTGGGCATCTGCATTCTCTTAGAGAGTCCTTAAGGTCACCTAAAGGTTTATCTGTGTCATCAGGGTCCCCTGAGTTGTGCAAATGGGGTGTGGAGCCTTCTTGGAACTGTTGAAAGGACTGTTTGTAGATTGGAGATAGATGATGTCGTATCCGTCTCCCTGTTTCATCTAATGCTCACAGAAAGAAAAATGAAGAGTTACATTCCGAATATTTTTACTTGTCTTACTTTTTTAGAGCCCTGAATTCACTCTAGGCTGATGACATTTTTCGAATAGAATAGAATAACAGAGTTGGAAGGGACCTTGGAAGTCTTCTAGTCCAGGGGTCACCAATCTTTCGGACCTCAGGAACCACTAAATTCATCATTTTAAATCCTGAGGACCACTAATATGATCTGCCTAATGACCAGCTGGGTGGGCATGGCTAGGTGGTCATGTGACTGGGTGGGCGTGGTCAACTCGATGTCACTCATGTTGAGGGGCACCTTGCCGGCCTCTACTCACCTCTCCCCTCCCAGCCCCTCCTCGCCCCTTAGTGCCCCAAGAGGAAGCAGTTGTTGGAGCTAAGCAGCCACCATGAGAAAGAGTTGGCAAAACAGCTCAGTTCAAATTGGATCTGACCGAGAAGGAGGCTCAGCAGAAGCACCCCACTGAGGACTAGGAGCATAGGCTTTCCAAGCAGAGGGAAGACCTGCGGGAGTGCAAGGCCAGGTACTGGCGCCTGGAGGCTCAGCGGGCTGAGATGGTCTGCCAGTTCCAGGCCATGATGCAGTCCCACTGGAACGAGGCCCTCCGGCTCTTTGCCACCAGCGGCAATTCCCTCCAGCCTTCGCCCAAAGCCCCTCACCAGGAGGCTGAAGCAGACCCCAAGTTGGAATTTCTGCCTCCCTCCAACCCACACAAAAAGACCCCGAAGGGGGAGACTCTCTGCAGCAACACACATGTTCATTGCACATATCCTGCCCAGGGGCCGTAGTTTGAGGACCCCTGATTTAGTGCAATATAAAAAATGCACCAAAATTTTCTCGCAGACCACCAAAACTTTCTCACGGACCACCAGTTGGTGACCGCTGTATCTAATCCATCCCCCTGCTTAGGCAGGAAACCCTACACCACTTCAGACAAATGGTTATCCAACATCTTCTTTAAAACTTCCAGTGTTGGAGCATTCACAACTTCTGCAGGCAATTTGTTCCACTGATTAATTGTTCTAACTGTCAGGAAATTTCTCCTTAGTTCTAAGTTGCTTCTCTCCTTGATTAGTTTCCACCCATTTTGCCGGGTATTTAAAAATAGCCTGACCATATTATTGCTGTTATTTCCGGTTGGTTGTTTTCCAACGAGGTAGAGTTTGCAAGAATATGAATTGCTGATTAATTTCTATATATGTTTGCTCTGTTATTATTTCTTCCATTTGCCTTTTGTCTCACGAGAAATTCATTGACAACTATTACTTGCTTATAAGCACTTGATATCTTCCAGTTAATGAGAAAAAAGTTCAGGTTCCAAGATGGGTGCACCTGGTAGCTTTCTAACTCTATTGCTCATAATAATAATAGAAGATGTTATCTGCTTAGGTAATCCAATGTTCACCTTCATTCCAGTTCCACATCGATGTCATTGGATCATACTAGTATCTTGCATCTTGTACTAGTATCTACAGGGCAATCTGCAAATGATGGTGTGTCACCACAATCTTGGAATAGAACAGGACGGAACAGAATAATAGAAGTTGGATGGGACCTTGGAGGTCTTCTTGCTTAACCTTGGAGGTTTCCTGCTTAAGCAGGAAACCCTACACCATTTCAGCCAAAATGGTTTTTCAACATCTTCTTAAAAAAATCCAGTGTTGGAGCATTCACAACTTCTGGAGGCAAGTCGTTGCACTGATGAATTGTTCTCACTGTCAGGTAATTTTTCCTTAGTTCTAAGTTGCTTTTCTCCTTGATTAATTTCCATCCATTGCTTCTTGGCCTGTCTTCAGGTGCTTTGGAGAATAGGTTGACCCCCTATTTTTGAGAATCACAAATAATTCTTTCAAGGCTCGGGACATCCAATGTATGAAAAGACTCAATGGTGGGTTCTACTTACCTTTACTACCGGTTCGCAACGGGACCGCGCACTTCTGCACATGTGCAGAAACTTCCTGATGACGTCCGGGTCAGTGGGCGGAGCCTCCCGCTGGTTTTACTACCGATTCTTGCGAACCGGTCTGAACGGGAGAAACCCACCACTGAAAAGACCTTCACAGAAGTTTCCACTGTAATTGAAGCAATGCTAAGAAATTAGGAATTGAAGGGCGGATGGTGATATTGTTTATATATTAAGTATTAAGAAGAGATTAAGATAAAGATTAAAAAAAATAGAGGAAAAAAGAATAGTATAGCAGAAAATGAAATATGTAAATTGTATCTGGAAAAAACAAAAAAGAAGATTGGAATTGATTATAAAAATCAATGTATAATTATGTTATAAGTTGTAAAAGATGTGACCCTATGTAAAAGAAAAAATTATATTTGTATCCTGCTGGCAGGATACAAATGTAAGAAACAAAGAAATTCCCAGGATTATATTCTGTGGCATTGCTCAAGAAGAGCAAAACATCAATGATAATATAGAGATTTATGGACTTCAATGTTGGCTGGGGAATTCTGGGGCTTGAAGTCTGCAGATCTTAAAATTATTAGCATTTTAGTCCTGATCTTGTCTAGCAGCTATAATCATCTATTTTATTGGAGAGAAAACAGATTAAGGCGTGTTATTCTCCTTTTTAAAGTAAACAGAACCTGAATTTGCTAAGGCTAATGAGATAGAAGGGAATCTTAGGCGCGTGCTTGCATTGTCAATTATTCTCTGCTGAAGTTCACTGTCAGATTTGAGATGGAGTTGTAATTAAGCATTTTCTGTCGCTATGCAAATTCCGGTCACATCTCTACCTTTTAATGCGCAGAGCATGTTTAATTATGCATGAGAGAAAACGAAACCCCCGCTGTTGTCTCCCATTTGAGGCCCCAGCCTTGCTAATTGCTACCGTTTTGCCCTCATTTGTCACTGGGTTTCACCCCCCCCGCCAAAAAAAAAAAAAAAAAGTAATTTACTTCTTTAGTCAAATAAGCAAAACTCCTTGTGGGTTTTTCCTTGTGGCTGATCAGTGGAAACATCCTCTGGATGTTGCTTTAATTTGAACCACATATCAAAGAGTTAGGGATTCACTTGGCATCTCCCAAGTGTCAAACCTGCTTCTCAAATGGCATGCAACTTTTTTTTTTGGCCTGTTTTTCTCTCTTTTTTCCCATTTCTTAAGAGAAGAGGTGAAGTAGACTGAACTAGCTGCCACCGTAACTTAATCGCTTAATTATTTCAACTATCTTTAATCAAGTAAAAATGCACTCCAGATTAATTAAGCAAGAGAGTCAGTCCTCTGGGATTAATTTAATTGTTGGGTCAGTGTTTCTCAATTTGGCCAACTTTTAAGCTCTGCGGGCTACAATTTTCAGCCGGCATGGCTAGCTGGAGAATTCTGGGACTTTTTTTTTTTTTTTTAAATTTGATTTATATGCCGCCCTTCTCTGGAGACTCAGGGCGGCTTACAATGTGCTCAGCAATAGCCTTCATCCTTTTGTATATTTATACAAAGTCAGCTTATTGCCCCCACAAACTGGGTCCTCAATTTACCTACCTTAGAAAGGATGGAAGGCTGAGTCAACCTTGAGCCTTGGCGAGATTCGAACCTGCAGTAATTGCAGGCAGCTGGTCTTAATAACCAGCTTAATAACAGGGTGCCTTAGACCACAGTACTACCAAGGCTTGAAGTCCATGCTTTCTGAGCTTGGTTGTTTTTTTGAAGACATTTCATCACCAAACTAGGTAACATAATCAGTGCTAGTAGGGAGTGAGGTTGGATCTCATTTTATATTCTTGCCCTATTAGTATTGGTGGGTATTGGTCTTAGAGATTCTTTGGCTGGGCTGTTTACTGTTAACCTGTTTTTGCAGTTTCTTGATTGGGACATTTTTTACTTCTTGATTGTTGGCCTGTTGTTAATCTTGGAGTTAATCTATGCTCATATGGGTGCTGATTGCTGGTGGGAAGCAGAGGTGGGTTGCAGCAGGTTCTGACCAGTTCTGGAAAACCGGTAGCAGAAATTTTGAGTAGTTCGGAGAACCGGTAGAAAAAATTCTGACTGGCCCTGCCCCCATCTATTCTCTGCCTCCCGAGTCCCAGCTGATCGGGAGGAAATGGGGATTTTGCAGTAACCTTCCCCTGGAGTGGGGTGGGAAGGGAGATTTTACAGTATCCTTCCCCTGCCACGCCCACCAAGCCATGCCATGCCCACCAAGCCACATCCACAGAACTGGTAGTAAAAAATTTTGAAACCCACCACTGGTGGGGAGGTATTTTGATCTTTTTGTTCTCTTTTAAGCTTGTTGATTGTCTCTTTTTGCAAACCCCACTCCTTGCTAGCACTGATGATGTTACCTAGCTTGGGTCATGAAAGGCCTGTAAGAAAACAGCCAAGCTCAGAGAGCACCAAGGACTCTTCTTTTCAATCCTGAGCTACAAATATTCTCGTTAAAGTCATCAACTTTCATCAACTGCAGCTACAATGGTTCTCCCGGGGATAGGATTGGAGGCAAGGCACAAAGAGACAGGTTTGAGAACTGTGTCCCCCTCTGGGATCTGTGACTACACGATCTGCTCATCTAACCAACTGTTTTGACATCCTGAACTTTCGGGTTAAGTAAGTTTGCAAACAAATCACACTTTTCAAATGACAGCCTTAATGTTTTCCTCTGGCTAAATCCTTAAGATGATAAGCTTCTTCCGGATAAAGCCAATTGCATTCTTTCTGGGGGGTTTGTAAACTGCTGTCAATGGAGATGGTGCCATGGAAACAAAACCCCAAAAAACGCAAAGAAGATTAGATGATTTCCTGTTAGAGAAACATTGACAACAAATCAATTAAACCTAAATCAGTTTCAGATAAAGATCTGAAATGCCTTTAAAGGTCAAATGTACAGTTTAGAGACGCAGAAGATTGCTTTAGGAAAGAATTAAATATAGTGGAGCAATTAGAAAATGACTTTTCCCACCCTGCTTCACTGCCTCTGGCAGATGTTTGAGATAAATCTCAAAGTTTGCAGTACCCACTCCTGTAAAGAGAAAAGAACATTGTTGCTTACAGGTAGTCCTGGACTTACGACCATAATTGGCCCCAAAAATTGTGTTGTTAAGGAAGACAGTTAAATGAGTTTTGCCCCGTTTTGTGACCTTTCCTGCCACATTCGTTAAATGAATCACTGACATTGCAGCCGTCATAAATATGAAGCGGTCGCCAAACATCTGAATTTCACGATCGCGTGAAGGTTGCAATGGCTGGAACTGTGGAAAAGGGTCGTGAGTCACTTTTTTCGGTCCTGTTGTCACTTGGAACGGTCACTAAACAGACGGTTGTAAATTGAGGACTTCCTGTAATCGGTACAGCTTCATACATGACGTAGTGAAAAAGTGCTTATAATGTGTCTTAAGAGACGTGGTGGCTCAATGGCTGAGACGCTAAGCTTGTCGATCGAAAGGTCGGCAGTTCGGCGGTTCGAATCCCTAGTGCCGCGTAATGGGGTGAGCTCCCGTAACTTGTCCCAGCTTCTGCCAACCTAGCAGTTCGAAAGCACGTAAAAAATGCAAGTAGAAAAACTTTGGTGGGAAGGTAACAACGTTCCGTGCGCCTTTGGCGTTGAGTCATGCCGGCCACATGACCACGGAGACGTCTTAGGACAGTGCTGGCTCTTCAGCTTTGAAACGGAGATGAGCATTGCCCCCTAGAGTCGGGAACCATTAGCACATATGTGCGAGGGGAACTTTTATCTTTACCTAATGTGTCTTATGTTTCCATGTGAAAATGCAAACATGGAGTTTGCAAATGTTTTGCTTGGGATATAGGAATAGCGGTGACAGCCTTAGTATTAGAGCCTGGGTGTGCATTGAGACCTTAACCCATAATTCAAAATTTAGACCGTTTGCCAGCCAGGCAGTCAAATGATCGAGCGCACTACATGGCAGTTCTCTACATAGTTTCCAAGGCACTCCTGCAAATAATGCAGCTTTATTGCTGAAGGTGACAAAGGCTGGCTAGATAAGAAAGATGTTCTCCACTCCCTGGTTTAAAGGGACCATAAAACTTGCCAGGAGAGTGAAGAGAGACGGGGAAATTTCAGCGAGATCCAATGGATAATTACAATTCCTAGAGAATTCCTTTGCATCCCCCAAAGTTGGTTTTCTTTTCTTTTCCTAATTGGGCACCTAAAAAAATAATGTCCTACAGAGACATGATAGCAGTGTTCCAATATCTCAGGGGCTGCCACAAAGAAGAGGGAGTCAAACTATTCTCCAAAGCACCTGAGGGTAGGACAAGAAGTAATGGGTGGAAACCGATCAAGGAGAGAAGCAACTTAGAACTAAGGAGAAATTTCCTGACAGTTAGAACAATTCATCAGTGGAACAATTTGCCTCCAGAACTTGTGAATGCTCCAACACTGGGAGTTTTTTAGAAGATGTTGGGTAACCATTTGGCTGAAGTGGTGTAGGGTTTCCTGCCTAAGCAAGGGGGTTGGACTAGAAGACCTCCAAGGTCCCTTCCAACTCTGTTATTCTGTTCTAGAGGGAAGAAAGGAGGATGCTTCGCAATGAATGGACAAACTGAAAAGGAACAAGTCACAGGGGCAGCAGTAGCCCCTGGAATGTTTTTCTGGATCTTAAAAACCGTGAAATCGCTCAGCTATTAACTGAAATACATAACCGATCTCACAAATCATCCCTTTTTTTTCTGATGGCCTGGAAAAATGGCCAGGTTAACACCAATCTTTGAAAAGAGGATTTTGGGAATTACAAACCTGTTAACCAGGATTTTTTTGTAAGATAATACCGATAAGAGAGTTAAAAATCCAGGCTGGGGAACTGGAGAAAACACTTAGCCTATGTAATCTTGAATCTGGATGGCTTCTAAAAAGGAATCTGGCCTTGCTTAAACAATCAGAACTTTTTAAAAGCTCTTAACAAACTTGTCTCTTAATCTGCATTCAAAGGCATCTTTGTTTGTTTTTCGCCAAGCGCCTCCCCAGAGGTTCCTAAGAAACTTCGCAAGATCCAAGAACAGTCCTAGAGATCATTAACTAGGAAAAGAAGGAAGAAAAATAATACTGCATTCACTGTGGAGATAAGCAGAATTCCTTCCCTCTTATCAGTCTGAATGTGCGGTTTTTCAACATCAAAGATCTACCCAGAATAGAACACTGGCATCTCAGTGGCACCGAGGAGATGGGTGGCAGATAAATCTAATAAATGAGTAAAAAATAAAATTAGGAGAGGATGAAAGCTACAGAAGCAGACCCACAATTATAAAATGACCGTAATTTAAAATTTCAGTATATTTGCACTGGGAATACTGAATGCATTTCACCTTTGATAACATCAAACATTAATATCCAGTGGCAACTTTTGATTTGAAGGTTGGGGATGGGAGAAATTATTCCTCGCCTCGGAAGGAATATCCTGATTTACAATACTTATATCATCTCATCTTTCAGTTTGTAACAGTGTCCCAAAATACAGTATATAAAAGTGCCTCTATTATATACGAGCCTTGCATGAAAATAACCTGAACATTGAAATTTATAATAAAATGTATATTTAATTATTCATGTATAAACCGCAGCTAGAATTGTATTTGCACAACATTGGAAAAGTGAAGAGATTCCCATCGATGAGAAGGTGATTAGGAAAATATTAGAATGTGCAGAAACGAACAGATTAACATTAGCAATTAAGGAGAAAGAACAAACTGAATATTATATGATATGGGAAGTATTTTATCAATGGCTAGAGAATAAAAAAGGAGTTTGGAAATGAAGACGACTAAGGAATAATAGAAAACACATTAAGATAGATATAAATAAGATGAAAATTGTTAGTACACATATGATGAGAATGATGTTTAATGTTCATATGGTATTATCACTAGAAGATATTAAGAAGAAAATGAAGAGCTTTACAATGTTTAATTGTTTAATATATAACTTTAAGTATAGAGAAACAATGTTAATGTGAATGTGAGTAATGTTGCAAATGGTGAAGGATATTGCACAGCGATGCTCGTACCCAGACGACACACTGCTTAAGGATAGATAGAATGTTTATATTCTTGAAATTGAAAAATATTTTTTTTATTAAAAAAAGAAGAAAAAAATAACCAAAACATTTAAAATTGTAATGGTTAAAGAACAAACTAATACCAATGTCCCAGATTTCCCGGCAATATTTTATTCTTGGAATTACGTGACTACTTCCTATTTTTAAAAGCTTTGCTGAAAATCACTGTATCCAGGGATTCTGTTGATAATTCCCCTAGCTCCTCCTAACCAATCCAAACTACTTGCTCCCCCCCCCCCGCCGTCTTCCTTTTTATAAATACTGTTCCATTTCTCCATAGTTTCTAAATTCTGGATAAACTGGATGGTTTACTTGAGCAGTTATTTTGAATGTTGCTAGAAGAAATCATCAACTATATTGTATCCAGCATCGTGGATGGACCGAACATTGTCTACTTAAGTCTGCTCTTGGTTAAATATCTTTTAAAATATGAGAAAAAGAATAAAAGCAATCCATAAAATTGACAATTATTAGATGTGTTAACAGCAGGGGAAGGCCAAAATTTTAAAAAAATAATTTTTGAACAGGTTCCTACAATACCTCAGTATTAAGATCTTCATGAGCTAGTTCCTTGCAATGTGTTGTATATGCAAAATAATAATCTAATATTAATTTTGGCAGGCCATAAATACTGTAGCTAATGTTGTCTTAATTCTGGAAGGGTGAAAATAACATGGGAAGTACTGCCTCTGTGTATATATTCAATTAAGTCTGCCTTAATAGAAAATTGATTTTTTAAAAAGAAGGATCAACTACAGTATAAAAAAGGGGGAGGAAGGCTACTTCCTTTCCTAAGCTGCAGGAGATCTCCCGGTTGAAAAAACGCTTCTAATCATTCATTCTGTTTATTTAATTATCTCCTCTTTTATATCCAGAGCTGCGGGGAAGACCCTGACAGTCATTCTCCACTATTTCGCTTTAATCTCAGACAGCATCCCTGACTCTCGGAGGTTTGCTCTTTAAAAGTCCAATTAATCGTGAATAAATCAGCAGAAGTCATCCCACTGTTATTCTGCACCTTTGTCAGCATTTCATAGGAGGATATTGATTTTCAAGGGATGGGAGGATCAGCCGTGCTCACCAGGGTCTCTTTCATGTCCTAAATATTCAGACTTCCCTCTAGACAATTGCTCTAACAAAAAAACAAAAACAAAATAAAACCGAACATGAAGTCGGTGCCCTTTAAAATAAGTATTTTATTATTATAAAAAGCATGAAAAAATACGTAATTGGTAAACAAACAAAGCTGTAAATAGTACACAACTGTCAGCATTTCTAAAATCACACACTTATCCAACCAAACATTAGGATAAATTAAAAACACTGGGGGAATGGGGGGGAGAGAGAGAGAATATAGTAGACAGCAGATAAGAGTGCAAAATCTCCCTCAAACCATTTTTATGTCTGAACTGCCACGAAACAGATTTATGGCTTGAAAGACAACATTCAGACCAGTGGTGAAATCTGAACCTGCTTGCTACCAGTTCGCTGGCCGCGCATGTGCGATGCGCGCCAAACACACGCTGCGCATGTGCATACATGCGCAGTACGCACCAAAAGGAGGCTTGGGAAGGTAAGTAGAACAGCGTTCAGGGTTCCAAGGAACACCCTCAAAAAAAAATTGTCTTCCAAAACTGACACAGCGAGAGGGGGGGAGGATCAGCTGTGCCGCGCGATTTAGATTTACTAGAAAGCAGGATTTCCCTGCTTTTTAGCAATTTTAAATTACGTGGCACAGCTGATTGCCGGAAATACCGGAACCGATAGCTTTTTTTTACTACCGGGTTCTGGCGCACCAGTAGCATTTCACCACTGATTCAGACAGTAATATGCTTTGATGAAGACCAAGCTCCAGGTCTGTTGCAAGTAACTGTTCAGAATTGCCCAGGTCAGTAAAGAATCTGTGCTTAATGGGACATACCGGACTGGATTTATTATTTATTTATTTGTTAAATTTATTTGCCACCTATTTTGCGGTGGGGCTATATACTCTAGGGGGCTGACAACAATAAAAAGGAGGAAACGAAAAGTGCGTGAACCGAAGTAAGATGACTGAGCAAGAAGATAAAACAATGAAAAAGAATACAACGTTGTGGTTTAGGCAGAGGTAAACACAATCTGGGTTTATGCGCAGACCCTGACAACGGACACCTCTGTGAAGTTGTAAAGAAGAGAGTTCAGCACATTCCGAGATGCTCACAAGAATGGCTCAGTCAGAAAAACCAAAGAAATAAAGCTAAAAACTATGGGGAAATTGGTCTAAATCAGTTATGGCTTTCTCAAAATCTGAATTTAGCCAGCACCTCGGGATAGTACTTTGAACGTTCAATTCAAAAGCCGTGGAATATTTATTTATTTATTTATTTATTGGTTCGATTTATATGTCGCCCTTCTCTGGAGACTCAGGGCGGCTTACAATGCGTTAAGCAATAGCCTTTATACTTTTGTATATACCTTTCGGCCCCCCCTAAGCAGTGTTCTTTTTTATACAAAGTCAGCTTATTGCCCCCACAATCCGGGTCCTCATTTTACCTACCTCGGAAGGATGGAAGGCTGAGTCAACCTTAAGCTTTAGAAGCGACTCTTGTGCCAAAGGGGAGTGAATGTAAAAAGCATCTTTTTGAAAATGTTTTATAAGAACAGCTAAAAGCGTGGATGAAGAATGTTTTCCGCTCCGAGGTGTTCCATCCCACTTGGTACCCCAGTTCATCTAAAAAAAGAAAAAAGGAAGGAAGGGCTGCTGAATTCTAGGGAAAAAGGAAGGAGAGAAAAAGAAATGATAGTTTCCACCTGGTCCCAGCAACCTGGTGCAGGTTGGCTTCTGTTGCTCGTACAAGGAGGGCACCACCATCTGTGCCCATCCGTCAGAAGGAAAGATGGTGGGCGACCAAAGGAATGCAGCTGGAGTGTTGGAAGTGTTTCGTGAACCTTTCAGATTTTTTTCCCCTCCATGATTGGATGATTATGATTATTTGGTAAACTTGAAAGACACAAGTATGTTACAAAAGGATACAAAGAAGGCAAACCTGGAATTACTGATTTAGAGATTTGGATGATTTAGAAAAGACTGGGATGAGAAAAGATGAGGTCTTGCTTTCAACAGTTTATCGATACTATTTTTTTTAAAAATCTGGCTTTGCCTAAGTATTGTGCATTTGTAAAATATGGATATTGTCAATTTTTTTGTGCTCTCTTACTAATTGCCTTGCTTGTCTTGGGTAAGAGACTCCCTGAAAGGTAACAATTCTGACGGAAATTTAATGACCTAGCTATGAACATTCAAACTATCAAATGAGGCTATTGCCTCCAGAACCCACCCATGTTATATTGCTCTACAGTTATATGTTCTTTCCTTATATTGCTTTTATATTTTGCTTATTCTAAAGAGATATAACTTTTAAAAACAAGAATTTCTATTCAGCTCTTCAGTAAAAGACTAGACATTATATATTCTTATTTTTTTTGTCCATATCTTTATAAAAGTTCAGCTAAATCAAGGCTCAGTTCAGCCATTTCAGCCCCCAAATCTCTAGTTGCTTAATAAAAAGAGTGCAAAGTTATATAAAATCAATTCAAATACGTTTTTCTTTGGTTTAAGCATCTAAATGTCGTATTGACAACACTATTCAACTCTGGCTTCCATTAAATACTATATTTAATGGGGTTTCTTCTAGGAAGGTGTTCTCAGAATTTCAGATAGATAAAACAGGCCAACAGAAACCTTATGAGAGACAGAGCTGGCAGCTGTGCCCTGCCTATCAATTGGAAGCTTTATTGAGGGATCTTTCCCTTTTTGTAGCTTTGTATCTGTACAGTGGTACCTTGGTACTCAACTGCTTTGAAACTCATTGAATTCGGTATTCGATGCATTTTGACACGAACATTTCATCCCGGTGCTCATCATTTGTTTAATACTCAACAAACAAGCTGGAAATTGTCAGTGTCAGCAGCCTTGTGACTCAGGACATTATTCCTTATGGGAAAAAATTATTTGGTACTCATTATTTTTGGTACTCCCAGTATCAATTAACGATGAGTACCGAGGTACCACTGTATGTTCTCTGTAACAGTCAAGGCAAGAAACATGCTTTTTAGCATGAAAGATGCTTCTCGGGGCTTTGAAAGGTCCCTTATCCTACAATGCTAATCACAGCCGTGAAGACTTCTCAACCCAACTGGTAAATCATACTTTGCTTCTGACTAGGTTCCCGTTTGCTCTTTTATGTTTGCTTCTTCCAATCCCGTTTTGCCCTGGAGGAAGCATACATATCCACTTCCTTAATTTTTAGTCGTCTTCTTGCTTCGGAACTTGAGGGGGTGATGACACTTCCACATCACAGTAGCTAAAGCCGTATCTACTCAGCAGGACTTTCTGAGAAAGGTCAGTTAATGGCGATTCGTAAGCGGCATTGACCGAATTCTGTATGTTTTTCTCCAGAGATTTATGCAAGAGTTCCTTCATCCTCCGGTTTTCTTTGGTGGTTGATTCCCAAATTATTTCAAGTTCACTTTCCATTTCTCTGAGAAAAAAGAAAAAGAGAAAGGATGGGCTAGGTTTGCATGCTCCTCGCCCTCCATGTTTAAGCAGCACTTTGGAGGTGAACAATCAATCAGCATAGTCAGAACAATTACTTTAATTTTAGTATCTTGCCTGATGGTGAAGGAACACCGTGTACTCTGAACAAGAATGATTAAGGATCTCTAAGCTAATGTTCAATAAAATGTCCTCATATCTTCATCCTCTTATCTGCAGCTAGTTCAGAAAACATCACAAAGAATTACCTTAACTTTCCTTTCTCTTATTAATGACAGCATGGATCAATGAATGAGCAGGAATGAAGGATTCTCTATGCAGTTCATTCTTTTAATGACCCATTTTATAGGTGTTAACACCTGTCTGAGATGCACCTGACTCCCAACTCGCGATGCCCAAATGTACTGAATTATGGGAGCGAATCTGGCTCCCCTTATTGATTTTGCTTGTTGGAAACTGGCTAGGAAGGTTACAGATGGTGATCACATGACCTTGGGACAGTGCAACTGTCATAAGTACGTGCCAGTTGCCAAGCGTCAGAATTTTGATCACATAACTATGCAATGGTCGTTAAGTGTTAAAACCGGTCATAAGTCACTTTTTTCAGTGCCGTTGTAACTTCAAATACTGACTAAATGAATGATTGTAAGTCGAGGACTACCTGTAGTTAAAAAAAGACATAAGACATCACAGAAGAAAAAAAAAATCTTCTTATAGGGCAGAAGAGAATAACACGTAGCTCCTAGAAGCCTCTTCGGCTCACTAGTGCTGAAATTATTTGTTTGAATTCAAACATTGAAAGTTTTTTTAAATAAGAACTGCATCAAACTCCCCATAGCCGAGGAGGGGAAAAAAATATGAAATATCAAACAGGAGTTCTGCTGTTATGTACGTTCTTTCGAAGTAGGTTGAAAAATTTACTGTACATGATTTGGTGCCTGGATTTTATTGGGTTTCAGACTTCTCGATGTTCAATCAGCCCTAATTAGATAGATTACATGACTGCTGATGAGAACAGATCTGCAATAATCTTCTGCTCTTGAAATCTATCTCTGCACCAATAAATCTTTTAAGCAATCGTGCCTGCAGTCATCAAAAATCTTAGCCCTTGTCCCAGCTTGTAAATGTTGCGCTGTCTCGTCCCAATTCAATCTTTTCCCATGTAGCGTTCAAAGATGGCATTGTATGTGCTGTTCAGCAGGGCCTTGGTTTGAGAATTGTAATCTCGTTGTAAAGAGTTGAAAAATATAATAAGAATAATCATGTAAATTAATCGTGTAACCTTTTCCTGGGTGCAAAGCAGTGGTGGGTTGCCCCCAGTTCGGACCTGTTCGCAAAAACCGATAGTAAAACTGGCGGGAGGCTCCGCCCACCTCCCCGGAGGTCGTCATCCCACGATCTGCGCATGTACAGAAGCAAGGCGGATGCATGAAGCGAGCACGTGCCTGCAATCCCGTTGCGAACCAATAGTAAAGGTAAGTAGATCCCACCCCTGGTGCAAAGATTACATTTATGTGTGGAACAGAAGTCTAAATAGGTTTCAACAACATTCAGTTCTGCTCACTCTCCCGTTTAATTTAGCTTAGCTTACAAATAAGGTAAATACCTGTACTTTATAATTTCATAGGTTGCATTTTTCTCCTAAGAAAATTTGGTGTTTTAGGGCAATACAGTTACTTGTTCTATGATAGGGTGCTCAGGCTTATGTATGCAAGGACTTTTCCCTCTTGAAGGCAATTCAGTCCAAATCTTTTGAGGGCTACAATTGTGTCCCTCAAGGTGTTTCTAAAATTGCCTTTCACCTGGCGGCAAGGTCTAAAAAAGCGAGTGGGATAGTCAAGACCACCTACTGGCTAAAATTGACCTTACTTCCCAGAGGCCTTAGCTCCCTTGAGCCCACTAGAAATTGTCATTCAAGATGGAAGACTTTACAGACAAACGACCGTATAAAGTTGTCATTTATCCCACCCGCTTCGCAGTTCTTGAGATTCCTCAAAGCTAATGAGGTTGTTAAGACAGCAAATAATAAGATATTGATTTGCTGTACAGACAGACAAATGACAACATCTCTTTTTTCTTTTAAGAATGGAAAACTTAAAAAAGCAAAGCCTGGCTAAATTTCTCCATAGCCTTGAAGAAATGACATGATGGCTTCCACCTTAGCTGTTTTGCATTCTTTTGTCTTCGGCCTTGCATCTTCTCCTCACGGAGAGGAGAATCATTCAAGATCATCATTCAAGGTCAGTCAAAACCAGATGGCAACAGCAATAGGATCTAGACTTATATACTTCTTCCTAGTGCTTTACAACACTTTCTAAGTCAGAGGCCCCCAACCTTTTGGACACCAGAGACCGGTTCCACAGAGAGAGTTTTTTCCACAGAGCAGAGTGGGTGTAGTTTCGCATACTACCTGAATCCCACGGATGGGGCATTGCTTTTTTGCATGAACCAGTTTCTGGCATGGTGTGGCCCAGTATCGGTCCACAAACTAGGGGACCCCTGCTCTAAGTGGTTTACGAGTCAGCATATTGCCCCCCCCCCCAACAATCTGGGTCCTTATTTTACCGACCTCGGAAGGATGGAAGGCTGAGTCAATCTTGAGCCGGTCAGGATTGAACTCCTGGCAGTGGGCAGAGTTAGCCTGCAATATTGCATTCTAACCACTGTGCCATGTCAATGCTACAGTACATGATCAATATGCTACTATACAGACAGCATACTGTTACACTGTCAATTTTATAATAATCCTGATTGCTTTCATATATCTCCAATTCGAAGGAGGATTCCTGGTAGAGTAAATAATTTTTTATATCAAGGTACTCCAGGCACATTCTAACAAAGGCAGTACCTTAAAAATTCTGTTTTAGATCCTGTGCTATTAGAGAACAAATGAGGAATCCTGGTAATTAAAAAAAAAATTATTTCATTTTATTTTAAATTGTTCACAAGAATAGAATGTTATAAGAAGATTGTAAAATCTTTCAGTTGGCTAAGAGCTACAAATTGATTAAGGGTTTGGTTTCTGGGTCACAGACTGTAAAAAATTATCTGTAAACAAATAGAAACAAAAAAAAATATTTTAATATGATTTTAAAAGTTTAAAAATTTCATATTGTTCTAGCAGTAATCTGATCGTACAATAAAATAAGAATGTCTAATCGGGCTGATTTACAGATGAAGCATTTTAGCTACTCTCTCAATGGTGTATTAATCTCTACATGCTGCTCTTCAAAAATATAGTCCTTTGCTATGTATTACATGCCTTCACCAGTAATAAGTAGTATGGCTCAGCGGCTAAGACACTGAGCTTGTCAATCAGAAAGGTCGGAAGTTCAGCGGTTCGAAGCCCTAGTGCCGCGTAACGGGGTGAGCTCCCGTTACTTGTCCCAACTTCTGCCAACCTAGCAGTTCGAAAGCACGTAAAAAATGCAAGTAGAAAAATAGGAACCACCTTTGGTGGGAAGGTAACAGCGTTCCGTGCCCCTTTGGCATTTAGTCATGCCGGCCACATGACCACGGAGACGTCTTTGGACAGTGCTGGCTCTTCAGCTTAGAAACGGAGATGAGCACTGCCCCCTAGAGTCGGGAACGTATGTGCGAAGGGAACTTTTACCTTTACCTTCATACCTCAAGGAAACATTTTCAAGCACAATTGTCAAAAGACTTTGCCAGTCTTGATGTCCTGATTTACAAACTCAATTCCATTTTTTAGCCCATGTAGCTTCAATGACTAACATTCTCCAAAGAACATATGATATGAACCCAAGGAAACCAACCAAAAGTCTTCTTGCAAAGCGGGAGATGAGCCTTTAAAATAGTACAATCAGCTTTATCGCTTGTTCTGTTGACTGTTCACTTATGTAACACTTAATGGCTTTAGGATGGTTACGCAATCATGCACGCATCCCTCCTTCTATAGACATACAATTATGTATTCTAAAGGAGGAGAAGGAGAAAGAGAAAGAGAAAGAGAAAAAGAAGAAGAAAGGGTTAAGGCTGTCTGTTCCCTGACAGTAGTTTTAATGTGTTGCTGAAATTTCTATCTGTTGGGAACAATTTCCCAGACAACAAATGTTGTCCTTAAGTAAGCTAGTGGGAACAAATCAACAACATCATTAGAAATTAGCCCGGCACTCCTGATTCTCGTTGCCAAGCTACAGATGCTTAAGAACAACCCCACCACCAATCAATAATTCCCTCTTTCTGTTATTCTTCAAACAAGGGCACTGGTGATGGAAGGCTTTCACAGATCAAAAGCCGCAGAGCTGACCTGAGATTCGAGAAATCTGTTTTGTTTTGTTTTTGCATGATAGGCTGCAGCATAAAAGAAAACATTTCCTACTTAAAGCAATTTCAGATTTCAGAAGAACTGCAAGCAGAACCCAACCCAACACTGAAGGAATCTGGCTTCAGTAAAGTCTTTTGACCATGTTGTCCTACAATCTTTTTTGTATATCACATTTAAAAAACAACAACACCACAGTCACCGTAGTTAGATGTTTAACCAGACCATTTACAGAATGATTAATTCATTATAATCTATTTTACCAGGTGACATCAGAGGGAGAGAAGGCGAGAAGATGGCTATTCCATCAACTCTGCCCTTCTGCTCTCCAATTAGTCATTATTTAATACTGTTAAAAGACTGGGTTTTGTCTTCTCCTCTTCTTTTAACATCTTTTTTTTACTTTTTACTTATGTGTTTTTAGGTTGTAGGCCAGATGGGACACAGTGGCTCAGTGGCTAAGACGCTGAGCTTGTCTATCGAAAGGTCGGCAGTTCAGCGGTTCGAATCCCTACTGCCGCATAACGGGGTGAGCTCCTGTTACTTGTCCCAGCTTCTGCCAACCTAGCAGTTCGAAAGCACGTAAAAAATGCAAGTAGAAAAATAGGGACCACCTTTGGTGAGAAGGTAACAGCGTTCCGTGCGCCTTTGGCATTGAGTCATGCCGGCCACATGACCACGGAGATGTCTTCAGACAGTGCTGGCTCTTCGGCTTTGAAACGGAGATGAGAACCGACCCCTAGAGTCGTAAATAACTAGCACATATGTGCGAGGGGAACCTTTACCTTTACCTTCTTTCAACATCTTTTTATTTTACTTTTTAATTATGTGTTTTTAGGTTATAGGCCTGGAAGGCAGTACCTGTTTTGATCCTAATGATAGGGACCTTATTCTTGTAGCATTTTTGGCTGCAAAGCAGATAAAAAAGCTAATAAAGATAATGCTAATTATTCTTCTGTCTCATGCACACTATCTGTTAAATACAACTGGCCTAAGATAAGACATTTAAAATGATATATAGACTAAAGCACTGGACTGGCATCTTCCTTGGATATACTTCATGCTCTGCAATGTAAAACACTCAAAATGTTGCTCTTTTTAAAAAGGGTGGGTTCCTTAACTGGCATGCCCCAACTTGGGTAACTCTGCTAAAGACACTAATCTTGGCAATGATACATGAAACAGGACCTTTAAAAAGGAATGTGGCTACTGGACACATTCACCCTGGAGGTGATCCTTCGGATATTGAACTGAATTGAAGGAGTAGAAGATAGTATAAACCAGAGGTCTTCAAACTTGGCAACTTTAAGACTTGTGGACTTCAACTCCCAGAATTCTCCAGCCAGCTATGCTGCCAAGTTTGAAGACCTCTGGTATAAACTGACTGGTGAAATAGTCAGAAGAAATTAGGGGTCCTCGGTGCTCTCTGAGCTTGCTTGTTTTCTTGCAGAATTTCATTACCCTAACTAGGCAACCTCATCGGTGCCAATTCTGATGATGTTACCTAGTTAGGGTAATGAAACGTCTGCAAGAAAACAAGCAAGCTCGGAGTGCAACGAGGACCCCCTCATTTCAACCCTGAGCTGCAAATATTCTCCGTTAAAGTCAGAAAAACAAGCACCAGAAATCCACCCCTATGCATTCCTGCCCATTTAAAAAACAAAACAAATCAGGGTAACTACTTGCAGGACACATGAGACTAATATAGTCTGACCATAACTAAGATATGGATAAAATGCAGCCTCACATAAGCCTCTAAGGTTTACAGAAAGAGCAGGTTTGAACTATAAAAATGGTACTCATATGAAGAAAATTTGAAATTTTCTGGAACTCAACAGCTGACAGACTGTCGGTCCATCTTCTTTGCTGAATTCTTACTCCAACTGCATCCTAAAGAAAATCTTGCTCACCACCACACTGATATATGTTACTATTGTCATCGGCCCCCTCCCAACCTCCTCCCCCTAAAGGAATTATAAACATCTAGCATCTGGTTTTGTCTAGAGTGCCTTGGAAGGCTGAAAGGCTCTTAGGCCGATGTCTAAGTCAAAAACAGCCTTAACATGAAATAGAGACTCTTTAAGTCGCAGGTTTAGGTGCCACTGAAGTTGGTTGAGTGGACACACACCTGCCCCATTCCGTGGGAAAGATCTTCTGTTTAAACATCTTTTGGGCATGTTTTTATTTTTTAAAAACAATCCCCATAGTTAGATGGCCGCCAGAGCATTTACGGAATGATCAATTCATTATCATCCATTTTACTAAGAGGCTGGAATTTGTTGTTTCCTGCACATTGGGGGCATGTGCTGCCCTGAGCACATCTGGCATACCTCCTTCCCCTCCACCATAAGGCACATACCAAACAAGGAGGTGATACATCGTGCGTTGTGGCACAGGTGGTTTCATTCATAGGGTGCACACTTTGTAAAGGAATCAGCAGTGGTCTGATCCTGCAATTTATCCTGTAAATAGGCGAGTAGTTATTATAGACGCAGATGGCTCACAGCTTGAACTGTGACTTCCATTATTTTATCAAACAATGGTTAGAGATGCTCCATTATCCATCTCCTGCGTTGCTTAAAAATAATTATAGTCATCAAAACATTCTTTGGCACCTTCCTTCCCCCCCTCCCCCCCCGTGGGGGTAGGGGGAGAAAGCTTCACACCTTCCGAATTACTCTAACACAGAAAAGCTTCCTTTAGCCAAGAGCTGCCAAATTCTTGGCTTGTTACCTGTATTCGCTATGAGAAAGCTCCCCATTCAGGAAATATATTTTGCTAAGCATCGTTAACCGACCTCTCTGGTTGGTTTTTAAGAGAACTGACCGTCTGGGACTGATTTTTCCCTTGCTGGAAAAAAAAGAAAATCCCTGTGAAATCAGCCAGCGTATGACCACGGATTCACTCTGGAGAGAAGGACTGAAAACGGAGTTCAAAAGTTAATCGCTCCTGCCTGTCTTGTGCCTCCTCTTTAGGAAGACGCGACAAGCAGAAGGCAGGGTTTGTTAAGCTGCTTGTCACCCCCTGCAATCAATTACTTCCTTCAGGGTTTCGAAGGCTGAGGGGGGAGGCAGGGAGGGGAGGAGAGTGGCATTTTCAATCCAGCAGAGAAGAGGAAGAAGAGCAAATGCAGACAGAGTACACCAGATGGGGCTCTTACCGCAAGTTCTTCTAACCAATTGGATGCAATTTGTTTATGGAAGGAGCCTCGGATTAACTTACCTCTTCTGCTGCAGAGCTTCATCGAGGGATTCCTGCTTCTCTTGCAGCAGCCGCTGGAGGTGTTTCATTTCTCGCTGGTACTGAGCAGTCTTCCCCGCAAATTCCTTCTCTTGCTCTGTCACTTTGAGGTTGATGTCCCCAAGCTTGCCTGCCGCCGTCTTTTTATACACCTGTGAGAGTTGGAACAGAATCCAGTTCAAAGCACGGCTCTCGGGCTTCTGCAGGGGGCATAGATGGATCGTAACCAGGGGGGGAAGATGGTTCTTTCTGTCGGCTGTTTCGTCCTGAGTCATGGGATGCCCGGTTCGGAGAACAAATCGGGTAGGTGGGATCGAAAGAAAGATGATCAGGTCATCTTTCTTCGAGCATTTTTTTTTTACTAACGTGCAGCTTGCCAACGAAGACGACAAAGATGTCACTGCCTTGGCAAGGCTGTGTTGTTTCATCCTAGGTTTTTTTTCCTCCTAGAAAGGCAGTTCTCAATAGCTTCAAAGCCAAATAAATGTTGGTTTGACTAGACACAATGAACAGCTAGACTTTTAAACACACCTGCTTCTCTACAAGATCAACAGTCAAGTTTTAATGATCACTGTCCAGGTAATGATAAAAGAGATGTGACTCTACATTATGGGTTATTTGTCCTTTAATCTGAGCACAAGAAGGTGAAAAAGAAACAACCTTAGCTTTGCAAATTGATGCTTCTGTTACTGTGATGGCTATGTATTTGTTTTCCTTCTAGAATACTGGAATGTAACTCCTTTTCCCTTTTTTTCTCACACTTCATATGCCTTCTTTAGAAAAAGGCTGACCGGCAAATGGAGCTTTTAAAGCTATTTCGGGGCAAATATCGCATTAGACCGAATTTTATCTCTCAATAAATCAAAATTAATCAGAACGCCTCATTAGACCAGCGCTGCTGTCAGGGACGTTTTTTATCCCAAGTATTTTCCTGCCAACCAATGCAGACTGATCGGGTTAACAAGTACTCTGATGGCGAAGGCTAGATTCCTGCTTCAAGTCTACAGTTGGAGAGTCAGCTCTTTGCAGTGATTTTCATGAATAAAACAAAAATGAAGTAACATTGAATTATGCAGCCTGTAAAATTTCACATGAGTTGATGCATAAATACTGAAGCAGATTTCAATAGCATTTGGATGCGTTGCCCGTTTCACCTCTCGACGCTTGAAACTTTCACAGGAATCTTATCTCTCAGAATATTAAGACCTTGGTTATTATAAAGCATGTGAGTGTAGTTGTCAATTTAGGGTTTGGGGGACGTTTGAATTTCACGGGGGATATGGTCACATATAGTGCATTTTCTCCAAGTCATTCCTTGGCTAAAGGTTCCCATGCAAAAGTCAAGAGAGCCAAGACAGGACTAGATGGAATAGTTTCATCCGGTACGTCTTCTATGTTCGAACCTGATGCCAATAAGCATTTGAAAAATGTGATGAGATCATAGTGGCCCATCTACTTTGAGTCAGCCCATAGATGGATCCTTTGAAGCTTTTCTATTTTTTTTTTTTTAAATTGAAGCTGGTTATCATATACATTGTTTTACCTTTGTTGTTTAATCTAATCTGGATCAAAACCTAAGATTCTATGAAACTTTATTCAGACCAGAGTCTAGATCACACTTGATTCCATTCTGAAGGCTTGTAGGGTAGTGAAATAGCTGTTCCAGGAATAGCTTGATGCATATAGGTGCACTGCTCAAATGGACTTACTGAATGCTAGCGGTGTCTGTGAGGACTTTTTAGCAGTTAATGAGGTAAATGAAGAAGCTTCTTTTCTTTTCTTTTTTCTTTCACTGGATATTAATCCAGTTTTTAAAAAAATACTCGTTTGGGTAAGAATAACTTGGGTAAGCATTATTTTCAACTTTTATCTAGTGCAGATACTATACAATGTCACCCAGATAATCGGGAAAGGAGGGTAGATGACAATGTAATGTTCCAAAGAATAATTCCAAGATATAAGATAAAATGGAAAGACAAATTGCCACCTATCATCAGCTCATATTGGGCTCCCCTCTTTCTCTAACTTCTCAGTATGAAAGGATACAACTGAGGAAGTCCCACAGTGATTTAAGCACTTTTTAAAATTTTATTTCACAGACTATTACTTTAATTTAGTGTTTCTCAACCTTGAGAAATTTAAACTGTGTGTACGTCAACTTCCAGAATTGAAGCTAAGTCTTCAACCCCCATTTCCAGCTAGAGGTTTTTCCCACTCCTATCTGAAATCCTGGAAAACTACTCCCATTACAGTAGAGTAAATAATACAACTGCAAAGGACCAATATCGTGGCAGTAATAAGATAACTTTCCACGTCTCTAAATATTTTGGCTTAGGAAACAACAGGAAGCAAGATTACTAGTTTTTCATCAACTTATGAGTTAATAATTACAGTTGTGCTTTGAAGAAAATGACACCAGAAAATAATCTGAGCAAAAGTTGTAAATATTGCTGAAACAGTCAAGAAAAGGTTGAATACATCCCATAATCGGTTGTTGGAAAAATAACTTCCAGGAGATTGTAAGACAGATGAAGTTTTTAAAAAATTAACTTTGTAAAATTATATGAAATTAAATATAACACATTCATAATGAGAAATGTGAACGGATTTAATCCATTTTAACTCATCCCCTTTTCCAGTAAACAAATAAATGCATCGACAGAAATATTACACCATTACAAAAAAGGCCTGATTAAAAAAAGAGTAGGGAAGCTCACTGCTGTTCTCTTTTGACAGTCTGCCTAACGGGAAGATGAATTATCCTCAAACGGACGGGGACGAAAAAGTGCTGAACGAGGAGCTGGAGTGCAAAATCTGTTACCAGAAATTCAACCTCCAGAGTCGCAAGCCCAAACTCCTGGACTGCCTCCACCGAGTGTGTGCAAAATGCCTCACTAAAATCCTTCAGGTAGGAAGCGGCTCGCTTCACATCAGCTGCCCTTTCTGCCGGCATGAAACAGAGCTGCAGGAAGAAGAAGTAGAAGGACTTCCTGATGATTTGAACATCTTGTCCAGACTGGTCACCAAAGACAAGTCGACATGGAATTCAGAGTGCAAGGAAGTCCTCCTGACACCGAAGAACTTGGCTTCGTCAAGTCCTTCGCGCGGCTCCTCAAACTGCCTGGTGATAACCATCATGGAAGTACAGAGAGATTCCCCCCGGACTCCCAGTCAAAACATCCTCTCGGATTATTACACAGATCACAGCCTGGACTCGGAATCTGTCAATTCCACCAACCAGTTAGACCAAGACGTTTTCTCCAAGCTCTGTAATCATGTCCCCAGAATACTAGTGTGGCTGCTTGGTTTTTTTTATTTCGGTTCTTTGCCCCTCGGTATCTATTTATTAGTGATTCAGAAAGTCACTCTGGGAATTGTCTGTGTCAGTCTCGTGCCATCCAGTCTGACGGTGTGTCTTGTGTACGGTTTTTGTCAGTGCCTCTGCCAGGGAATGTGCGACTGTTCTTCTAGAAATTGATGCCAAACGCAAACGGATATTGAGACAGCTCAAAGTCTACACGATGGGTTTTTTTTTTTTTAAAAAAAAAATGTGACTGTAAGTAAAAAAAGAAGAAGAAGAAGAAGGACACCGGTCTATGAACTGGTGTTTTCAACATTCCATTCTTCTGACTACAGTAATGAATAAAGATGATTTTTCTGGAAAGATAAAATCTTTATGTGGGAGAAGTCTGGCATCTTGAAAATGCGATATTGTCTTATTTGACCGAAGCTGCTCAAAACACTGGCTGAGTTACAAGGAGGAGAAATTGAGCTGATGTCTCTGAATGGAGCCTTTTAATATATTTCGAAGGCTGCCTCTTAACTCAATCACAAATTGGACCAGAACCTAGCGAGAAGAATGCTTTCCCCTGAGAAGTTATTTTCCTGACTCCCCAGACTGTTACGTCAATGGTGTGTGTGTGTGTGTGTGTGTGTGTGTGTGTGTGTGTGTGTGTATGTGTGTGTGTGTAAAAGAGATAAATTGCTTTGTTAAACTAGGGCCATGCTTAATTTGATTCACGGCTTTGTTGAAGAAAGCAGCTACGAATTTATCTTTTGCTCTGCTAAGAAGCAGGAGAGATCAAGGACTGCGATTTTTGAACTCTTCACACACTTTAGCCAATGTTTAATTAAAGAAAAATATATAGCTCTGTATGTGCTACAGTCTGAAAAATAAACTAGACTGTTTCTGGCAATGTAGACTTCTCTGATAAAAGTTTAGATCTCACTTGTATATCGAGGCATAGTGTTGCTCAATCAAAACGAGCAGTTTTTATGTATGTGGCTATGTATCCATACATTGTATATGGTTATGAAGCTGGTACACTAAAAAGTAAGAGAGTTCTGTTTTATTGTAGGCGCCTGTCTTATTCTGCCATAGACAATTCTATCAGTTAAAAAGGAGCATGCGACAACATTTTTGGCTAGAGCATACTCATTTTTGAACCCTGCTGTGCTTTACAAGGGAGAAGAATTACTTCTGAAAATCATGCCAGAATTCATGACGATTGTCTTGTTTAAAATCCTGCTTAAAAGTCAGCAGCCACCTTTTGTAATTGGATTTACATTGAGTAATCTGGTGTCCCCCTATCCTTACCTGAAAATAATAGCTGTTCCAAGCAGCTGGAACAGCACTTTGGCCTGTTGCAAAAACCTCTTGGTACCAAAATTACCAAAATTGCCAATTCAACACTCAGAAAAGCTGCATCCCTCTAAACAGAACATGGGTTCATAGGGCTGGAAGGGAACTCAGAGATCTTCTAGTCCCTACTTCTTGCTCAAGGAAGGATTTCTCCAGAACTGGCTGGGGAAATTCTGGCTGCCTGGGTAAACTCAATCTACTTCATAAGCAGTGGCATGCCACTTTCTTGGAAGCTACCCTTTTTAGGAGGTTATAGGGAGTATAAATGGGTGGTGCGGAGGCCTAGAGGTGGAACTCACAATCAGGAGGCTGTGAGTTCAATCCTAGGTAGAAGCAGATATTTCTCTCTCTGGGCACACTGAGAATATATCTGCTGAATAAGACTCTGCATTGGTGACAGGAAGGGCATCCAGCCAGTAACCACTCAGCTCCATTCAGTTGCTCAGACTCTACCCCGCAAGGGATTAAAACAGGATGATGATGATGATGATAGGGAGTGTAACTGGTGACGTTGGGCAAGGCTTTCATTTCTGATCCTTTCAGAGGACTAAATGGGGTAGTGGGGCATATAGTACCTCCAGGTTATTCTATTAAGGCCCTAATGCCTCTGCCCCTTGGTTTTTCCCAGAGTAAAAAAATTCGGGAGGGGAAGAGGAAGAGTTTAAGCAATGAAACAAATGCTTCTAGGAGCACCCATTTTGCTCCTTTAATCAATGCCAGAATGGTTTCTGCCCAGTATAAATCTGCTTTATTGAGAGAGAATTTCACCAAGGGTTTGTAAATCACCAGCTTTATATGACCTGGATGAAACCGATCCTGTCCTGCTAGCTTTATATACACTGGGATAAGTAAAAACATATGACAGCATTGGGCTTCTGCAGACTTGCAACTGGGTTCCAGCTGTTAAGGCCAAATTGATCACTGCTCTGTAATACAATCCCCAAAACTTCAAAAACCACAGAACAACCTGCTTAACCCACAGCATCCCTTAAATCTAGAAAACTCACTCTCCCTTTCTTCCTACTATTACAGTAGAAGACTCTCTATCTTCTCTTTAGGTTACTAAAGGCATGACGCAAATGTTTTTTTGAGTCCACACTACTTCACGTTGAATGCCATTTACTTCTTTAACCGAGAAGTAACAATAAGCAGTCAATGCCCAGGTCAACATTTGGATAAAGCAATTATTTTGCCACAATATTTAGGATGAACAGAATGTTTACCGAAGGCACTTTCAGTGAAAAGCGGTTTTGAAGGAACGGTGGCAAAAAAGGGAAAGTAAATCACCGAAATGTATTTGTTCGAGTTGAATGAGAGGAAACCACAAGGACAATTGAATCTGAAAGCAGATGAAAAGAGAAAGGAGACATAGATACAGTAGTGGCCAAAATTGTGGAAACCTTTTGGAAAAAGTGTATTTTTGAGGTTTGATAGATAATAACACCACTTTTTTTTTTTTGGAGTTTCAAGATAATCCTATTCCACTGCTGGAATGGCCTGGGAATAACCCAGACCTTAACCCAATTGAAAATCTATGGAGCTGACTAAAGAAACTTGGTAGTCGGAAGCGACCCAGCAATAAAATTCAGTTAATAGAAGCAATAATTCAATCTTGGTTCTACATTGTAACAGCTGCAGAACGAAAAGACTTGGTTCACTCCATGGGAAGACGTTGTAAGGCCGTAATTCATGCTAAAGGTTACCCAATGAAGTATTAATTGACATGGTGATAATTTTTGGATATCTCGTTTCACTTTTCTTCTTTAGCAAATAGCAAATCCTTCATAAAAGTTATTGCATTACATTCTTGATTAAATTATTTTTCCATTGATATATAATTTTATGGTACTACTCCAAAATAAAAGTGGTGTTATTAGCTAGTTTTAGAAAATACACTTTTCCCAAAAGGGTTCCACAATTTTGGCCACTACTGTATCTCCTGACCCCAATATAAGAATTGCCACAGAAAGCAATAAACTTGTTAAACAGACATTTTAAAAAAAAGCACACACAAGAGATTCAATCAGCATCAGAGTCTCCTCAAGATCTCACTGGTCCCCTGAACCCCCCCCAACACTGATGGCAAAGCCAGGTCTGGAGACTTCCAGAAAAAAAAAAAAAAGGAAAATAATGTAACTTCAGTGTTTGCACTTTTAATCAACTATTTATTTTAAGGCTTAAGAGAAAGAAAGAGAATATAGACAACCTGAAACCGAAAGGGCAATGCTTTATGTAATGTGATGTTTAAAGGTTATGAAGTTTATCATTACAATAACTGTTGCAAAAAAAATTAAAATGACAGGCACACATCCATTGGGATACTATTTTTGCTGTCATTATATAAAAATGTGTAAGCTGGAAATAGCACTTGCAAAAGTGATTAACTGATTAACCAGTATGATTTTAATTTTTTTGTATGTAAGGAACTGAAACTCTTGCTCCAAATCTATCCTCATGGCAAATATAAAGATGTTAGTGTTAAGAATAGTAAGATTCCTCAAAAATGATTGGTATAAGAATACTTTTTATAACAGCTTTTTAAACAAAACAAAATTAAAATCCCCAAAACAGTTTTAGGGCAAGCAGATTATATTTCCTGAAGGAAGGAACAAGTTAATAATTGTATTAGCCGAGGTGGCACAGTAGTTAGAGTGCAGTACTTCAACTGACGGCTAGCTGCAGTTTGGCAGTTCAAATCTCACCGGTTCAAGGTTGACTCAGCTTCCACCCTTCCGAGGTGGGTAAAATGAGGACCCAGATTGTTGGGGGCATTATGCTTAGAGAGGGCTGTAAAAGCATTATGAAGCGGTATATAAGTCCAAATGCTATTGCTATTAGGAGACATTTGAAATAATTTGGTAGGTATCTGGAAAGCAACAAGCACACGGAACGATATATTCCATATCCTGCTTGTGATTCCCTAAAAGCATCTGACTGACTACTCAGGCAACGCCGAACTAAGCAGACTTTTGCTTCTCATGTTCAAGTCATTAAATGGATTTCAGAAATAATTTTATTTTTGGTTGCAGGGCTCCATAACAGGAAAACAACAGTACAAAACCTGCATCGGTGTACGTTCAAAACTACCACCATGATTAGTAGAGGAATGGAATAAACATTACTGTATGAATTGAAATCCAATGAAGTATTTAGGTGCAAAATTATATTGAAGATTAGAATCCTTTATTGGCCAAGTGTGATTGGACACATAAGGAATTTGTCTTTGGTGCATATGCTCTCAGTGTACACGAAAAGAAAAGATACAAAAGATTGTTAGGGGCAACAGAAAAAGGGCACATCTAACTTATTTGTCAAAGCAACTGAAGCATCATTCAGAACTCAGATGCTCAACTTCGTCTTGTTCAACTAATAAGGGTAATGGTAAAGCTTGGAATTGTTTCACCTGACTCATTAGTAAGTAGCCATGTCTTGACAAACTGGAAATAGATGTACCATATTTTTTGGAGTATAAGACGCACTGGAATATAAGACGCACCTACCTTTTTTGGTGAGGAAAAGAAGAAAAAGAAATCTCTCTCTGCCTCTGAGCAATTCTGCCTCGTTGCAGCAAACAGCAAACAGCCTGCTTTACTTTCATTTTCGTTTTCAGCATAGCTTGATTAGCACAAGGAAAAAAAAAATCTGCTCCAGCAATTTACCTCCTTGCAGCAAGCAGCAGAGGCCCTGCGCAAAACAGCTGAGAGCAAATCAGCTGAGAGTCGGGAGGCTGATCCAATCAACTTGTGCTAATGAGGCTGTGCTGAAGCTGAAAGGAGCTGTTTTTTCTTGCTATTTGCTTGCAAGGAGGTAACTGCTGGGGGGCAGAGGCCAAAGGGTGGGGGCCAGTGGGTGGGCGGGGCTACATTCGGTGTATAAGACGCACCTAAATTTTTCCCCCTTTTAGGGCAGAAAAAGGTGCATGTTATACTCTGAAAAATACGGTATATCTAAATACAATTAAAACACCAGCACTATCCAGCCCTGTGAAATAGAGTGCACGGTGAGGTGTTTGTTATGGGTACAGATGTACAAAATATTCCAGGCCATGCTGAGGCCACTTCTGGACTAGGCCATTCCAGGGAAGATTTGGCAATTTCCAGAAGTAACTCTGAACTGGAAAAAAAAAACAGTTTGAGAGGTTCCAAGGATGATCTGGCCACAAAATAGCCTCTTTTGTCCAGAGTGTCATGTTCTCTAATCTGTCCTACTTCCATGTTTTAATAAAAGCTTATGTTTCTGATTCTGCTCTGAAAAATCAGTAACGGATATCATACTATAGATCCCGCAAATATTTAAAAGGATGTGCTTACCTTGACTTTCTCTTCTAATTTTCCTAGACGTACATTTCCTTCTATTATTTTGTTGAGAACACCGTGCTTCTCTTTCTCCAAACAACTGGCCTAGGGAAATCAGAAAAGCCATTTGTGAGTTCTGAAAAGATTTTCCTCTTTAGGGGGAAAATGTTAACTTGCAAAGCATCCCTGGCCTGCTCTCAAGTTGCCATAGACAAGGGGGATGGGAAACCGACGAAGCAGCATGGCAGCCAAAGACAGGAGCAATTCCAGACATATCTCTCTCAAGGCTGTCTCCCAGGGTTACCCACAGCGGCCGGAGGGGTGTGATCTCTTCAACCCATGAAATTGCTCCGTTGGTGAATGTGACTGATGACACACCCTGGGGGGAGGGGAGAAACAGGGTCATAATTGGGGCGTAAATTACGTGGGCCAGAGTTTGCTTCACCTGGAATGTGCAGACATGAAGCTCCTAATAAATAACTGGATTTCTTTTGAAGCTTGGCTCGAGGTTCATGATTTAATTAGGGCATCCGTGGGAACCCTGACAGAAAGTTTATTCTACTAAGTTCCCAGGTAAATTCAGAGATTGGATAAGAATCTACTTTAAATCACAATCCTCTACCCAGTGTTATCTAGCTCAGGGGTCTCCAACCTTGGCAACTTTGTGGACTTCAACTCCCAGAGTTCCTCAGCCAGCAAAGCTGAGGAAAAGCTCAGCAAAGCTCAGCCAGCAAAGCAAAGCTGGCTGAGGAACTCTGGGAATTGAAGTCCACAAGTCTTAAAATTGCCAAGGTTGGAGACCCCTGAAGCTGACAAAAGCTCCCTATTATCCAGAGGTCCTTCATAAAACCAGCTTCTTGAGATCGTTTTAGACAATATAATATATATTTCTTTATTTATATCCTGCCTTTATTATTTTTACAAAATTTTACAAATTCCCATTTTCCCTGCAACAACTCTGTGAGGTGAGTTGGGCTGAGAGAGAATAACTGGCCCAAAGTCACCCATGCTGTTGCTCCTTAAATAAACTAAACGTATCTTTGATTCGTTTGATTACCAGGTTTAAAAGCTGATCACGTTCTTGAGTTATATTTTCGGCCAAGCTGATCATATTCACTAGATACTGGTGGGCAGCCATCTCCTTTTCCATCGTTTCTTCCAAGTGCTGCTTCAGAAGACCGATCTGCTTCTCTGACCGCCTGCGTGGTTTTGACAAAAGGCATTAAAATCTCTTAGGGAGCAATTCAATTTTATTTTAATTCAATATCGGGATTCGAGACTCACAAAGAAATTGCAGGAAATTATACTTGGGTTAGCACCTCAACCAAACGATGAAAAGAATCGGTCATCAAATGTTCACTGAAACAGGATACTTTTATTTTTACAGGATTTTAATATAACTAAAGTCATTGTGTAGGTTTTTTATAAATGAATTACCATAAATAAATTACCGGAATCTAACCGGTTCAAATAATAGTACCCTTACCATTCTTTGGTACTAATAAAAGTACCAGTAGTAGGCTTTGGGAAAAGACCGTAAGGAAAGTGCCAGACTTACTACAGGTAGTTCTCCACTTATGATCACAATTGAGCCTAAACTTTCTGTTGCTAAGTGAGACAGTTAAGTGAGTTTTGCCCCATTTTACGACCTTTCTCACCACAGTTGTTGAGTGAATCACCGCAGTTGTTAAGTTAGTAACACAACTGTAAAGTAAATCTGGCTCCCCCATGGACTTTGCTTGTCAGAAGGTCTCAAAAAGTGACCGTGTGACCTCAGGACACTGCAGCCATCATAAATATGAGTCAGTTGCTAAGCATCCAAATTTGGATCATATGACTATAGAGATGCTGCAGTGGTCATAAGTGTGAAAAACGGTCATAAGTCCCTTTTTTCAGGGCCGCTGTAACTTCAAACGGTCACTAAATGAACTTTTGTTAAGTCGAGGACGACCTGTGTAAGGGGAAGAAAAGTAGTGGACCAAGGGAACAATGACAGAGAAAGAGGACAACATTTTAAAACATTTTTCTCAGCTATGATGACTACAAAGATGAACCTAATTTAAAACAAATATTAGCTTTACTTTGATTATTAAATTAAATTCAATCTGAAAAAGCTTCCGGTATTTTAAAAGAAGCAGACCGTCTGCACGTCCAGTGACCAAAAACTCTTTTTGAGAGGCTGCAAAAGGGAGACAAAAACACAAGAACAAAAATAAGCCAACCTTTTAGTCTTCTGTGCCATTTCCAGCTCAGCTTCTAATGCCTTGTTTTCTGCCACCAGGTCATTTTTCTCGAGAAACAGGCTTTTTGTTTCTGCTTGAACAGAGGCGAGTTTTTTCACTAGTTTTTGGGTCTCCATCTCTCTCTTTTCCTGTTCCATCTGCAAATGGCTACAGAAATAATCATGAAAACTGGGCAGCAAATCAAGGCATCCATCTTCCTAACTTGTAGAAATGAACAAATCAATGATGGTTGATTCAGGTTGATTTCTGACAACATGGCAATTGCTGCAAATGTTAAAAGCTTGCAACTACAACAACCAAGGCACTTAATTAATTAATTACTTAAATTAAAACATTTGGCATACAGTAAGAATCCACTTCACAAAGTCAGAAGCGGAAAGTGTGATACATAGACATGAAAATAGCAAAGTATTGTAAAAAGTACCGTATTTTTCAGAGCATAAGACGCACCGGAGTATAAGACGCACCTACCTTTTTTGGTGAGGAAAAGAAAAAAAAAGAAATCTCCCTCTGCTTCCTTGCAGCAAACAGCAAACAGCCTGCTTTACTTTCATTTTCGTTTTCAGCATAGCTTGATTAGCACAAGGGAAAAAAAATCTGCTCCAGCAATTTACCTCTTTGCAGCAAGCAGCAGAGCTCTGCACAAAACAGCTGAGAGCAAATCAGCTGAGAGTTGGGAGGCCGATCCAATCAATTTGTGCTAATTAGGTTGTGCTGAAGCTGAAAGGAGCTGTCTTTTCTTGCTGTTTGCTTGCAAGGAGGTAACTGCTGCGAGGCAGAGGCCAAAGGGTGGGGGCCAGTGGGTGGGCGGGGCTACATTCGGTGTATAAGACGCACCTAAATTTTCACCCCCTTTAAGGAGGGGAAAAGGTGCGTCTTATACTCCGAAAAATACGGTACATAAAAACCACTGACAGGAATGGGACTTTTATCATCAGACACTTACTTTTTAAATTTATTTTCCAAGGCAACGTGCTCCTCTGCTGTTACATAATCGCTAACGCTGGCCTTTAATTCTTTGTACGCGGAGCGTAATTCTTTCAGCTTTTTCTGACAGTCTTTCATCTCCACTTCTTGGTTTTGTTTTTCGGTTTCCAGCGTAACGAGCTGCTTGGTCAGTTTGGAAACTAGACCAAAAGTATGAATCGCCCAAAATTCAAAACATTTGGGCGGGGGAAAAAGTTATACTGAGAGGAAAATCAAATCACAATTTTTGTTCATATGGACACTTTTCAATTCCAGTCTAGTGATTCTTACACGTTAATTTGCAGTATTACTTGCTTGGAACACCTTGCCTTCAGAAATTGTGGGTGATCCATCACTGGAGGCTTTTAAGAAGAGACTGGACAGCCACTTGTCTGAGATTGTATAGGTTCTCCTGCTTGAGCAGGATGCTGGACTAGAAGACCTCCAAGGTCCCTTCCAGATCTATCTTACCCTACCCTACCCTACCAAATCTTCCTTTTAACAAGTCTGTAATGTCAGTGCAACTTGTTAAGCTGCTGTCAAATATAAATCTCATTAAATCTGCAAATACTCAGGACTAGCAACTACAGCGAAAAAAATAACCATCTCTAACTCTAAACTTTTATTTTGTCTCTTTTATATTGCTAATGACACTGACTTGCAAATGAATACAAACATATGCACGACACAATGGTATTTATTTTAGATTTTCACATTCTGGTTGATAGCCATGTTTCATTTCACCACGATGAACCCTGAATGTGTACCATATTAAAATTAAATCATCAACTATTGCAAAGTTTTATCAAGTATTACAAACCCAAATAAATCTGAAAAGGTTTCATGGCTGAATTGATAGTAGTCCCTGATTATAAACACTGGTAATTCTAAACAAGCTTACAAAACTTTTACCTTTGGAGGTAAAATTGATATCTCTCTATTCACATTTGTTGCATGCAGTGATAAATTTATTTCACCTTCTTTAACATGTTGGTTGATGGCATCGTTTATTTTGGTTTCTTGTATTTTCAGCTGTTCCATTAACACTCTATTTTCCTCCAGGACAAGCTTGGCTTGACTTTGCAAATGCTGCCTGTAAAGGAACATTGATTTCAAATTTGAAATAGCACTGAAACCTTTCTGCACAGAGTTCAAAATAAGTAATGGTAATAATAAACTAAACTAAAATGCATTTAGAATATATGTGTCCTATAGGAGAAATCTCTATATACTGTATTTTTCAGAGTATAAGACGCACCTTTTTCCCCGCTAAAAGGGAGTGAAAATGTATGTGCGTTTTAAATACTGAATGTAGCCCCGCCCACCCACTGGCCCCCACCCTTTGGTCTCTGCCTCCCAGCAGTTTTCCTCCTCGCAGCAAGCAGCAAGAAGAAACAATGCATTTCAGCTTCAGCACAGCCTAATTAGCACAAGTTGATTGGATCAACCTCCCGACTCAGCTATTTTGCTCTCATCTGTTTTGCGCAGGGCTCTGCTGCTTGCTGCAAGGAGGTAAATTGCTGGAGCAGTTTTTTTTTTCCTTGTGCTAATCAAGCTATGCTGAAAACAAAAATGAAAGTAAAGCAGGCTGTTTGCTGTAACGAGGCAAAATTGCTGGGAGGCAGAGGCAAAGGCAGATTTCTGTTTCGTGTTTTCCTTACGAAAAAAGGTAGGTGCGTCTTATAGTCCGAAAAATATGGTAGGTGCTACATTGCGAATAATTACATTTTTCTAGGCAAAGTCTGGTATTTCTTTTGCAGAGTATTCTTGGCATGTGTTATTTCTATTCTGCTATCGATATGTTAAGGTTTCATTAAGAAAATACAGCTACTTAATAATAACCAAATAACAAGTTATTTTAAGCTTAAAAATAAGTTTAATACAATGCAATGTATACTGATCAAATTATTCCTACTTATTTAAACACTGAATTTTTACAGGATTTAAAATAACTAAGTCATTGCATCGGTTTTTATAAACAAATTACAATAAAGGAACTATCTAACAGGTTCAAATAATAGTACCCTTACCATTCTTTGGTACTAATAGAAGTACCAGTATTTTTAGTTAATTTTTGGTGTAACTGCTCATTTTCCTTTACTACTTCTTCCACTTGTGCTTTAAACATCTTCATGCTTTCCTGAAGGAAAAAAACAACAACATATATTCACTACGGTAAATTAAATGGATACGAATTTGACTTTCTGACGAGGAAGATCATCCATATGGGATTCATGAAGTTGAGTCATTACAGAAAAATATATTGTCTTTTGAATATTTCAACAGATAATCACACTTGTCTACTACAATCAGAGTTTATATCATAACTATAAATATAATGTGGACTTTAGTAGAGAGGAAATGGTCTATTTTTTAAAAAGTGATAAGGGACTAACTGAGGATAGGAAATAAGGTCCGTTTATATAAAAGTTAAGACTAGGTGAGAAGTGTGGTGGCCTAGAAGTGGAGCTCTTGCCTCACAATCAGGAGGCTGTGAGGTAGTAGATAGCGGCAGATATTTCTCTCTCTGGGTGGAAAGAGAAAATATCTGCTGTGAGCTGCGCATAGGCATCAGGAAGGGTATTTGGCCAGTAAACGCTCAGCTCCATTCAGTCACTCCAACTCAAGGGATTATAGGCTCGTGTATATATATATACAATAGCACTTAGACTTATATATCGTGTTTTACAGCCCTCTCTAAGTGGTTTACAGAGTCAGCATCTTGCCCCCAACAATCTGGGTCCTCATTTTACCGACCTCGCAAGGATGGAAGGCTGAGTCAACCTTGAACCGGTGAGACACGAACTCTCTGTGTGGTTGTATGTATGTATATATAATTTAAAAGTAGTCCCTCTTAAACAGATTACGTGATAAAACTTGGACTATAGTTCTAAAGTGAAAGAAAACAGCCTGATATTTTCCTTGACCACTTAGTTTTCATGTGTAAGAATCATATATTTTATTTTCTATCTTATTGTGTATTTGAACACTTGGCAGCACTGACTTGCAAAAATCATCTATGTCCAAAGATACTTTAGACTGAATTTTATTACACAAACATTTTCCTAGTCAAATTGCATCGCACAGACTTTAAAATACAGAGCTATTAACTTGCCTCATGCTCTAGAATCAACTCTTCCTTTTCTTTCATTCGGTCTTCATATGCCAACAGAAGAGGAGATAAATATTTCATGTCAAGCTGAACAACAACAAAAAAAACAAACCAACTTCAATCCATGAAAATGTATAGCAGCATTAGATTTAAAACATTTTAGTGAAGATTATCTAATCAGATAACAATATTTTAAGATTTTATTTTAAGATGTCAATAAGGTAATTAATTAAATACAATTTGGAAACAGATAAGAGTGAACCTATCAGGTGCTATAAAATGAAAATGGTTAACTTGTTACTTACCAGCCATGGGGGTATTGGTTTTTTCATTGGCAGACTTCCAATCTTTACACTCTAAAATAGTAAAAATATAAGATAGATTAATACCAACAATCTCATGTATCTATGTATTAAGGAAGTCTATTTTTTTAAAAAAAAAAGATCACAACCAGACTAATATAACCAAAACTCCAGACACCTGAATTAATTTCCTATTAAAATTAATTGAAAGTGGAAAGGAACAAAAACTATAAGAAACAATCTTGAGAATGAACATTACCTCACTGGGTGAAATTGGTCTGTACTTTGTTTGATAACGACTCAGTTCTGCATTTAAGCGATGAATAGTCATTTTCAGACTATCATTTTCATCTACTAGTTCCTGGGCTTGCTGTCTTAACAGCAGCAATTCTGCCCCTTCCTCTGGATTAATATAAAAAAGAAAAAGAAAAAAGAAAAACATTACATTTTATACTGATGCACATATTGCTAAAAGATCTCCAAAATCTAACTTAAGCCGAATGCTGTATGATAAAATTGAACTTCTTTAAAGATATGATGATTCCATAAAACTATTTAAAATTCACCGGTACAACTAGGAATCCCTAAACAAAATGCAATTCACCAGCTATATATGGCTATATACGCCTAGTTTACCGCTAGTCTGAGATTGTATAAACGAGAAGATTCATGAGCACTTAGTCAGGAATAAATCATGAAAGCTACAAATGGTGCAGGCTATAAAATATAATGCAAATCCAAAGGACCACATGACAAAATCTATGCATGTAACTTGGGACAACAGGTTAATGACAACAGCAGATACTTTATATGAAGAAGGTACTAGGTAGATCCAATTAAAATATCAGGCAGCAGATGATAAAAAAAAATATATCCCTGCATAAAACCCTAGAAACCCACTCCTAGGTCCTGAAGATCAAACTTGCCTAGATGGATATTTTGGAAATTACGTTAAAAAAAATTGCCTAAATCTAAATCTAGTGAGAATAAGGTGCTGAGTGTTCTATTACAACTGACATGTGATGATGATGTCCTCATTTTGGGGAGGATGAAACCATCAAAGGCAACCTCCTCAAACGTCCTTGATATTTTATGACATGTTTCAAAGGATTCTATCCTGAGGGGGGAAACTGGAATGACAAGTTAGATCAGTGTACTTCAAATGCCAGCCTTAAGATCCAAGGAAAGTGCATGAAAGCACTTTCAAGTGGATCTACAAAAAAAAAAAAAAAAAACCCTGGACCCAGCAGAGGAAGCCACAGCAACATGGGAATTTTTTCCCAAACAATCCAATTGACTTGCTCATTCAGAAATGCATTTATTAGAACACAAATTCTGGAAGGGGAGAGAGTCATATGACAAATGTCGGGTTATTAACTCAATTTTTCTAAGGTACTGATGATTTCTAACGTACTTTCTAAAATATGATACAAAAAAAAAATCATCATCTCAATTAGTTAAATATATTCTAACTTACCATTTTCCCCATATCTTTCCTAAGTTTGCCCGATATATTAAATAATGGTACATGTAGAATGATAAAGTTCAATCATTCTTCCCTCGATTCCCACGTATATAGTTTTATTCTCTCCCACTAGAACACAATAAATTATATTTAAAGAACATAGATTCCTTTGTACCTTCACTGTGTGAATTCTGCTTTTCCTTAAACTGTCTGTTCTCTTTTTCCAATTTCTTAATTTTTAATTGCAGTTCCTTCATTAACTGCTTTGACTGTTCAAGTTCAGAAAATAAGGTCTGGTTTGCATTGTTTAGATGCCAATGTTGTTCTTTTAATTTCTGGAACGTCTCTCTGGGGAGAACCATCTGTTCCTGTTTTCTGTGGAGGGCTGCATCTACCCAAGAAATGAAATAAAATATTTATCAATCGCATAAATATATGCAAACCTTTCGGTAAAACGGCTGTACTCTAAGAATCTTTATTTAGAAGCAGGCATTTTGCATTTATGATAAGACTTCTGTCTCAACAGAAATGACTACTTAATCCACTCCAGTAGCTTGAAGATACTTTATAGGATTAATAATTATTAAAGTTATATAAGATATCTTAATTCAATTGCAAACTGCAACAGTTTTTTATGTTTTTATTTTGTGGGAAACAATTTACCGTTTCTTCACCCTCAAAAAGTCTTACAGTGAGACTGGATGTATATCTAAGGCAGGGGCTATTTTAATACAAAATATACAGAGTGCAGTACTTTGGAGTTAAAAGCAGGGGGAAAAAGCTGCAAGGAACATAAAATATTTTTCTAGCACACATAGCAACTCCTTAAAGCAGCTTTAACTTTTTCTGGGATCCCCCAGTTGCCCTCTGTAGCTATAATATGATCTCAGGAAAATATGCATTTCATTATAGGAGCTGCAGAAAGACTGGGGAACATTTCAAAACACCAATTTATATATGAAATCAAAATATTGCACCACTCTAGTATAAAAACCTGCATTTACATTTTAGATTCCACAGTTTAGCAAATATACTTAAATCTCAACAGTAGCTAATGACCTGGGGAAACAAACAAGTCCCAAGTTCTTGTTAGGTTAAATTATGGTTCAGAACTACACTCAACCTATTCTGTAGACTCCAACACAACTTATTTACACTAAACTTAAATTTAGAGAGTTTGTACCTGAAGACGAAGGCGGTTTTTCATTCAGAGGAGTTTCTCCTGAGTTGTTGTCCTAGAAATGGAACAAAATATTTAACCTAATTTCTTGTAGGACCCTCGTTTTCACCCACAAAATATCAGCAACTATTCCAGAAGATATACACCAAAAATTTAAAAATTGATGTTCTTCAGTTCTAACTTCGAAAGTTCTTTTAAAAATTTAAATGACCTTTTTTTAAAAAAAAAAATTCCAGATTCAATCACTTAAATAAAAATGAACGCATAAAAGGGAAGGCGTACAATTTAACCTTTCACCCAACTCCAGCTAATTGGAGGATTCTAGATTTTTTTATCATAGTAAATCTGTTGTTTTTCAGCTTGAAGATGAAAATCTCTGAAGATCAATTTCCAGAATTTTCCAGCCTGCATGTAATGCACATATCTTCAAGTTGCCAAAGTTGACAAACACTGCTGTAGAGACATAAGCTGCACTTTCCTGTAGAACAGAAGGCAACCATTATCCCTGGAGCTGCAAGTGAGTTTGAAATTCCAAGAATTCCTATGTACCCTGTTACCCTGAAAATAAGACATCCCCTGATAATAAGCCCAATCGGGCTTTTGAGCGCATGCGCTAAAATAAGCCTTCCCAGAAAATAAGCCCTCCCTGAAAATATTTAAACGCATGCACAGCCGGTCCCTGCCATATCCTGTGATTAGGGAGACAGAGCTGGAAATCAGGTAAGACGGCAAGGGAAGCCCCATCTTGCCCCAAAATAATAAGACCTCCCAAAAAATAAGGCCAAGCACTTAGTTCGGGGTTCAAAAAAAATATAAGACAGGATCTTATTTTCGGGGAAACACAGTACAACTTTTATCATAGAGGACAGGATGAACAGAACTGCTAACAGGGTCTTTCCCACACAAATATAATTTGTCATCTGCAATATATATATGAAGATTGCAGACATTAATTCAGTTTCAACATAGCTGTGGAGCGTAATTGTCTCAGACTTGACTAATCTCTAGAACTGTTGAAACTGGGGAAGAAAAAAAAAGAAAAGACAACCATACAACCTTTCTTTAACTTCTTAAAAGAAATATAAGAAATACGGAATGAGAAGACATAAATCTGTCCTTAACTGAAATCACGGAACATAATTTTAATGCTGGTCTTACCTTAAACCTCACTCCAGGATGTTCAATTTCTGTAATGTAAAAATGTATTTGATTTTAGGTATAAAGGAGAAATATATCAAATGGAATTCAATGCTCCTAATCAAGCTTGAGCTTTCATGATCTGTCTAGTTTCATCTTGTTTAGTTTCTAATTTTTTCACCTTCATCTTAAATAAATATCTTAGTAAACGTAAAGGTTCCCATCGCACATATGTGCTAGTCGTTCCTGACTCTAGGGGGTGGTGCTCATCTCTGTTTCAAAGCCAAAGAGCCAGCGCTGTCCGAAGACGTCTCCGTGGTCATGTGGCCAGCATGACTAAACGCCAAAGGTGCACGGAACGCTGTTACCTTCCCACCAAAGGTGGTCCATATTTTTCTACTTGCATTTTTTTAAAAATGCTTTCAAACTGCTAGGTTGGCAGAAGCTGGGACAAGGAACAGGAGCTCACCCCGTTACGCGACACTAGAGATTCGAACCGCTGAACTGCCGACCTTTCGATTGACAAGCTCAGCCTCTTAGCCACTGAGCCACCACATCCCGTGTTAATATCTTAGTAAGTGTAAAAAATTAGAAAAATGGAGATTTGTGCAATAAAAAAAACTATTTTCTGCTTTACGCAGGGAAAAAAATGAAAAGTAATACATGTAAGATGTCATCATCCTTGTACTGTTCATTTAGATTCAGGTTCTCTCTTTCTCACTGTCAACTATTCAGCCTTCCCCCACATAGAAGGAAAAATTATCCGAGTCTAAACTATGGTACTAAACCAAACAACACATCATACTAAAGGTGGGAAGCAGATGGTATTTATCTTCTCCTTAATCTAATGTTCATTTCTCACCTTCAACCTGAACATTTGGCTGGATGAGACAACTTGGTTCGTAGACAGAAGAATCTTCTTCACCATTGGCACTAGAAGATACTGGGAGATTTTCCTAAGTAAAAAATATTGCAATGCACCTTATAAATTCGAAGTCCACTTATAGGAATTGATGTTACCAAAAGGCTCTAAGCAGCTAACAATGTCATTGTAAAACAGAACATTGATTAAAAAGAGGAAAATCAAAAACATATCAAAGGACAAATAGGGTAAGTGGATGCAATGTATGTGCTTGAATACACATTAAACAAGACAAACTGCAGCCCCCCTGAGCCTTTTATGTCCTGTGAAAGCATCCCTCATGCTCAAATTGAGCCACGAAACAACATGCTCCATGATTTCCTGATAGTTTTTAATGGATAATGAAAGAAAAGTAGGAGCTATGGTGGCACAGTGGTTAGAATGTGCTATTGCAATAAAAACTCTGCTCATAGCCAGGAGTTCGATCTGACCAGCTCAAGGTAGACTTAACCTTCCATCCTTCCAAGGTTGGTAAAATGAGGAGGCAAATCATTGGGGGCAATAGGCTGACTCTGTAAAGCGCTTATATACTGTAAGTCTAAGTGCTATTGCTAAATAAGTATTTAAAATCTCTTACTGGTTTAGGGTACCTCCTAATATCAAAACAAAACTCCTGTCAGTCTTATGAGATTCCCTATCCCAAGCAAATATTGAAATCTGAGTAAGTAGAGACTACTGTACCTCCTGAAGGTATATTGGGTACCAGTTATGAGACGTAGGTGGCCATTCTAGATGGCTGCTCCCTTGTTTTGGAACAACTCAGATTACTCTACAAGAATGCCCCAATCTCTTTGTGCAAGTTAAACACAATAACAGACTATTACCAGAGGGTTTTGAAGTCTAACTTTACAGTTGCATTACCTGTTAACTGTCTTTCTTTATATACAGCAGATAGATGACAGGTCAGCTGGTTGCAAATAGAGGTGCAGAAGTTTATAAATAGTAGGCTTGTTTTGCAAGGGAGGGAAGCTACCATTATTGGTGTAATACATCTATCAGTATCCAACTTGGGGGGGATATATATATTTGTCTTTTTTAATGCACATTTTAAAAAAATGTTTTGTTTTGTCTTTGTAATTTTTTTTGAAGTGTATATTTTAATTTCTGGAATAAAATAAAAACGATTATTATTATTTTTTTAAAAAAGAACGCTCTGATCTCTAAAGGACCACATAATAGAAAATTTGCAGAGAAAACAACAAGGACTGGGTGTTTTGTTTTGTCTTTGTAATTTTTTTTGAAGTGTATATTTTAATTTCTGGAATAAAATAAAAATGATTATTTTTTTTTTAAAAAAAGAATGCTCTGATCTCTAAAGGACCATAATAGAAAATTTGCAGGGAAAACAACAAGGACTGGGGAGACTTGTAATTTGGGTTCAGATAGCTAAAAGAAAAATGTCAAAAGCTTACCTGTTTGATTTTATGTGGCATAGCATACATAACCTTATGACGCATGCTTTCTTTTTTATTAACAATTTGACGGTCGGGATCCAATTCTTTGTCTGTGTCAGAAGTGAATGTATCCATGTCATCCTCACAACAACTCTCAGATGCTTCCAAAGTTTGAACAGCATTCCTTTCGTCACCATCATTCTTCCAATTTGGACTATAAACAGAAAATACTAAAAGTGTAATCCAATGTAATATGTATTTAACTATAAACAATTATATTAAGTACTCAGCGTTTTTTTAAAAGAATATAGGGGAGAGTTAGTTTTTCTGCGTGATATGCTTTCTAGTCAACAAAACAAAAGGGATCCTACTTTATAGGCAATTAAAAATTCACAGTACTTCTCATATTACTGCTTTTACTAGTCAGACATTTCTTCTGAATGTTTGCCAATCTCGAATCAGAAGTGATTTTCAAAGAAAGCTTTTTTTATGGTGTTTTAAGAAATACACAAACTACAACTGGCTGCAATATTCAGAATTTGGGAATTCTGTTTATTCTGAAACTTTTATTTTTATAAAATGCAGTTTCCAAGATTTAGACCCCCTAAAAGTAGTTATTTTTAGAATCATTTTGCAGCACACAAAAAGGGAAGAAAGCAAAATGTAGAAAAGTGGCAGTCACGTAGACTGCAGTTTACATTTGAACTGAGCCATCAAGTTGGAACTTTGGACTTCCTTGCTGGGGGATAAACTATTTTATACCAGTGGATTAGGTGTGCCAAAATGGGCAATATTTTCTACCTCATTAGTAGCTCAGTCACAGTGGCATATGGTTCAATGCAGTCTTCCTGATCTTGCAAGTAGCTGGCATCACTTTCCGAAAGAGATCGCTGACGAGGCTGAGGGATGGCAACCGTTCGTCCGGTTAAGGTCGTCACAAGAATAGCGGCTGCTAAAGCAGACCTAGAACAAACCAATTTAAAAAAAAAAAAAAAAATTACGGATCAGGAGGCTGGGATAAGATAAGGTAAAACATGAGTTCAAAATAGAAGTTAAATTAAATAAAACATACATCTTAATACAATTGCTTCCTGCATCTAATAGAGTTTCCTTTCAACAACTCTGGGAAAAGAGCCAGCTTTATATATAGCTATTTTTCAATAAGCTATGCGACTGTTTACAGGGGGGTGGGTATGTCCAGATTGTATTGAGACCCGTCAACATATGAATATTAAAACATGACATGGTTTCAACTATCTGAAATAATAGAGAAACACCCACAATGCACAAACAACAAAAGAAGAAATGTTTCTCTACAATAGAAAAGTTTGGCAAACTGTGTTAAGTGTTGCATAAGTGCTGCTGAACACCTATATTGGAACTACTAAATCCTCTGTTGGATTTAATCAATTTAACCCACTGGAAATAAAAGATTCATACATGATAGCTTTAATACAGAGCCATAATACCATTCTTTTGAGTAATGAAAACAATCCATTTAGTTTATTATTTTTAATTTTAGTAAGCTAAACTCTAATCTCACCCCAATGCAAAGTTTACTGGAGAAAGCCACATTTCCTACTTTCAGCTGCACTGGCATTTATAGTCTATCTCCACTTGCATTTTATTGCATATGCACGCGCTCCACAACGCTCCCATGCAAAGGAGGATTCCAGCTGATGCAACAGTGGGCCAATAAAAGCACCTTTCAAAAGTGCCAAATAGTGATGGAGGCATAATTGCTATCTGCAATAGTAAAGCCACATTTGTCAGTGATGGAAGGAGTCGGAATCTCGACAAAAATAATAAGGACATACTTGCAGCTCATATGATAATATTAAGCTGGCTTTGATCTATACATTCTTGGAAGAAAGTCCGGTTATTCTCCTATTTCAAAAGACAAGCTAACAACATTGATACTATAAAGTAGACTGTGTACAATGCTGCCGAAAACCTCTTTAAATTATATAACATGCAAATATGTGGTTCTCTCTCTTTCAAATGTAATCATACATATGTCTGGTATATACAAATGTACAGGCAAGATAAAGCCATTCTAAATATTCAAATATCCATTAATAATATTAATTCTATTACATGACTGAAAATCAAGAGATGAAAAACCTACCTGGGCCTTTCTGGAGAAGGGTTTGGACTACGAGGGGGAGGGGTGCGGGGGACAGCAGGTTTAGGAGCTATGGTAGCTGCAGGGATCAGGCCATGAGCTATATGTTTCTAAACAATTTAAAATAAAGTTAGTTGGCAATGATTGAACTAACACAATGGAGAAACACAAATGTGTACATGCACAAGGACTAATAACATGAAAGGGAGGAACATGTACATGCAAATTAATGTATGCAGCAAGCCTAAATGGTTTTGAATGTGATGCGCAAAACAACAATATTGCCACAAAAATAATAGTTATTTCTGTGGCCACCTACTGTAACTTTTCTTATGCATTCTATGTATTTATTTTCATACCCATTTGATTCTTGGATTACAATGTAATTTTTGAAATGTTCATTCTTTCCTCTTTGTAGAAAATATTATATTCCAATAAAAGTTATTCTGTTTCAGAAAACAAAATTACTGGTGATGTTTATATAATTTCCCTAGATTCAGCTGACAATCTTCATGGAGATAAGAATCTCCATGAATGTTCATAGCTATCTACTCCTCCTTCTACCAAATTCAGTTAACATACCTAGTCAGTTTCACCATTTATTTATCAAGACATGCAAATCGAGAACTCTGATCTTACCCTCTCAGACCAACCCAGAACCAATGTTTGGTTTTGTCATCAAACTTTGGCTTGGTCAGAGAGGAGTAACCAAAAGATTCAGGTGGACTGGATATGGCATGTGGGGAGAGGGGCAATGCGGGTTGGGAAGGGTGCCTTAGAATACATGAGAGGTGTGCGGGTCAGAGAAAGCATATGGGGGGGGGCAGCATGGGTTGGAGAAGGTGCAGGAGATGGTGCGAGTGGACAAACAGAGATTCGTGAAAAGTGCCATGTGGGTCAGGGAAGGGTGTTCAAGAATTGCTGTGTGTATCAGGGAGAGTTCATAGAGATGTGCAAGTGGTGCTGCATAGGTCAGGTAAGGCATGCAGGGGAGGCAGCACAGGTCAGGGAAGTGCATTAGGGTACAGAGGAGAAGTCACAAGGCTTACAAAGGGCACCCAGGGTGGTGGTGTGTGTCAGGAAGGGTGCATGGGTGTTCCTTCCTCCCTCCCATCCCCTTTCTCTTCCGTTCCCTTCCCACCAGGAAGGTGACAACTGCTGAGTGGGAGACGGAGCAAGGGATTGCACAAGTGACTGGGAAACTGTCACAGCACATTGATAAGGAAAGTCATGTGACCATAGCAGTGGCCCACCAGCACTGAAGCAGCCATGACTTCCCCAAATTTCATTCCTTAAGAAGTAATAGGCCCCGGCATTACATACATTAGCCCATATAAGGGGCCTTTGTTGACAAAGTCTTCCCCTATGATACACCATTTTCTCCAGGTAAAGGTTATGGACAGCAGAGTTTTAAAGATAGATAGATTGATTAGAAGATAGGTAGGTAGGTAGGTAGGTAGGTAGGTAGGTAGGTAGGTATGGATAGCTACTAGCTAGCTAGGGAGAGAGGGAGGGAGGGAGAGATAATTAGATGATAGAGATGATAGATAGATAGATAGATAGATAGATAGATAGATAGATTAGATGAGTAGATAGGTATGGATAGCTACCAGCTAGCTAGAGAGAGGAGGGAGGGACGGGGGGAGAGAGATGATAGATAGATAGATAGATAGATAGATAGATAGATAGATAAATAGATAGATAGATAGATAGATAGATAGATAGATAGATAGATAGATAGATATGGATAGCTACTAGCTAGCTAGGAGAGAGGCAGAGAGAGGGGGGAGAGAGATGATAGATGACAGATAGATATGTATAGCTACTAGCTAGCTAGAGGGAGGGAGGGAGAGATAATTAGATGATAGAGATGATAGATAGATAGACAGATAGACAGATAGATAGATAGATGAATAGATAGGTATGGATAGCTACCAGCTAGCTAGAGAGAGGGAGGGAGGGACGGGGGGGAGAGAGATGATAGATAGATAGATAGATAGATAGATAGATAGATAGATAGATAGATAGATATGGATAGCTACTAGCTGCTAGGGAGAGAGGCAGGGAGAGAGGGGGGAGAGAGATGATAGATGATAGATAGATATGTATAGCTACTAGCTAGCTAGAGGGAGGGAGGGAGAGAGAGAGATAAATAGATGATAGAGATGATAGATAGATGAATAGATGAATAGATAGATAGATGAGGGAGATGATAGATAGATAGATAGATAGATAGATAGATAGATAGATAGATAGATAGATAGATAGATAGATAGATATGTTTCATAATGTGAAAGCAGGCCAAACAAAAACTGAACTTTTTCCAACTGCTTCCCTTGAATCATAGCGGTGGAAGGGACCTTGCAGGTCTTCCAGTCCATCCCTCTGCCCAGTGCAGAAATCCTCCCACCATTCCGGACCCATGACTGTCCAGTATTCAACCACCAGCGATGGAGCCCCCGCAGCTTCAAGAGGCAAGGCTGTTCCATCGCTCCGGCCGGGAACATTGCTTAGTCCGTTTCCCTTTCTCATCCCTCCTTCCAGATCCAACCTGGGATGCTCGGGAGGAGCCAGCCCCCTGGTTGCCATGGGAACCGGAGCCACGCTTGCCATCGGGGACCGCCGGCTCATCCTCCTCGCTTTTTCCCCTCTGACTTTCCCTCCTCTTGAACCATCAATTTCCTCCACTTTCCCTTCCCCCGCTAGGGAAATACTCACAAACAGGCCTCTCCGGCCCCTCCTGAAATAAAACGGCATGAGGGCGAAAAGGCTGAGGGGGAAAAAAAAAAACAACGGGAACGAAGCCGGGAGACACAACGGGCCACGCCGGCCAGAGGGAGCGGCCCCCTCTCCCCTCCCGAAGATGAGGACGCTTCTCCTCGCAACCACTCCGCAATTAGCCGCAAGGCGATTGGTTACGACGTCCCGCTTTATCCAATCGACATCCGCCTTACTGAGGCTGCCTTCGCCTTAGCAACCAGCGTCCGTTAGGCATCGCCACGCCCCTTGAGAACTATTTATTTTTTTCCGGGAGAGGGGAAAAAAAGGAGGGATTTGATTGGCTGGCGGCAGCAGTGCGTCATGGCTGCCGCGCGCTGTTGGAAAAAGACGGAAGCGGGAACTGCTGGCAATAGCTGGTGGAAGAGCTTAAACTATGAATGGGAGCCTCTCTTGGTTTGCTTGCGTGTATGTGCGCGTTCGCACGTGTATTTTAAGGCGCTGGAGGGTCTTAGAGGTTGCTGTGCAGGATCTTTAAGCGGTAAGGCCAGAAGAATGTTTTGCATTAAAATATTTTTTAAAATGCTTACAATAAATGTAATGATTTATATTGTTAAAATATATCCATCTAAGCAAAAAGAAAGAGAAAAATGGAATATTTGGTTAGGATTTCAGATTTAAGTAACGGGTTTTTGGGGACAATGGCATAGTTAAAATTGATAGAATTTAGGGAAATAACTGAGTAAAATATTAAGTTGTGTTAATTGAAAAATAAGATTTGTTAATGATTCGTATTAATTTGTGACCGGATCAATGCCCCACCCTGCGCATGCGCGCGCAACCCCCCTCTCCCTTGCTCCTGGCACCTAGAGAGGCTCTGGAGGCTGGGGACAGCAAAAAAGTCACTTCCTGTCCAACTGGGAGTTGGGAAATGAGCCATTTCAGGCCGCCGGAAGACCTCTGAGGGAGTGGGGAAGGCTGTTTTCACCCTCCCCAGATGCATAGAGAGGATCTGGAGCCAGGTGAGAAAGAAAAATGGGCCTTCCTCACCCCCAGAGGCAGGAAACAGCCTGTTTCCCTACTTCTGGTGCGCCCAGAAGGCCCTAAAATCAGCTGGCCGGTGCGTGCATGCGCACCAGAGCTGAGCTGGCGTGCCCACTACGCTACGCATGTCACCTGTGGCACGTGTGCCATAGGTTTGCCATCACGGCCCAATACCATTCTGGACAAATGGCTGTCCGATCTCTTCTTGAAGACTTCCAGTGATGGAGCATCCACAACATTTAGGAGGAAGCTATTCCACTGATTAATTGTTCTCACTGTCAAGAAATTTCTCCTTAGTTCTAGGTTGCTTCTCTCCTTGATGAGTTTCCAACCTTAATCAGTTTCAGTATCTTCCAATTCCAAGCTGACTCTGGCCAACTCACAATGCAAAGCAATATAAACACTGAAATCTACAGTAAACAGATGGTGGATCCAATCAGCATATAAGACAAATTTCATGCAACCAGCTGGGGCCCCAATCTTCCATCCCAGAGGCTGGGGAAAGAGCGTTCTGGAAAGTCATCAGCTGGAAATCATCTGGAAATTGAAATTCCCTGGTTAATGAGAAATGTATCGGGTTTTTTGCATTTTTAAAATAACAGGTTAATGGTTTTTCTCTTCTACAGGACAAATAACCTTACAAGTGCGAAGGAAGTTTAATAATGGCAAATGATAACACCCCAGTCCGAGCAGGAGCTGGAAATGTTCCTTTGGGCCATGTGATTGGCAATGAGAAATGGAAGGGTTCCCAGATTGCTCAGGAGATGCAAGGTAAATTTTACTTTTGATACAGTGGTGAAATCCAAAATTTTTTACTACCAGTTCTGTGGGTGTGGCTTGGTGGGCATGGCCGAGGAAGAATACTGCAAAATCCCCATTCCCTCCCCACTCCTGGGGGGAAGATATTGCAAAATCCCCATTCCCACCCCACTCTGGGGCCAGCCAGAGATGGTATTTGCCGGTTCTCCAAACTACTCAAAATTTCTGCTACCGGTTCTCGAGAACCTGCTGGATTTCACCCCTGCTTTGATAAAATTATAGAATTTTGCTTACCAACAAATCATCCTAAAATCTGTAATTAAACCAACATATTTATTTAAATATATTGGTCACCCAACTCCAGTGGACTCTTTTTTATTTTGCAAAAGGAATCTGATAGATGCATTGCCTGTGTTTGGGTGTTCAGTATAGTTTAGTGGGGTAGGGGTGAGGGTTTGAAATAGGATAGTGCAGTGAATGGCTTTCAGCAAATCAAAGTATCAATTACACTACAAAATATCAGCTTAATATCTTGGTTTGGTCTGGAGCTCTTAATTATAGTTTTCCTAAACATCCCAAAGGTGCATAGATTATCTAAACAGCCAGAAAATGAAAAGAAGGACTAGGGGAGACATGATAGCAGTGTTCCAATATCTCAGGGGCTGCCACAAAGAAGAGAGAGTCAAGCTATTCTCCAAAGCACCTGAGGGCAGGACAAGAAGCAATGGGTGGAAACTAATCAAGGAGAGAAGCAACTTAGAACTAAGAAGAAATTTCCTGACAGTTAGAACAATTAATCAGTGGAACGGCTTCCCTCCAGAAGTTGTAAATGCTCCAATACTGGATGATTTGAAGAGATTGTCTGAAATGGTATAGAGTTTCCTGCCTAAGCAGGGGGTTGGACTAGAAGACCTCCAAGGTCCCTTCCAACTCTATTATTCTATATTCTAAAAATTAAGTTGTCTCATTTTATTAAACTAGGATAATCTGAAAATATCACTAGATCACAAGGAGTATTTTATTATTTTTACCAGATTGTTTTATTTCTCGTTCATTTGAATGCCAGCTCTACATACTATAAATGAAATATGGCAAGCTAGATGTTAAAGTCTGGTTTAAATGCATATTTTCACTTTGTAGGGCTAAACATACTTGGAAATTATCACTCTGGAAACCATTGGCATTTTCTTTTTAATAACTTATTTAGAATTTGGAGATAATAGCTTGATTTTCAGTGTGTGTTCAGGCATGGTTTGTTTAAATATAGAATTGGTTGGGTTCACACAATATGTTAAAATCAAACTTAGCAGGATATGTAAATGCAGCCAGAGTTCCACTCAACTGAGAATTGTGTACCTACAGTAGTTCTGCCATTACTGTAATTTCCTTACTTCTCACTTTTCAAGGTAAAGTTAAGCTTATTCTGGAAGATCGTCTGGGACTCGTGGACTTTCATCTTTCAAACAGATGCTGCATCCTCTACATATCTGAAGCCGATCTGGTGGCAGGAAATGGCTTCAAAAGAAGACTGGTTCGTTTTAGAAATGTAAGCACCCTCTGAAAGAAGCATTTGGATCATCCTTTTCAGGAACATAATATCAGCAAAACATTAGATCAATTCATCACAATTCAAAGTGAATCTAATCTTTAGTACCATGCGCTGTGATCAATAATTATACCAGCAACCCAAATCCACCATTTTACGAACTATTTTTTTTAAATCCTTAATCAAAGGATTCTGTGTTTTTTCCTTCCGTCGCTGTTTCCTTTTTGAAATGATCCGATTTTGCTTGAAGAACAAAAAGATATTTTGCCTAGGCATGGCTTTGTATTTATCTTCGGCTCAGAGAAAGCTTTAACTGGTTCATCTATATCTAATTGGCTGTTGCAGGAAAATATCAGGCATTAGCGGCCATGTATGGTGTATTATAGTTGTTTTATGCACAGATTCAATTCAGATCTTTATTGTCAGCGCACAACGTATGTACAATGAGATTGGTTGAGCTCCCTCAGTGTACCCCCCCCCCCCCCAACACAATACAATTCACAGTGAAGACAGAAAATCCCGAACCCAATAAATCATATTAACAAAACACCCAGTCCTACTGCACCGGTGTGAACATGTTACACATTGCACCGGCCATGCAGTCTGTCATAACTACGTAGTTATGATGTTATTTCTCATTCAGGAGTCTGACAGCCCACGGATAAAAACTGTTCTTCAGCCTGTTTGTGCAGCTGGCTATACTTCTATATCTCTTTCCCGATGATAGGAAGATAAAGAAATGGTGACCAGGCTGAGAGTTGTCCCTGAGAATTTTCCTCACACTTCTAAGGCAGCAAGCCCTAGCGATCTCATCTAGTGGTATCAGGGGACAGCCCACGATGTTTTGTGCTGTGCTCATCACCCTCTGTAATGTTTTTCTATCCGTGGCTGTCAGACCGGCATGCCATACCGTGATGCAATAAGTGAGGATGCTTTCTATTGTGGACCGGTAAAAGGAGGTCATCAGTTGTTGTTCCACCCTGCTTTTATGCAAGACCCTGAGGAAATGGAGTCTCTGTTGGGCCTTCCTGGCCACCTGGATCGTGTTGTTTTTCCAGATCTGAACGATGTCAACCCAGCCATTCATTCATTCTCATATTCATCTGTGAGGAAACAATAGCCTTTAACCAGTGATTTTAAGCGGCATGGCTAAGTGGAGTGAAGGGGAGAAAGAGTGAAGAAAGCACAACTTTTTTACTTTCCCAGCCCTCCCAATGAGCTTACTCTAGGCCAGGGGTGTGCAGTTGTGGCTCTTTTACAACCTGTGGACTTCAACTCCCAGAATTTCTGAGACAGCCAAGCTGTCTCAGGAATTCTGGAAGTTGAAGTCCACAGGTTGTAAAAGAGCCACAATTGCACACCCCTGCTCTAGGCCAGTGATGGCTAACCTTTTTGCCATCGTGTGCTGAAAGCGGGGGGAGCATGGGGGGGGTTTACACGCATGCCCACACCCATAATTCTATCCCCCCCGTGCATGCGCCCATGCCCCCCTGTGCTCCCCCCGCTTTTGGCACACGATGGCATGGTGGGCCCAGTAGGCCCATTTTTTGCTCTTCCCCAGGCTTCAGAGCCTCTCTAGGAGCCTGGGGACGGCGAAAATGGCCTTCCCCATGCCCCTGGAGGCCCTCCCTTGGTCGGAAACGGCCCATTTGCCGACTTCCAGTGGGACTGGAAGGCCCGTTTTTTGCTCTCCCCAAACTCCAGAGCCTGTCTAGGAGCCTGGGGAGGGCGAAACCGGCCTTCCCCCTCCCCCGGAGACCCTCTGGAGGCCGTTTGCTGACTTCCGGTCCCACCAGAACTGAGCTTGCGTGCCCACTGATATGGCTCCGCGTGCCACAGGTTCGCCATCACAGCTCTAGGCTGTTGGTTTGTCTCTGTCATTAATACCTGTTACTCTCATTGTTCCTACTTGTTCCAGGCTTGCACTCTTCAAGGGATTGTATTAGTTGAAAAAACCCAAATAAGTAACCAGTATTTTCCAGAAGTGCAGAAATTTGTCGTTCTGGAACTCGGAATGACATTACTTCCGGTGGCCAGCCAAAAAGAAGCCGCTCAACTTATTGCTCAATTGGTAAGTACCTTCAAGAGCGGTTTGTACTGCTGTGCATCTTATACTCCGATTGTAACCCAAAGTGCCCAAAAATGGCTACCCGGAACTGCTTCTGCCTTCTCTTACTTCTTCCGCGCTTTGCCTGCTTTAGTCACTGGAGCTCCCTCTGAAGATCAGCTGTGCTCTTGAAGCTGTTTTTCAGCCCCAACGTGAGTGAAGCGATCTTCCGTGCTTTGCCTGGTTTTCTAATTGCTGCTCCCTCTGACAATCAGCTGTGCTTTAGAAGCATATCCCCAACCAGCCCATCCTCAAAACCAGCCAGCAAATTAATATGCTGGGACTAGCCAGCAGAATACCTGGTAGGCAGAATCTCCTCCCCGCTATTTTTCTCACCAAAAACTAAGGTGCGTCTTATACTCTGGTGCTTCTTATACTCTGAAAAATACGGTACATTTTGGGCTCAATTGTCCTCAGCTCAATTTACATGTATCGAGAAATACTTGTAAATGTTTAGCACCGAAAACCACAAGAGGGCAGCCAGACTGAATTTGACTTTCATTTCAGGTGCACGAACAAACTAAAACCAGTCATCCTTTCCAAAGTAAGAAATGTACCAAGTTATTGGAACCATCTGTACTCCATACAGTTCAGCAGATTCCAGGAGTTGGAAAAACAAAAGCACTTCTTCTTCTGGAAAACTTTGGAAATATCCATCAGCTTTGCAATGCCTCTCTCCAGGAGCTCGAAGGAGTAGTTGGCCGCAGCCTAGCTCAACAAATCCATGCATTCTTCAACCAAACAAAATAATCTGGGTTTTTCAACATCGGCGATAAGGTTTTTGAAAGGCTGCAAGTTTCTTTACACACATGGTCAGATTTCGGTTTGTATGAAACACAAAAGAGCCTTGATTTCCATCTGAGGAGCAAATAAATCAGGAAATTATTTTTTAAGCTCCGAGTTTGCTCCATCTGGGCTTTGTAGGGTATGCTTTTGGCTTTCATACAGCTGGACACGATGTCACCTTTTATGAATAGCATTGAACGCTTTTTCCTGGAGAATTAACTGGAGCACCAACATCCTCTTTGTCTTCCTTTAAAATGGTTTTTGTTCATTTATTACTAGTTTCTTAAGTACATTCTTCTTCATGTCAAATCTCAGCTGCTTCTTAAAGGAACTGCCAAATAAGCCAGATTTCATCTGTGTTTGTTAAGACTTGAAAAATAGGGGAGGCTCTGAGTTACTTTCTAAGCCGAAAAAGAGCAGGTTGTCCAATGTAAATGAATTTTACATTTGTTCTGTGGACGGTCCCTGTTGCCCTATTGTTTTGGATGTAGAAGAAAAGCCTAATCCGTCTACCTGTCTTTTTGCCTACCTTTCATAACTTGTTGATGAGAAGTTATGAATTCTGAGCATCAGAACTGCCTTGAATGGATCGTTTACTGACCGTTGGGAACCGTTATTTAATGTGTTTGATTTTTTGTATCCATTAAAATCAGGGATCAGATCCCCTGTTCTGATTTGTATGAATAATGCAGAGATAATAGAGGAGTTCCTGGATGGATCATCAATTAAGAAATTTGTTTTCACTTGACCTTCAACAGTCTGGCCGAAGGAAGTCACTTTGGGCAAACAGCACTAAAAAAAAAACCAAAAAAAAAAAACCAGGAATAAACCTTGTTTCTTTCCGGCTCTAGCTATAACTCTGGAACTCCTTATTTATAGGTCTGATCTAGGCTTTCCTTCATTCTTGATCTCCATTCCTTTGGATCTTGCTCTATCAAAAACATTGTGTGACAGGTGGGCCCCGGTAGGAAACAGCTGTAGGAGTGGAACCTGAACATTGCTTTTGCACGAGGCACCTGGAAGGCCGCCAAACTGAAATTACGAAAGGCGTTATCAGACTGAAAAGAAGGAATGAGTCATCCCTTCTTGTCTACCCAGAGGGCTTCTATATCACTTCCAGCAAAGTTACGCTTCTGTGGAGCTTAAAGGTTGTAACCTGGTCCCTTTCAACCCAAAACTCCCACATGTCTTTCAAAGAAAGAACACATACCTCACATTAAATAGAACAGGCTAAAGTTACCCTTTTGGCATTTGGCTGCACGCAGTCTAGTTTTACAGACAGCCTTGGGCCATGGGGCTTTTTCTGAGGGGATGGGATAAAGAGATAAAAAGAGGCATTCAGACTTGGTTCTGGGCGCCTGCATCCCTGCAGTTTTCTTGGCCAGGATGCTGGATGGATTCCCATTGCTGCCTTCCAGCGTTTGCTTATTTCCAAATCAGGCTGGTAACTCCAGAATTCCGCAGTGTTGTTCCTTCTGCGTATTATTTTTGAAAGTAGCTGAGATTGAGTAGGTACAGCCACCTAAACTGGGAAGAGAAGAAGGCTAAGGCCGTTTTGGTCTTTTGCACAATATCATCCGTTTTGTGACTGGGTTCAGGGGTGAAATGCTATCGGTTGAACCGGCAGTTTAAAAAGCTACCGGTTCGGGTAAACTGGTATTTCCGACGATCAGCTGTTCCGCGGGGTTTAGTTTTGCTAGAAAGCAGGATTTCCTGCTTATTAGCGAAGCTAAATCACGCAGCACAGCTGATTCCGCCCTCCTCGCTGTTCTACTTACCTTCCCAAGCCTCCTTTTGGCGCATACTGGGCATGTGCACGTACATGTGCAGCATGTTTGGTGTGCATTCTGTATGCGCACGCTGTGTGCGTTTGGTGCACAGTGCGCTTGTACAGCCAGAAAACCGGGAGCAAACCGGTTTGGATTTCACTACTGACTGGGTTGACATTGTTTTAAGCCAAAGATGGACCCTTTTTTTTTTTCATGACTGGATGCCGCAGTTAACGGCGGGCAGATTGAAAAGGCAAAACGGGTTAATGCGGTACTTTTGCTAAAGTCCAGAGGGTTTAGGCCAGATCCGTTCAGAAGCAGGTGTTGCAATTTGGAGGGGGGGAGATGTTGCAGATACAAAGCAGGAAGACACCAGTGTTAAAATGATTGAGATTCATTCCCTCAATGCCCTGAGTCAACAAAAGGGCAAAACCATTAAAGCAATCTTGTCTTGTATGAAAGATAATAAAAAATGCCCTCGGGTATTTTTTCTCTTTCTCCAGGAAGTTCAGCTGTGCTCATTTAATTTTGTATTTTTTTTTTTAAAGGAGCAGTTACATTCTTAATCTCATTTTTTTTCCCTGCTACTTATCGGAAGGTAGCTCTGCAGAGTTACAAGGTTTCAGTTCAACGGTTTTTGTTTTTGTTTTAAAGAAAAAGACCGTAAATCAACGCTTGATAATCTTGGAAATACTTGGGAGAAGCCCAACGAAAGGAAGATAGTTTTTTGGTCATCAAGATGTTTCTCCTGTGTGCATATATTATAGCCTCCTCTACACCTAAGTGGTTTACAGAGTCAGCATATTTCCCCCAACAATCTGGGTCCTCATTTTACCGACCTCGGAAGGATGGAAGACTGAGTCAACCTTGCGACGGTCAGGATCGAACTGCTGGCAGTGGGCAGTTTGCCTGCAGTACTGCACTTTAACCACTGCGCCACCAGGGCTCTAGTCAAAAGTATGAAGCTAGCATTTTAGAAAACGCTGTATGCTACCAAGTTTGCAACAATGCCTTTAGAATCCCAAAAAAATCCCACTGAGGCGGTAGAGAGGATTCTGGGAGGCTGGCCATCCTGTCTACAAATGGATATTTTGTGATCTGCTATGCCCACTTGGGCGGGCATTTTGTGAGGGCACCAACCATATGATGTGCCCTGCATCAAAAGCTTTGCCTACTTCTGCTTCAGTGTTGAATCCAGCTAACTGTGGCTTAACCAACCATGGCATACTATACCACACAAATTTGGTTACGTTTCTTTGGAGAATCCCCAAAATCAAAAGTATATATATATATATCACAGATAATGGAGTATAAATGAACAAGTCAACCCTCTTCCAACCTACATTTTATTATGCACTAGGGTTAATTCCACAACATTGATTGAATATTGCACAATAAGAATAAGCAGCCACTATAATATTACATTCTTCCTTTTTTAAAAAAACAGACCTTCATTCTGAACAACAACAGTTAAGAAAAATTAAAACTTTTATCTCATTCATCGTTGCAGTGAAAAGTTGTTCATCGTCACATATAAGTCAGGACTCATTCTTAAATAATCATTTAAAATTTATATATTTACATCTCCTGGGAATGTAGGAACATTAAAAGACCAGAATAATAATAAAATGGCATTGATCTACCAGCCTTCCCCATTTTTCCTTATTCTATTCCAGCGTATCTCAACCTTAGTAATGAAGATATGTGGACTTCAACTCCCAGAATTTCCCAGCCAGCAATTCTGGGAGTTTGAAGTCCACATATCTTCAAAGTTGGAAAAACTGTTCTATTCCAATTTCTTCTAAAAATTTCTCCGCTTCCAGTAATGGATTCAATGAGTTTCAATAGGAAGTTTAGATTTCCCTTCTTTAAATTTTTAGCCAATCATTGTTAAGATCTACCCTGTTAGCAATATTTCAGCTTAGCAGATAACTATTGTGTATTAGCCCACACCTTTAGACAACAACAATAAAACTCCAAGCAGCAAGTACTTTCCCAGTTGGGCATGTTCTTTAGTGTGCTGAACTCCTAAATTTCACTTAAGGCATAGTTAAATTACCTTTATCAACCCTTTAGAATGCATCTTTCCAGTGGCACTCAAGAAAAACCTCAGTTAATATCCTTCTTAAAAATAGCATTAAAATAAAGGTAAAGGATCCCCTCGCACATATGTGCTAGTCGTTCCCGATTCTAGGGGGCGGTGCTCATCTCCGTTTCAAAGCCGAAAAGCCAGCGCTGTCCAAAGACGTCTCTGTGGTCATGCAGCCGGCATGACTCAACACCAAAGGCACACAGAAGGAACGCTGTTACCTTCCCACCAAAGGTGGTCCCTATTTTTCTACTTGCATTTTTTACCTGCTTTCGAACTGCTAGGTTGGCAGAAAAATTAATATTACAAAAATAGCTATGTACCTGCATGCAGGCTGGGGAATTTTGGGAGTTGAAATCCACACATCATTTAGTTGCTGAGATTAAGAAATACTGATTTGAAGTGAAACCTGGCAGGCGCTAAGTATTTGGTCTGGAACCAAGCTGGCGGATCTCTTTCCACACTCTTGTTTATATTAGCATATTTCTCTACACATACAGCATTAGGGAATCTCCATCTTTTGCTATAATGCTCGGCAGGTGTAGAAAACGATACCCAGTTACATCAGGTCTTGCAAAACAGAAGCTGTTTTTCAACGGATCCATTCTGTGTTACTTAAAGTCACCAGGGTTAGTTCCAAGTTTGTCCTTGGGAGATTTCTTTCCACCACATATCGGGTGCCGTGTCAATGGATGGCTTCTTTTGGTCGTTGACGAGATACTGTCATTGAGTGTGGGAAATTGTGGAAACTGCCATCCTATTCCATTTCCATGTTCCGTTTGGAATGCCAGAAAATGCAAAATCCGGTTCCCCAGATAACCCTGTGTCCATGGAAGGCTTCAATGATAGCCCAAAATGCCATCGTTTGAAATTCTTTTTGTGAAAATCTGGGTCTGGTTATAGAACAAATGTCAGTATTTTTCTCTCACTGTTGCTGCCATCCACCCTATTCCCAGTCCTGGGCCCTGAGTGATGTTATTTATCTTCTTGAAAATGTTCTGTTTATTTAAACCAGGGGTCTCCAAACATGGCAACTTTAAGACCTGTGACCGTCAACTCTCAAGAATTCTGGGAGCTGCAGTCCACAGGTCTTAAAATTGCCATGTTTGGAGACCCCTGGTTTAAACCACCTCAAAGCAGAATAGAAAATCGGATTTTAAAACCTTAACATGTAGCCTTGCCACTACCGTACCCTGTTAGATTTATTCATTTACCCTGTTTCCTTTCCATCGCCTGGCCGTTTCAATAATTTATTTAAGAATTTGGTCCTGACCAGCTATGTAGGTTGTCAACTCACAGAACATTACTAACTGGCCTATAAATTGTTTCTCATTCATTGGGTTTTAAATTACTGTATTTTTCAGACTATAAGACGCACTTGACAATAAGACACACCTAAATTTAGAAAAGGAAAACGACAACAAAAAAGTGTTTGGCCTACCTTTTTTCAGCCCTTTTCCAGTCTTTTTGCAGCCCGTTTTCAAGGCTTTTTGCAGCCCGTTTTTGAGGCTTTTTGCGGCCCGTTTTAGAGACTTTTTTGGCCCGTTTTCAAGGCTTTTTGTGGCCATTTTCAAGGCTTTTGTGGGACTGTTTTCAAAGCTTTTTTCAGCCCATTTTCAAGGCTTTTTTCAGCCCATTTTTGGGGCCGTTTTTGAGGCTTTTTCGGCCCATTTTTGAAGCTTTTTTGAGTTTTTTTTTTTCGGCCCGTTTTTTCCCCAAAAAAGGGGCCAAAAAAGCCTCAAAAACAGGCAAAAAAAAAAAAAAAAGCCTAGAAAATGGGCCAAAAAAAGGGCCCGAAAACAGGGCATGCGGAGACCAAAAAATGGTTGGCGGGTGGGCGGGGCTTTGGCAATATTCAGTCTCTAAGATGCACGGACATTTCCGCCCCTTTTTGGGAGACAAAAAAGTGCATCTTATAGTCCGAAATATACAATAATTTGCAAGTGTATCTCCTTGGTCATGCATCACTGTGGCCAACAGTTCTATTTGCTTCTCCCCTCAACGTAGGTGAGATGGTCAACCATGTGGCATTACTTTGCTACACATTCACATTTTTTAAAAAAAACAAAACAAAACAAAAAATCCACAGTCTTTGCAGAACCACTCCGTTGTTTCTCAAGATAAGATCGTAATAACTAAGCCAGAATCCCGGGCAGAAGTTTGAAAGAAACTCCACAAACATGTAGGCACATGACACGTTCTTCAAAACTTCCCAGTCCTTGCAAGATGAACAATCGAAGCCAGATTTGAACCGGTAGTTGTTGGCTTCAAGTCGGGGCTACTCAACCCTTGGATTCCTAAAGGCTACATTGTGAATTCACAACATCCATTCTGAAGCCCTTTCTGGGCGAGAGCTCCCTCGGTCTCCAAGTCTTAGTACAATGAACTATCATTATTGAAGAGTGTGAACGGAGTTGTCAGTTTCTTCTTAATGGCAGAGGTCCCACTTACAGCCGAAGGGAGGCAGAGGGTGCTGGCAGCTTTCTGCCTGTTTTTCGTTCCCCAACTCAGGAAGGATAATTTAGGCGTCACCTTCTTGGTTTTGTCGGTTCTCTCGTCTTCCATAGCCAGACATATAAGGGAGTAAGTTTTCTGCATCCCCGCTGAGTAAGTGGCACATTTGTTATGCTGTAGGGGGAAAGAGGGAAAGAGAAAGACCAGCATTAAAAAAAAGTTGCAGTGAACAACAATCTCATCTTTGCAAAAATAATAGGGTCATATTTTTTTTCAAGAAAAGTCTCTGCAGGTGACTACAAGAATGTTCCCCCCTCCACCCCTTTTTTTTGGGCAAGCAAAAGCTATTTGCTATTTTAAAAAAGCAGTTAAAAGTTGCAAAGGTTTGAAATGCTGAAGGAATAGACGTTTTCTCCCCACCCGTTCCCAGTTTATTTAAATCTTCTTTTTTAAATGGAAACCCACGCTATTAGCATTTAATTATTTGCTATAGCAATTGGAGTAAGGGGATGGGTGGGTTGAGAACTGTAATAAATGCAATGGAGCTCAGCTTGCCTTTCCTTAGGACTGTTGTGACCCAGGCCCACGTAGTTGATATTAAATGCAAAACAGTTCCAAAAAACAAACAGATTTTATTAAAACAGCTGAGAATTAACTCATTCTCAGCGCATTCTAAATGAAATGAAAGCAAAGTCCTCAAAACACCATTCTTCAGTTTATCTCTGACCTTGGGATAATTAGGCAAACTGCCAAAGGCTTTTCTTGGCAACAGTTCAGGAACAGAAGAAATAACTATAGCCAAACAAGAAGCAATTTTCTCAATGGTTGTTTTCCAGCAAAGAGGCCAAGAGCCATTGCTGGTCTTTTAAGCCTTATGGGAGGGGCCAATCATCTCTTGGCCCTACTCCCGACTCGTCCTCTCTGCTTTAGCTGCTCTTGCCTTCTGGCAGCTCTTCTCATATGTGCACTAGGAACAGGCTCCTCCTGTTCCTCTGCCTCTCTACTGTCAGCCTCTGGAGGCTCCGAAGTCCACACATCACTCCCCAATGGCCTTGGCCCCATCTCTGCATCTCATGCAGAGCCCTCATCCGGGCCTTCCCCAGCCTTCAGGACTGGCGCCTGTTCTTCCTCAGCCTCATCGTTCTCAGACTACGCTGCCAGCTCCACAGGCTGCTGGCGGACCTCAACAAGGACGCAGTTCAGTTTTCAAGTTCATTTAATACAAATTTGGAGGCCCAACTCCAAAGAAGCCTAGCTGGCTGATGCTTAAAAAATCCCCAGGAACAATTAAACCATAAAGATGCATCATATGGGTCCAGATTATTGCTTAAACATAACGAATATCTTGCAGCTCTGATGGCCTTGTGGCGAAGACCATCAGCTTTACTTACCAAGGAAGGTGCATATTCTTGACAGCTGATCACTTGGATCTCAATCTTTTGCTCATTCAAATTCTGGAGTTTTTCCAAGACTTCGCTCGTCCCTAACCATTTGCAATCCGTGCCTTCAACAGCAATCACAGTGTCTCCTTCTTTCAAACCTGCCAACTGAACAAAATCATTGGGCATTCCTCAGCATCAGCTACAAAGCCAGGGCAAAATCTGGTAGACTTTCCTTACCAGCTTTAACTGTCAACCATGGAAACCAGATTAAAATAATAAAGGATTTTAAACTACACGCCTATCTCTAATCACATAGGCTCTGTTGATTTCAATGTGGTATTAAGCCCAAGCACTCAACCAAGGATGTGGCAATAAACTCCACTATGCCTTAGTTAATTCTGAACCAACAGGTTCATGATTTCATTAATAAATAATCTTGGTAAGGGGCTTCCTCATTGTGGTCCTAAATTTTCTTCCTTAGATTTGGCTTAGCATCAGGGGTGAAATCCAGCAGGTTCTGACAGGTTCTAGAGAACAGGTAGCGGAAATTTTGAGCAGTTCGGAGAACCGGCAGTGGAAATTTTGAGTAGTTCGGAGAACCGGCAAATACCACCTCTGGCTGGCCCCAGAGTGGGGTGGGAATGGGGATTTTGCAGTATCCTTCCCCTGGAGTGGAGTGGAAATGGCGATTTTGCAGTATCCTTTCCCCAGGGGTGGGGAGGGAATGGGGATTTTGCAGTATCCTTCCCCTGGAGTGGGGAGGGAATGGGGATTTTGCAGTATCTTTCTCCTGGAGTGGGGTGGGAATGGGGATTTTGCAGTATCCTTCCCCTGGAGTGGGGTGGGAATGGGGATTTTGCAGTATCCTTCCCCTGCCAAGCCATGCCCACCAAGCCAAACCATGCCCACAGAACTGGTAGTAAAAAAAGGTAGCATGCTGGTAGTATGCTTAGCATACTAAGCGGACCTAGCCAATTGGGATTCATTTGCTACTCCAAGGTTAAGCAATCTATGGTTTACTGCGATGTATAAACTCAGTCTTGAAGAAGTTAACAGAGGAAGGAGACGGATTACCACTTTCATTGTCGACAAGTAGTACATTAAGATGCAGCCCTAAAAAATATACAATGTTTAAATTGTACCAATCCAAAGTGTCAGGAAGAATCCCAGCTTTCTTTCAGATTGCGGCTTACAATAAACTCTTACTTTTCATTCGGTAACGGCAATATCAGGGAGGACATGTCGAACAGCAAAATAAAAAGCCCGTCAAAGAAAACGGGTTACGTATCTGATGAGATTCCAATGCATTTTTCTTGCGAGATGTGAAGAGAAGTCCTTTGAAATCAACCCTTCGAACAACTCTACAAAGAGGAACCCCCTGGATCTGAAAGGTCCACTTACTGCTGCAGGAGAAGCTGGGTCGATGCAGTCAATCTGTACCGGTGGGCCTCCTTTGAGAGTGAAACCCAACAGGCCATCTTCACAGTAGAAACGGATGAAGCGAGGGGGCGACCATCTCTGCTTGGCTGAAAAGACTGAAGGTGGGCCCTGAGACACGGAGACCAGTAGAATCAAATTAGTCAATCCACATTTTGCAAAATGTTCATGTAGATTAGAGAGCTTCTCTCCCTCCGGGTATTCCCCTAGAACCGTGATGGTGAACCTATGGCACGCGTGCCGCAAGTGGCACATAGAGCCATCTCTCCTGGCACGTGAGCTCTTGCCCACTGCTCTTCTGGGTTCCGGCGTGCCGGCCAGCTGGTCTTCACGCAAACGGGAGCACCGGAAACCGGAAGAGCAATCGCCCGGCGTGGATGCATGCGCCGGGAAGATGATCTTCTGGTCTTTGCACACACATCCATGCCAGAAAACAGAAGATCAACTTCCCAGCACATACATGCGCACGGGACGGCTGCTCTTCCGGTTTCCTGCATGCATGCATGCACGCACTCCCGTTTCAGCACTCGGTGCCGAAAAGGTTCGCCAACACTACCCTAGAATCTTCTATGTTTTCTTCTAGAATTGTCTCTGCAACTGTACAGCAGTTAGTAAGTTACATGTTATTCTTCCTAAGCGCAATCAGGACCCAACATGCATGGTACCTTAATAATGAAAACAGGCCCTAAATATAATGCTCTGGATTATAGTTTGTTCAATAACCCACAACTGAATAACAGAGTAACAGAGCTGGAAGGGTCCTTGGAGGTCTTCCAGTCCAAACCCCTGCTCAAGCAAGAAAACCTATACCCATGGTGGCGAACCTATGGCACACGTGCCAGAGGTGGAGCGCAGAGCCCTCTCTGTGGGCACACAAGCCGTCATCCCAGCTTAGCTCTGTCGCACATGTGCGCTGCCTCCCACCAGCCAGCTGGTCTTTGGGTCTCTGCCGCACATGAAAAAACAGCTGAAAATTTGAGTGCGTCTTATACACCGAATGTAGCCCCGCCCACCCACTGGCCCCCACCCTTTGGCCTCTGCCTCCCAGCAATTTACCTCCTTGCAGCAAGAAGAAACAGCCCATTTCAGCTTCAGCACAGCCTAATTAGCACAAGTTGATTGTCCGTTCCATCGGCCTCCCGACTCTCAGCTGTTTCGGGCTGCAGGGATTGCCCTTGCCTATTGCTGCGAGGGCCTCTGCTGCTTGCTGCAAGGAGGTAAATTGCTGGCAGTAGATTTTTTTTTTCTTGTGCTAATCAAGCTGTGCTGAAAACGAAAATGAAAGTAAAGCAGGCTGTTTGCTGCAAGGAGGCAAAATTGCTGGGAGGCAGAGGCAGATTTCTTTTTCTTGTTTTTCCTCACCAAAAAAGGTAGGTGCGTCTTATAGTCCAGAGCATTTTATACTTTGAAAAATACGGTATATATGTGACTACTTAAACCACCTCTAGCCTTAAATGAAGATAAACCTTAACCTCGTATTCATAAATAGGCCGGAGCAACTGCTAGTTTGCAGGGAGAAGCCCTCCCAAGTGATTGATTTACATTTCAAGAAGCTGGACCTTCTTTTCATAGTTAATCCTGAAGGCATTCAGACATATTAAAGGCAACGTGTCATAGTGACAGGAGAGCAGGTAGCTTCAGACATACCAGCCTTTCGAAGAAGTCTCTGACTTTCACATTAGAGAACAGAGGAGGAATCAGTTCTATTTTGTGATTTGTGTGGGCTGGAATAAAAGCAAAGCAAATATTGATTATTTTTTAACCACTTCAGAGCAACATGTTTCCTTTTCATACCCCTCTCCCGCTTTCATAGCAGCCGTGTGAAGTGGCTTAGCTTGAAGATGACCGCAAAATCTTCAATCTTTGAGGATTTTTTTTTCTTCGTAGCTTTAGAAACACGGTAGATAGATAGATAGATAGATAGATAGATAGATAGATAGATGATAGAGATAGATAGATAGATGATAGATAGATATAGATAGATGAGATAGAATCATAGATGATAGAGATAGATAGAGATAGATAGATGATATAGATAGATATAGATAAGAGATGATAGAGATAGATAGATAGATAGATAGATAGATAGATAGAGTTAGATGATAGACAGATGGATGGACGGACAGACAGACAGACAGACAGTGATAGATGATAGATTTGAATCTATCTATGTGATGGAATGGAATGAGAAGGCAGATTCCCGGGAGGGAGATGCATTCCTGAGGAGTGAAAGGCAACTCAATCCGGATATTACGTGTGAAAGAAGAATGAGGACAGGCCCTCCCAAATAGTTCTCAGAGCACACGGTAGATACAAATAGTAGAGTGCTCCGTCTGGCCAGATTTTGTCTATAGGCGTGAATCACCACATGTCATTCTCTGTTTTGGATCTGACAATCGATCTAAAAACGGATTCACTCTTGGGCCATCCCAGGATGAAAAGGACTTACAAAGGATATTGGGTGCGGGCACCAAACTAAAGTAGTCGTCTTGTTGCTCCTGCTGGGTATATTTGAGAAGCGACCGCTTGTGCGCGACGGATAAAATCTCTTGAAGGATCTCTATATTCCGGAGCTTTGTGCATAAGCTACAAACCCTTAAGGCTTCTTTGTGATAAAAGAGGGCTTTGTGCAAATGAAGTCTTCCTGGAGAAGGAAAAAAAATGAATGAATGAATGACTAAATAAATTAGGATGGATTTCTGCACCATAAAAATCCTGGATTTTTAAGGCTCAACAGCTCTGCCTATCAAGAATCATACAAACCACATTACTTAAGTGTGATTTTTTTTTTTGGAAAAGTTTTTCAGCTTTATTTCTTATGCACATAACATAAAATGTACATTTTCTTATACATAATTAATCCTACATATACTTGTTTTCCTTAAAGCATTAAAATAAGGCATTTTAATTACATTCGGAGTTGCTCTTCTACCCTTTCTTCCCTCATTTAACAACAAGCCTTCTTCTTCTCCTCCTCTTTCCCTTCCTTCCCTCCTCTCCTCTCCTACTTTCTCCTTCCTCCTCTCCTACCTCTTCCTACTTCCCCTTCCTTTCCCCCACTCTTCTTTTCCCCCTTTTCACCTTCTCTCCTACTCCTGTCCCCTACCCTTCCTTCCTCTCCTTTTCCCTGTCTTCCATTCCCCTACTTAAGTGTGATTTGTTGTTCTACAGAACACACCACTTCTAATCAAGTCAAGGCTACCCAAATTAATTATGATTGTCTACTATGGCAGTATAGGGACGCGGTGGCTCAGTGGCTTAGACGCTGAGTTTGTCGATTGAAAGGTCGGCAGTTCAGAGCTTCGAATCCCTAGCGCTGCATTACGGGGTGAGCTCCCGTTACTTGTCCCAGCTTCTGCCAACCTAACAGTTCGAAAGCACATAAAAAAATGCAAGTAGAAAAATAGGGACCATCTTTGGTGGGAAGGTAACAGCATTCCGTGCGCCTTTGACATTGAGTCATGCCGGCCGCATGACCACGGAGACGTCTTTGGACAGCGCTGGCTCTTTGGCTTTGAAACGGAGATGAGCACCGCCCCCTAGAGTCGGGAACGACTAGCATATATGTGCGAGGGGAACCTTTACCTTTACTATGGCGTTGTTGTTTTAACTTCAACAACTTTACGTTGGGTGGACTTCAACTCCCAGAATTGGAACCCATATTCGCTGGGGAATTCTGGGAATTGAAGTCTGTACCACTTCATGAGATTGAGAAACACTCAGTACAGACAAGACTTTCTTCCCAAAAGCATAGATTTCAATAGTTTTGGGAAGATAAAACGACATATCCCGAAGCAAAGAAATACTTGGAGGTTCTAATCCATGATTTTATCAACCGTGGCTACTTGGATGATATACCTTAAAAGAGCTCACCCTTACCTAGCTGTTTACGCTGGCTTCCATCTCTTAAGACAGCTAAGGGTGTCATCCCCTCAGGCATGTGGTCATACAGCTGGCAAAAAGCCTTTTCCTGTTGATCTTCATCATCGGTCTGATGTACTGGGGTTACAAGAACAAAGGAAAGAGAAGATAAACATTGGTTGACTTTCATTTACTGTCCAGGTGAGATGCCTCCAGGCCTGATGAACAAAGAGCAACACTCAAATAGCAACCACCAACTCCAGAACCTGTTTTTCTTCTGGGATTATGGCTTCTCATGTTTCAGTCTGTTCCTAAAGTTGTTTGAACAATCAGTTCCCCAGAAGTGATCTTTCAATCAGCAGGTTAAAAGTCTCTTTTCCAACATTGTTTGGACCAGAATGCCCCAAGAAAAATAGAGCATCAGGGAAGTCGACTTGTGCCTAATTCCAATGTACCGTATTTTTCGGACTATAAAACGCACTTTTTTCCCTCCTAAAAGAGGCTGAAAATTTGGGTGCATCTTATACTCCGAATGCAACCCCACCAACCTGCCGCCCCCCACCCTTCAGCCTCCGCGCGTCCTCTTCCTGGCTGCAGAGATTGCCACCGACAATGGCTTATATTTTTGGGCTCCACGCGTTCTGTTTTCAGCCTCCAAATGCTCCGTTTGAGAGCCCTTCAAGGCTGCAGGGATTGCCAAAGCACCTTGCTGCTGATCGCCACCCGAAAATGCGGGTGTTAGGTGGTTGAAAATGCAATGCGCGGTGCCCAAAATGGCTACCCGGAACAGCTGCTGCCTTCTCTTACCCCTTCCATTGGAGCTCCCTCCGACAATCAGCTGTTCTTTTGAAGCTGTTTTTCAGCCCCAATCAGCCCAACCTCAAAACCAGCAAGGGAACTAATGTGCTGAAGCTGACCAGGCTTAAGGACTAGCCAGATGAATACCTGGTAGGCAGAAATTTTTTCCCTATTTTCCTCCCCAAAAACTAAGGTGCGTCTTATACTCCGAAAAATACAGTATTTTCTATTAAGGGAGGGAACTTGATTGCTTTTTAGCTTTTAACAGTGTGAACTTCAGAGAGAATGGCTCCATGCACAAGAGTTGTGGGGCCTGTTTATTTATTTATTATTTATTTATTTATTATTCATATTTCTATGCCGCCCACTCTCCGAGGACTCTGGGCGGCTTACACCAAAGACAGTATACTAAATAGCATATTGCCCCCAACAATCTGGGTCCTCATTTTACCCACCTCGGAAGGATGGAAGGCTGAGTCAACCTTGAGCCTGGTGAGATTTGATCTGCTGAACTAGCAGTCAGCTGAAGTAGCTGCAGTACTGCACCCTAACCACTGCGCCACTTCGGCTCTCTGTTTGTGCAGTGGGATCTAAAAAGTCAAAATTGTAGCCTCAATCCCATAATCAAAGCTGCCAGATTAAAAAAAAAAAAAAGTAGGATCTCTTCCCCTTGTGGACTCCCCAAATAGAGATGAATATGGTATATTTTCAGAATGGTTCCATTTCTCCAATAGAGGAGAAGATTTGTAGCTCAGGGTTGAAATGACGAGTCCGTGGTGCTCTCTGAGCTTGGCTGTTTTCTTGCCGACGTTTCACTACCCATGCACTGATGATGTTACCTAGTTTGGGTAACGAAAGGTCGGCAAGAAAACAACCATTCTCAGAGAGAACCAAGGACTCCTCATTTCTCGGTCCGCTGACAGGTAGGCCAATGAATGTACAAATCTGAGAATCTTCTTACAGTGGTGGTCGCTCAGCATAGTGGCAACAAAATAATGCGCCAAAGCTCTGAAATGATCCGATTTGACTTGGGCCAGTTTTGACCAAGAGTAAGGGATATTCTCCTTGACTGGTGCTTGACTCATCGCGGTGTCCAGGAGCATGTACATCTCTCCAACCTTAAAAACAAAGCACAAGACCCACGTATGAGCTACTGACTCTTTATATATTAAAAACTCACTCAAGGCACTCGGTATTGGCGCTGATCAACAGTTAAAAAAGTCAAGGTTCCCCTCGCACGTATGTGCTAGTCGTTCCCGACTCTAGGGGGCGGTGCTCATCTCCGTTTCAAAGCTGAAGAGCCAGCGCTGTCCGAAGACATCTCCGTGGTCATGTGGCCGGCATGACTAAACACCAAAGGCGCACGGAACGCTGTTACCTTCCCACCAAAGGTGGTCCCTATTTTTCTACTTGCGTTTTTTACCTGCTTTCGAACTGCTAGGTTGGCAGAAGCTGGGACAAGTAACAGGAGCTCACCCCGTTACGCGGCACTGGGGATTCGAACCGCTGAACTGCCGACCTTTCGATCGACATTAGCCATTGAGCCACCATGTCCCCATAGATCAACAGTTATTGGAGTCTATACTTAAAGATGCATATTGTTCTCACAAAGGAATAATTAAAAAAAAGGGAACAAACTTTAGCTAATGACAGAAGCTCTTGTTTTTCTCACAGACGATTGTCATTGAATCTAAAAGGCCGAGAATAATTTCCGGAAAGAAAAGTGGTTTTCTAGTCTTCAGTGTTGAAATGAGCTTTTGTCTTTTGATCGCTCATGGAGGTGAAGTTCACTAGACTAGGACATTACAAAACCCTCTTCTGCCTCCCTAGCATCCCATAATAGGAAAAGCACCACCTCTTTTGATTCTTGGAGGGCTATTTCACAGGGAATCATCGTATTGTCCCAATGTCAGCCAACGATAAAGGTTATGTGTACCACTCTGCTCTCACGCGGCTTACCTTCGCAACTTCCTGGGCTATTTTTATCAGCGTGAAAAATTCATTCCGTATCCCAGGAAGGCAGATCTGTTCAAAGATGCACTCCTGAGCTTGAGCGAGCATCATCTTGACCAGCACGCTCAACATGGCAGGGCTCATGTCGTAACTTGGAGTGTGAGTAAACGTTTCTTTTAGATAGTTTAGAACTCCTGGAATTGGGGAAGAAGCAGAAACGAGGATTCATAGAGCATCAGTTCCACAATTCTCACGGAAACACAAGGGTAGTTGCATTTAGCCATTCATTTCTCATTTCAGATTAGATTTACATGTTTGGGTCACCCAAACGTTATTGAGGCAGTCAAGTTTGTCTTCAGTACCATTACTTTTAAGTATAAAGATTGTTTGGGGGAATTCTAGAAGAGCGTTTCCCAAACTTGGCAACTTTTAAGATGTGTGGACTTCAACTCCCAGGATTCTCCAGTCGCCATGCTGGCTGTGGAATTCAGGGAGTTGAAGTCCACCCATTTTAGAGTTGTCACATTTGAAAAACACTGCTCTGGAAGATACCATAAGATGTCCAGTTCTCTATCCTACTCTCAAACAACACACAAACATGGGAACAAGAATCACCTATCGTGTTTCCCCGAAAATAAGACATGTCCAGATAATAAACCCAATTGGGCTTATTTTCTTTGTCAACTGTTCCAACTAATAGGCTTCAACATTTTTATAAGGATCAAAGGCTCTTAATGACAGGTTGAAGAAGGTAAACATTTTTTTTTTTGGGATGTAGCCAAGTTGAACATGTGCAAAAAGAATAAGGTGCACATAACTATATAATTCAGTTGACATACGCTCTCGGTTTCCAATGAGGAACACCTTACTCTGAGCAAGAATAAAAGGAACAAAAAAAAAAAGGCAAATAATGTTGGTAGATAAGTTCTAAGATATTTTCTTTCTTATCTCACTAGCATGCCATGTTTATTATTCATGTTATACGATCCAATGCATTTTTAATAAGAGGAAGTTTAGAGCCCAAACAGGGCTGATAATGTGTGTGACGATCTCAGTTATTTTCAATTTTTTTGAAAGCAATTGCCGAGGTTTCAGTTCCGATTATGAAAGATGGAGACCGCATCTCTTATTTTTTAAACTGTAACTAGTTGGATACCCGTGCTTCGCTACGAAACTATGTGATGGGGCTTGATAAATTGACACTTACAGCTTGAAACTTAATGAATAGTTATGATCGGCCACTCCTATCCCCTTCTCTCCCTCAGCTTGCCCCACAGAAGCTTCCCCTATCCTATCCTTTCTCTCCCTCAGCCTTGCCCCACAGAAGCCTCCCCTATCCTATCCCCTCTCCCTCAGCCTTGCTCCACAGAAGCCTCTCCTATCTCTTTTCTCCCTCAGGCTTGCCCCACAGAAGCCTCCCCTATCCTATCCGCTGCTTGCTGTTGTGAAAGTAAAACTGAAACTCCTCTCCTCTGCTTGTGTTTTGCATTTGGAACAGATTTCTTTTCAGGTGGGGAGGGGGAGTAGAACTTCTTAGCATCAGAGCGTGTTAATAATAATATAGGAAATATTGGTCATTTTGAAAGAGCCTTTCTTAGTGAGCACCTAGAAGCCAAGAGGAACATACGTGGCAAACTTCAAGTTTGTAGGCTTTATGGTGCTGGAGATTTCGTGATTACGGCGTGAGGGTTTTTCGCTTTTAGATAGATAGATAGATAGATAGATAGATAGATAGATAGATAGATAGATAGATAGATAGATTTCTATTACGAAGCTGGCAGAATGACTTCCTCCTGATCCTTTCACTCCACCTAGTTTCACTTCCAAGATTGGGTAGCATGAAATATATATATATATATATATATATATATATATATATATATATATATGTATGTATGTATGTATGTATGTATGTATGTATGTATATGTATATGTATATGTATATGTATATGTATATGTATATGTATATGTATGTGTGTGTGTGTGTGTGTGTGTGTGTGTGTGTGTGTATGTTTAATCCTATCAATTCCATCATCAGGACAATTGAGGGTAGGGGAGAAACAAAACAAAGGGGCATTTGGGAACTTGAGAAATCTCTGAGCAATTCTGTCAACCTACACTCAACTTTCCCTACGGGGGAACTAAAAACTCATTCAGGGCTGTGACAATATGACAAATCTGTCAGCAGGCAAACTTTGCCAGACCGAACCAAGTTGGACCTAGTTCAAATAAATTCCACACAAAACCAATTCTTTGGAAACCTGAAAAACAAACATTTGCTGAGGCTTCAGATCCTTAGTAGCATTCAGCAGAGATCTGATAATAATAATAATAAAAAATGCATTGTTCCCAACTGGTTTGTCAAGTTTTATCAGCAAGTTTTAATTGCACAAAAAATGGACGGTTGCTCTAAATCCTGCTGCAAACTCTCTCTCTCTCTCTCTCTCACACACACACACACACATACCGCACTCCACATTCGTCTACCACTTTGAAATGACTGTGAAATGCAAACTCAAGGCAATGTCAAATCTTTAAGGAAACCCATCGTGCCACACTCCAGCCCATTCGGTCAAATACTCATGCATTGCAAACAAACAGTAGATTGTTGGAGAAAAGGGAGCGGTGAAAACCTTAGCGAGACTGCATTGTTTCCACTCCTATTCCAGACAAAATGGAGCCTTGTTTGATGTGAATGAATTTCTGTTGGGGATCTTGAAGAGGAGGTAGTTGGGTTGACCTACCACCATTATAAGCTATGAATGGAATAACAGAGCTGGATGGGCCTTTGCAGGTCTTCTAGTCCAACTCCCTGCTCAGGAAGAAGACTCTATACCAGGGGTCCTCAAACTTTTTAAACAGGGGGCCAATTCATGGTCCCGCAGTCTGTTTGGGGGGGGGTGGACCAGCTGGATGGGCATGGCTAGGTGGTCATGTGACTGGGTGGGCATGTCCAATTTAGCAGTCCATTAAACAATACCCACAAATTGTTATGCTCCTGGGGGTGGGAAGCAGATTAGTGAAGGGATGTGGCTGTATTCTCTCTCTCTCTCCCTCCCTCCCTCCTTCCTGCTCACTCCCTCCCTCTCTCTCTCTTTTGGCCTCCTGAGGCTTCTGCGTGTCCCATTTTTGGCCTCCTCAGCCTCCAGAAGGTGGGTGGGGGCCAGCGGGTAGGTTGGGTGATGTGGGCGGGGTAGCCTTGTGGTCCTGCACGGGCTGGATTTATGGCTTTGGCGGGTCGTATGTGGCCCGCGGGCCGTAGTTTGAGGACCCCAGCTCTATACCATTCCATACAAATGGCTGTCCAGACTCTCCTTATAAACCTCCAGTGAAGGAGCACCCATAACGTCAGAAAGGAAGCCATTCTGCTGGTTAATTGTTCTCATTGTTAGGAAATTTCTCCTTAAGTTCTTTGTTGGATCTCTCCTTAATTAGTTTCGATCCATCGCTTCTTGTCTTGCCTTCTGGTACTTTGGAAAATAGCTTGACCCCCCTACTCTTCCTTGTGGCAGCCCCTCAAATATTGGAACACTGCTATCGTGTCACCTCCTAGCAGTGGTGGGTTCCTCCCTGTTCAGCCTGGTTCGGCCAAGCCGGTAGCGGTGACGATATGACGTCACCAAACCGGTTCTCCCCCCCCCGCCCTCCCACCCCCCTACCCACCCACGTTATTCTTACCTTTTATTTGGTCCCACCCCCAATCTATTGCTGCCTCCTGAGTCCCAGCTGATGACTAGAGGGAAAAAAAACTGTTTAAACTCTTGCCGCGGGGCTTCAAAGGGCCATCCTACAGCTGATCAGTGTTAAAAGCAAACGAATGAGTCGGGTGGTAAGTGCGAGGACTGGTCGTAAGTGTGAGGGCCTTCCAGAAATGACTCTGACCAGCTAGCCACGCCCACCTAGTCACATGGCCTCCAAGCCACATCCACCAAATAAGCCACGCCCACAGAACCGGTAGTAAAAAAATTTAGAACCCACCCTTGCCTCCTAGTCCTTCTTTTCACTAGACTAGACATACCCAATTCCTGCAACCGTTCTTTATATGTTTTAGCCTCCAGACTCTAATCTGATTTGTTACTCTTTTCTTCACTCTTTCCAGAATCTCCGGTCACCATTGTAATTTGCAAACCATGGTCCGACATGCTAAGACAGTGATGGTTAACCTTTTCGGCACCCAGTGCCGAAACTGGAGTATGTGCGCATGGCATGTACATGCGCTGCAGCACCAGAACCCGGAAGAGAGCAGCTGACCGGTGCCCATGCGCGTGGCGGCCAACTGCTCTTTCAGGTTCTGTCGGGTGTGTGCGCACCGGTCAGCTGTTCTCTTCTGGGTTCCAGCACTCGTATGTGTGCCGGCCAGTTGGTCTTCACACAAAGACCAGCATGTGCACGACGGAACCTGGAAGAGGAGCTGGCGATGGCGCGTGTGCCCACAGAGAGGGCGCTCTGCATGCCATCACGCGGTGCTAAGATAAACTTGGACAAATCAAAATAGGAGTAAAACAATTTGAATCCAATCAGTGATTGGGGATGCTTGCAAACATGGGTAGCCTTATTAGAAAGATCACTAGATGTCATGGGCTGTTTTATACCACAACTCTCGACAAAATGTTTTTAAAAATCCCAGAGGAAAGAAGTCAGACAACATTTAACCAGTTCTGCCATTTCTTAAGGATTTGAGAAATGTTTGTTTTATTACTCAGAGTCTATTAAAGAACATTTGTTCTTTCACCATCTGCTCTTTGGCAATGCCTTCCTGTATGTTTGTATGCTCAGGGTGTTGTGTTTATAGGTGAAAATCTTAGCAACAATCTTTCATTCTGTCCACAAAGGTCTCATGGGCAGGGTTTGAATGATATTGCATTACCTTTATGATAACTGAATTCTCAACCGTCTCCCTTCTTTCCACCCCCACCCCCCAAAAACTGCCAAAATGTTTTCTCCAAACTTTTTTTTCCTTCAAAAAATTAGTAATGGTTTTCATTAAAGAGTTGTTGCTTTTCTCTGTTTGCTGCTGGTGACGTATGCTAGTTAGCCTGCAACTCTGTGTCCTGATTGGAGGGCAGCAGTTTTTTCTCCTGCTTCATTATCCTAGCTGCAGCCTGACTGCGTGTTAAAGGCCCAGCTTTCTCTGGTTCCCTATTACTAACTGTCAACTGCAAAGAAGGAAGGATTCTGGTAGGCATCGCAACACCGCTGATTGCCTGTTGAGATCTCAGCCTATCTTTTAGCTCGGTTCTTTCTCTCTCTCCTTATTCTAGCTCTCATTTGCAAAGAGGGAAGGACTCTGGCAGGCATTACAACACTACTGGTTGCCTGTTGGGATCTCTGCCTATCCTCTGATGTTAAAACTCGATGTTAAAACTGATGTTAAAACTAGATGGCCGTATAATTTCAGCAAACACATGAATATTGCTAAAAATCCAGAAAAGGCATCGAGGCCACTGTGTAAAAATACACAACGGTGTGTTCCAGACCAGAAAAGATTTGCAGGTGGCCTGCCAATAGCAGAGGATGGGTTGGGGGGATGGGGGAGGATGGATTGCAAAGAATGGAAAGCAGTTAATGACGGACGAAAAATTATCCAGGATTTCGAACTAATTTAAGTCATTCATTCCCAACAGCAACATTTACTCTGGCTAAACAGCCTACTTAAGTGCCTTCCGTAAATCTGACCAGGAGGAGGCAGAAGGAGTTAATAATAAGTTTTGAAAAAGAATGTTTTCACTAAAAAAAAAAAAAACACACACACACACATTCCTTGCTATTCTTGCTTACAGTTCTTTGGGTGTTAATTCTGCCTCCCTTGGATGTCCAAAGAGTGTGAAATTAAGCGCAGATAGTCATGTGACCCGGGAACAGAGACAAACCAGAGGAAATCACAATTGCAAACAAGAGGATTAAAGCTATTCAATCTCCAGGCATCTCTTTAGGGGAGGGGCTGTGTGTGTGGGGGGGGAGCCCTACCCCACCCTTCTCGCTCCTACCTGCTGCCTTCTGAAAAGCACTGATGGCCATTCGAAGCCCGGCTCCTGTTTGCCGATTGCATTTTGTACCGATCTGTGTGTAGAGGGCTCCGATGTTAAATAAAATGCTGGCTTTTTCCAGCAACACATTCTTCTGGCAAACGGGGACGCCCGTGAACGAGTCATACCTTCAAGAAAAACCGGAGAGAGCATAAATGTTAGCGACCCATTTGAAGAAAAAAAAAGAAAAGATTTGCTTACCAAATGTTTTTAAGATGTCAAAAAAAAAAATGAACAAACATTCTTTTCTTATTAATCCCAATTTAGATCCAAACGTACCAAATTTTTCGGAGTATAAGACGCATCTTTTTCTCCCCTAAAAGGGGGTGAAAATTTAGGTGCGTCTTATACCCCAAATGTAGCCCCGCCCACCCACTGGCCCCCACCCTTTGGCCTCTGCCTCCCAGCAGTTACTTCCTTGCAGCAAACAGCAAGAAGAAACAGCTCCTTTCAGCTTCAGCACAGCCTAATTAGCACAAGTTGATTGGATCGGCCTCCCGACTCTCAGCTGATTTGCTCTTAGCTGTTTTGCGCAGGCCTCTGCTGCTTGCTGCAAGGAGGTAAATTGCTGGGAGCGGATTTTTTTTTTTCTTGTGCTAATCAAGCTATGCTGAAAACTAAACTGAAAGTAAAGCAGGCTGTTTGCTGTTTGCTGCAAGGAGGCAAAATTGCTGGGAGGCAGAGGCAGACTTCTTTTTCTTGTTTTCCTCACCAAAAAAGGTAGGTGCATCTTATACTCCGAAAAATACGGTATATATTAGACATTTTAGATTTCACTTGCTCATTTCTCAAAGCCTAGTCCAAAATTTTATACGGTAGTTTGTGTGCCAGTTGGTTCAGAAGCAGGGGAGGTATTCACTTACCTTCCCTACCAATTCGGTGGAGCATGTGCATGTGCCACCACTGTGCATGCGCAGGGCCTTCCACGCATGTGCAGAGCATCAAAAATGTGAATTCTTTTCATTAAACTAGACAATGTTCAATTTCAAGAAAGCTCTTACCAAGTATATAAAATGCCCAGATTTCTACTGGGTGAGAAGAACCGATTCTCTACAAAGCCAAGCTGTACGTAATAGCTCATCAGCATCTCAACTCCAGATTCATCTCTGCTGGGTGTCCGGCAGGCCTTTGAATATATAGGACAGGTATTAGCTATAAAGTTGATGTGGGGCCCATATGAATGCTCTTAATTGATTGGAAAATCAGAAAATAAAAACAGGGCTATTTAAGGGGGCTTTTTGGGTAGTAATAGCACTTAGACGCCGCTTCACAGTGCTTTACAGCCCTCTCTAAACAATTTAAGGTAAAGGTAAAGGTTCCCTTCGCACATACGTGCCAGTCGTTCCCGACTCTAGGGGGCGGTGCTCATCTCCGTTTCAAAGCCGAAGAGCCAGCGCTATCCAAAGACATCTCCGTGGTCATATGGCCGGCATAAGTAAACGCCAAAGGGCGCACGGAACACTGTTACCTTCCCACCAAAGGTGGTCCCTATTTTTCTACTTGCATTTATTTTTTACCTGCTTTCAAACTGCTAGGTTGACAGAAGCTGTAAGTAACGGGAGCTCACCCCGTTACGCGGCACTAGGGATTTGAACCGCTGAACTGCCAACCTTTCGATCGACAAGCTCAGCGTCTTAGCCGCTGAGCCACTGCATCCCCTATCTAAGCAATTTAGAGTCAGCCTATTGCCCCCAACAATTTGGGTCCTCATTTTACTAGCCTCAGAAGGATGGAAGGCTGAATCAACCTTGAGCCAGTCAGGATTGAACTGCTGGTAGTGGGCAAAGTTAGCCTGCAATACTGCATTCTAATCACTGCTCCGCCATGGCTCAGTGTGGGTATCAGTATCTATTTGATGGTCTTCTAAGGCTATCTGTGGCTTAATTATAGTATATTTATTATATGAATTATATAAAAGTATTTGTATTTGTGTGTGTATATATAGAATAGTCATTAAACAAACTGTTGTAAGTGTGGTCTACCTGTATATATATCAGGGGTGAAATTCAGCAGGTTCTGACAGGTTCTGGAGAACCGGTAGCGGAAATTTTGAGCAGTTCGGAGAACCAGCAAATACCACTTCTGGCTGGCCCCAGAGTGGGATGGGAATGGGGATTTTGCAGTATCCTTCCCCTGGAGTGGGGTGGGAATGGAGATTTTGTAGTATCCTTCTTCTGCCACGCCCACCATGCCCACCAAGCCACGCCCACAGAACCAGTAGTAAAAAAATTTGGATTTCACCACTTATATATATGTACTGTATATTCAAGTAACATCTCTATAAAAATATTTATACAATCCTAGATGTTTTTTTCTTGCTCAAATTATGATCTGAACTTTTGGCAAATTATGATCTGAACTTTTGAGTACGACACTGCTGTTTCCCGTTCAAAACAGATTTTTGGATGCTGAAAAATTTGTTTTCAGCTATCGAGGTCAAAAGAGCCTCAAAGGGGAAAAAGGGAGGAGAAGTAATAATCATTTATTTGTGTATTAAATTTGCATGCCACCTGGCTCCCAATGACTGATGGTGGTTCACAACAAATAAAAATCATTATAACAAAATTAATTAAAGATAAAGGAAGGGGAGGAGGAGTGGTGGCCTGAAAAGTAAACTAAATGCACTAGAGATCGGTACTGTATTCCCCTTTTATTATGTTTAATTAAAATGAGAATAAAATAGGGACAGGCTCTCCCCACCCTCAAGATTGCAAATCAAAGAGAACCTTCTTAAAACAGAGCCAGCTTACTTGTCTTAAATCCATAAGATCTGCAATTTCATTTTCATATTCTGCACCATCTTCACTGTAATGTTCCAGAATAAAGTCCTGAAAATAATTAAAATAATCCATTAAAATGTTTTTTTAAAAAAAGCCTCCAAATTATGTGTTTGGCACAGACATAAATTAAAATATCCAACACAAGAGGAACCGAAGAAATCTACCTAAAAGATTCATCCAGAATGATACCTGGAGTTTGAGAAGACGGACTTAAATATAAACTGTGTTTCTTTGAAAGATTCTATTCCATTAAAGTTCACAGCAGCGTATACCCTCAAACTTGGTTTAAACATCTGGACAACCACTGCTGCTTTTTTTGGTGACAATTATGTCAGAGAATAAACCTGTTTCTGAATGTAACAGAGAAGACAGAAAAATGAAGAGCTTAGATTGGAAAAAATATATCTATAACCTGATATTGAGAAAGTTTCCACATCCAATGGCATCAAAGTGATTTGTTTTAAAAGTCTCATGCTGAATGTCATCAAAAGTTTTCCGGGGAATTTACATGACAAGGTTTACGGAAAGCTAGATTCCTAAACTCTACAATGAAAGCTGTGAATGAAATATGTATTTTCATCCACCCCACTTAGCTTAAAAATATATTTTAAAAACCAAGATGAGATAGAACACGATCTCATCAATAGAGAGAGTAAACGACCCTGTTTACACTGATCTCCTCATGTGACTAGATGCTCTTTTGATCTGATTAACGAAGCTATTGCTTAAGTTCTTATAGATATTCTTGATTTGTAGCCTATATTGCAGGCAAACTCTGCCCGCAGTCTGCAGTTCAATCCTGACGGGGCTCAAGGCTGACTCAGCCTTCCATGTTTCCAGAGATCGGTAAAAGGAGGACCCAGATGATCGGGGACAAAATGAAATAATGCTTACGTTGTAAACCACCCAGAGAGTGCTGTAAATCACTAACGGACAACATATAAGTCTAAATCAGGGGTGTCAAACTTGATTTCATTGAGGGCCGCATCAGGGTTGTGTTTTACCTCAGGTGGCCCAGGGTGGGTGTGGTCGGGTTGGGCATGACCAGCTCGACGTCACTTGTGTCGGGGGCGCCTGTGGTGGCCCAAGTGCTCTGCCAGCAAAAACGGGTTCCCGAGCTCCGGTTTTGGTTGTCACGGCAACCAATCGTTTTTGCTGGCAGAGGGTTGCAGGAGGCCGTGAGCAACCGCAGGCCGGTCCTTTGCTGTTTCCAGGGTGGTCCGACGGGCCAGATCGAAGTACCCCGCAGGCTGAATCTGGCCTCCGGGCCTTGAGTTTGACACACCTGGTCTGCTATTATACTGAAGTTCCTTGGCCTGAGTGTTTCTTAAGCTTGACAACACCTTCCAGATGTTGTGAACGTCAACTCTCGGAATATCCCAACCAAGATGGTCATCGATGAAAATTCTAGAGTTGCCAAATGTTGTTTACCTCCACGATTGGCCAGGGAAAAGGGGGTCATCTCAAATTCCAAAGTCTGCTGGACTTGTTTGCTGCTAGGACAGATGACTAGCAGGCCTAATGTCCTATCATTAGGAGAATGACGCTCAAAAGGCTTGATCCTACCCTTCAGCAATCTAGCTTCCACAGCTAATTTTTTTTTTTTTTAAATTTGATTTATATGCCACCCTTCTCCGGAGACTCAGGGCGGCTTACAATGCGTTAAGCAATAGCCTTCATACTTTTGTATATTTTATACAAAGTCAGCTTATTGCCCCCACAAACTGGGTCCTCATTTCACCTACCTTAGAAAGGATGGAAGGCTGAGTCAACCTTGAGCCTTGGAGAGATTCGAACCAGCAGAAATTGCAGGCAGCTGTGTTAATAACAGGGTGCGTAGACCACTGTACTATCAAGGCTTTATAATTTTAACACTTCCTGGCCCTTCTCAAAAAAAAAAAAAAAAAGGCTGCTGGACTTTAGATCTCTTTCATCATCTAGCACAAAGCACAACGTTTTGGTGTGATCTCCGATTTTTAAAAGCAGAAGAGAGGCTTGGGGGTAGAATCCAAAGAATAAAGTCCATAAGTCAGACGTATCCAGCAGTTAGGGGAGAGGGAACCAAAGATAAAGGCATTGAGAAAGAACTAATTTAATGCGCAGTATATAAATATTTGCCTAGCTACCGGTCAGCAGCTTCTGGATAAATCTAACAACAACAATAACAAGAGTTTTGAAATACAAAGAAGGAATTCCTACGAAGCTCTACCGCTCTGTCCAAATTAAATCTGATCTGGTTTCTATTTGTAACTTGTTCATTATTTTATTCCTAGGAGAAAGCTTAAGGGGAAGAGCTATTTTCAGCAGAATATTGGCAATTTACTTTTTTTTTTATAGCAATTATTTCCTTTCCTTTGCTTTTTATTGTTATTTATGAGCAAAAAGCCTTAATTCATTTAGCGCTGCTCAGGGGTGAAATTCAGGTTCTGGAGAACCGGTAGCGGAAATTTTGAGTACTTCGGAGAACCGGCAAATACCACCTCTGGCTGGCCCCACCCTCATCTATTCTCTGCCTCCCAAGTCCCAGCTGATTGAGTCCCAGCTGATTGAGAGGAAATGGGGACTTTGTAGTAACCTTCCCCTGGAGTGGGGAGGGAATAGAGATTTTGCAATATCCTTCCCCTGCCACGCCCACCAAGCCACACCACACCCACTAAGCCACGCCCACAGAACCGGTAGTAAAAAGATTTGAATTCCACCCCTGGCGCTGGTGCTTGAAAAAACAGTACCTTGAGGGGTCCTGCGAAGTCCACGTCTTTAGTCTCTTTCAGGCCAAGCGGTATCAGAGGGATGCTAAAAGTTTCCCTGCGTTAAAAGAAGAAATCCACATTCATATCTTTGATTTATACACAAATGGGGTGGAGAGTTGGTGGCTGAGAAATTGCTATATATAAATGTCTTCATTTGGACTTCCTCATCCGACTCAGCACACGGAACGGGACACACCCGTTCCCTGTGGCTTAAAGAGCAAAACTTTTCCAGGCTAAAGGCCACGCTTGACCTTTGACTGGCATATCGTGAAGACCATAGTCCTAAAAATATATATGAGCTCCCGATGCAGAATAAAGTAAAAGCAGGCTTAAAACTCAGTTTACTTTAATTAGCTCATATTCAGTTTTAATGAAAAATAAATTCCAATAATAACATTCACTTCGTGCTATCCTTATGATTTAGTCACGTGTTGCTGTTGTCACTAATATCCCACAAGTCCTGAAGGCAACTTTTGCAGACGTTCTTGAAGCCATAGCAAGAATTTGGGGTCTAGGTGTACCCTGGGGCCACTTCCCACTGCCCCACGTTTAAAAAGCTGGAGTTAATTAAACTATAACCTGGAGCCAGCATATCTAAGATAAAAGGATTCCCATATATCCTCCCGGAGTTTATAGTTTTGTTTACCTGCCTACCCATCTTCTAACGTCCTGCTCCTTGCATCCTGCAATCTAGTTATTTAGTTTACAGATATAATCTTCTCCAACTCCCCAGAAAAATCACTGGAGTGTAGGCACTTAAGTCAGAAGCCTTAAATTTGCCAGTGGAAATACTCACAAGAAAGGGAAATGACCAATCACAGTGAGATGGATTTAGGAAGATGGCCAATCACAACAAAGATGAGGAGCATCATGATCAATTAGCATGAACAGCAGGAGGAACTGAGCCCTGGAGACTTCTGGTTCTCCAAAGACATGGACTAGCCTCAAAACAGCAAACAGTAGTCACGCTACTAGAAGGAGTATTCCTGGAATCTATTCAAAGTCCACCATCCTTAACTCTTCTTTTGTAAGAAATAAGCACAGATCACTTATCTTGCCTCTTCGGAAAGCGTTCCACATACAAGGGTTGTCCAATCTGGGCAACTTGAGGACTGGTGGACTTCAACTTCCAGAATTCCCTGGCCAACATAGGAAATTGTGGGAGTTGAAGTCCAGAGGTTTTAAATCAGGGGTGGGCTTCAAAAATTTTAGCAAGGGGTTCTCTGCCCGGTTGCTGGGTGGGTGTGGCCATGGTAGGCGTGGCCTAGTCAGCCTCCTGCACCATGCCAGGGGGGGCTTTTTGCCCTCCCCAGGCTCCAGAGGCTTTCCTCAAGCCTCCGGGATGGCGACAACAGCCTCCCCAGGCTCCGGAGGCCCTCTGGAGGCTGGAAATGGGCCCCTTTCCGGTGTTCCTGAACTTCCAGTAGGTCCGTTTTTCTCCCTCCCCGAGCCTACACACGTGCCGTGCACTTACCTGCATCCAAAACGGGCCGCGTGGGGACTTCTGGGAGAGGGGGGCAGGGTGGGCGGGGCCAGCCAGGAGTGGGATTTGGGGGTTCACCGAACTGCACAGAATCTTAGCTTGAGGTTCTCCCGAACCCCTAAGAACCCCCAGCAACCCACCCGTTTTAAATGTTGCTAAAGTTGGACACCCCTGCCACATACTAATAGATCCAACTGTTCTAGCAAAAATAAGCAGAGAGTCTAGGCATAAAACCATCACCATCTCTTGCACAGGAATATCTATACATTCCAACATAACGTTGCCTTTCCACTATTTTCTCCTGCTCCTTCTTCGCCATTGGCAGGAACAAACCTAAAAGCCATCCCAACAGGAGAAATCTACTGCTAGAGTATTATTTCGAGGCAGCCTGGATTTGGAGGGAACTGAGAAACAGAAACAAAGCTTTCCTTCGGATTTTCAGTGTCCTTCTCATGATCATTTTTATAAAGCTGCCAAGGCTTGTACATAGCTTTCTAAGGCCACCAGTGCTCTTGCCAACACTCGAGATGAATGTAGAGGGGCATTCAGTTCTCCTCCTGGTTCTCTGAAATGCCAAACTCACGGGGAGAAGAATAGAATAACAGAGTTGGAAGGGACCTTGGAGGTCTTCTAGTCCAACCCCTGCCTAGGCAGTAAACCCTACACCACTTCAGACAAATGGTTGTCCAACATCTTCTTAAAAACTTCCAGTGTTGGAGCATTCACAACTTCTGGTGGCAAGTTCTTCCACTGATGAATTGTACTAACTGTCAGGAAATTTCTCCTTAGTTCTAAGTTGCTTCTCTCCTTGATTAGTTTCCATCCATTGCTTCTTGTCCTGCCCTCAGGACAAGAATAGCTGGACTCCCTCTTCTTTGTAGCAGCCCCTGAGATATTGGAACATTGCTATCATGTCTCCCCTAGTAGACCTGTAGACGCCCCTCTTCTAAATATTCAACCAAGCTCACAACCAAACTCAGAGAGCACCAAGGATCCCTCATTTCAACTCTGAGGTACAAATATTCTCCTCTATCGGTGAATATTGGCAAAATATTGAAAACTTAATGGATTAATGCACCAATTGTGATCAATAGATGGGTTTAAATCCCAGTGACAGCAAGACCCAAACATATATGTAATACCGTGATCAGGATTTTTTTTTTTCTTTAATAAAGCCAGGCTTGTATGCATTTGTTCAAAGTAGCATTGTCTAAGCGTATTCTACTCTAGCATTTGCTTCATGGCTGAGCAATCTTCTTACCCATAAAAACTTCCTGTGAGGTCGGTTGGGCAGATTGACTGGCTCCAGGTCACCCACGAAGCTTCCTTAGCTGAGGTTCAACCTGGGTCTCCCCAGGACTAGTTAAACACCTTCACCAATTAAATCAAACTAGTACCTTGATTCACATCTGCCTTTATTAACTTTAAACCTGGGCATCTACTGCGACATGGTAGAATAAAGGCATGAAGGCAGAGGAAAGTTATCTGCCATTGTGGGTGTGTTAAAATGTAAGTTCCATGTGTTGATATTGCTTACATAAGGATATACCTCTTCAATTTGGTCTCTCGCCCACCTTTTACATTGTTCTTACGGCTTCCTTTTACAGTGGAACTGTTGACATGATGATGGATGGCGGTGCGGGCCTCTCAATCCAGTAAAAAAAATGTCCAACACTATTAATAATCCTGGTTTGCAAACTCTAGTGTCTCTCTTCACACAACCCTTGCCCTGGGATGGCCTTCAAAAAATTTACCAAGGGGTTCTCTGCCCGGTTGCTGGGTGGGCATGGCCATGGTGGGTGTGATCTAGTCAGCCTCCTGCACCACGGTGGAGGGGATGTTTTTGCCCTCCCCGGGCTCCGGAGGCTTTCCTTGAGCCTCTGGGAGGGCAAAAACGGCCTCCTGGACTCCGGAGGCCCTCTGGAGGCCCATTTCCAGCCTTTCTGAACTTCCGGTAGGCCCGTTTTCACTCTCCCCGAGCCTCCGCGCGTGCCCTGCACATACCTGCACCCAAAATGGGCCGCGTGGGGACTCCTGGGAGGGGTGGGGTGGGCGGGGCCAGCCAGGAGTGGGATTTGGGGGTTCTCTGAACTGCACAGAATCTTAGCTAGAGGTTCTCCCGAACCCCTGCGAACCCTCAGCAGCCCACCCCTGCCCTTGCCCAAACGCCATCTTAATTGTCTTAAAGCAGTCTAAGAATCTAAGCCCGCATCAGCTTGCCTATGTATTTGGGATGGAAGAATTATTTCCTCAGACTGCTCCTGTGAACCTGTCGAAAAGTCCTTTGACTTATTCTCCAACAAATGGAGAATGCCACCTGATGCCACCAAATGCCACTGGAACAGTAACATCTCATTCGCTTCCAAATAGAGCTGTTGGTTTTTCCAATCTCAATATTCTCTCCCCTCAAAACACAAAAAATGATCGGATGGACGTTTTACAGGAATGTCAAGTCCAAATGTTGGGAGTGGGATAGAAACTTCTTAAATGAGTAAGGCCAACAATTAGTAAATGCCATTTTAACATATGCCATATCGTAGTCCTTGATATTAAATCTCCTGCTGCAAATTTAAGATAAGATAACCTGTATTGTCATTTACTGCACACAGTAAAAAAACCTGTTATCTGCTCTCAAAATTGCTACCTACCTGCCTTCCATTGAGGACCTGTATACTGCACAAGTCAAAAAGAGGGCTGTGAAAATATTTAGAGACCCCTCACATCCTGGACATATAAACCGTTTCAACTACCTTCAAAACAACGCTATAGAGCACTGCACACTAGAACAACTAGACACAAGGACAGTTTTTTCCCGAACGCCATCTCTCTGCTAAACAACTAATTCCTCAGCACTGTCAAACTATTTACTAAGTCTGCACTACTATTAATCTTCTCATCGTTCCTATCACCTATCTCCTCCCACTTATGACTGTATGATTGTAATTTTGTTGCTTGTATCCTTATGATTTATATTGTTTCCTGATTGCTTATTTGTACCCTATGACTATCTTAAGTGTTGTACCTTATGGTTCTTGATGAATGTATCTTTTCTTTTATGTACACTGAGAGCATATCCCCCAAAGCAAATTTCTTGTGTGTCCAATCACACTTGGCCAATAAAAAAATCTATTCTATTCTATTATAAAAGAAAGTATATATCTACCCATAGACACACATAACACACACACACACGTATAGATATTAATCACTGTCCATTGTGAATACATAGCAGAAAGAGCAAACTTGAAAGTTCACAAGGTTGATGCACAAAACTGTGACTGAATCTTCTATAGATGTTCTGCTTCGGATACCACGAAGCTTCCTCCCAAAAGGTAACAAGGAAAACAGGTTGTGAAGAGGGTGTGCATTGACCCAGACAATACTGTGGCCCCTGCTTAAGCATCACTTATATGCTATGTCTTGAGCAGGGGTGTCAAACTCAAGGTCCGAGGGCAGGGGCAGATCTGGTCTGCAGGGCCACCCAAGAAACAGCAAAGGACTGGCCTGCGGTGCCTCTGCTAGCAAAAACAGAGCTCAGGAAGGCCGCATGTGGCCCTCCCAGGCTCCGTTTTGGGCTGCGACGACCTCCTGCCGCCCTCTGCCAGTGAAACGGAGCTCGGGCGGGGGCACAGCCCCCCCCCTCCCGAGCTCCAATTTCACTGGCAGAGGACGGCAGGAGGCCATTGCAGCTGAAAATGGAGCTCTGGAGCCTGTTTTCACTGGCAGAGTGTTTGGGCCACCACAGACGCCCCGACAAGAGTGGTGTCATGCCCACTCTGGCCACACCCACCCCCCAAACACCAACCCTGATGTGGCCCCCAATGAAATTGAGTTTGATGCCCCTGGTCTCGAGTATATTCATTCTCTGATTTTCCTGTTTGCTTCCAGCCGATTAAAATAAGGGGAAGAATTGCCTCTGCCTTTCTCCTTGCCATCCAAACCACCTCTTTGGCAGTATTAATTACTCTGAATACTTTTCCCAGAAGCAATTTAAAAGCTCTGGCTTAATCCTTGGGCACAGCAGGACCATTTCAGTAATACAGCTTGTTCTTTTGTCTTTTTTTTTTTTTTTTAAGATTCTTTCTTCAGTTTTATATTCTTTGGCTTGTTTGTTTTTGCATCCATTAGCAAAAAAAAAAGAAGAAGAAGAAGAAGAGAGCATCACTGCAATCATTCCCTCCCCCCTTTACTTACTCCGTGTTCTGGTACACCTCCACGGAGATATTGAGTCCTTCTAACTCTTCCTTGAGGATCTGCAGGTTGGAATTGACGTAGCTGAGTTCCAGCAACACCTGTTCTCGCACTTTGGGGCTGGTCGTTGCACTGCCAAAGGAAGTTGCATTTTTTTAAAAAAAAAAATGTTTGGAAAACAATCACTTAATAATAAAATGAGTCTTACTATCATTTTCTCTATTTGCAGTATCCTTCCCCTGGAGTGGGGTGAGAATGGAGATTTTGCAGTATCCTTCCCCTGCCATGCCCACCAAGCCACACCACTCCCACAGAACCAGTAGTAAAAAAAATTTGAATTCCACCACCGGTCTTGGGGTCACCTTTTGCAAACTCCTGACAAGCAAAATTAATGGGCAAGCCAGATTCACTTCACAGCCGTGTTACTAGGTTAACAACTGAAGTGACTCACTTAACAACTGTGGCAAGAACCATTGTGGAATGGGGCAAAACTCACTTAACAACTGTCTTGCTTTGCCAGGCGAAAGTTTGGGCTCAACTGCGATCATAAATCGATGACTACTTTAAACTCAAGAAGAAGAACGTGGTTAAAATCATCCCGTTGCATCAAATGACACGTAGCAATGGGCTTGTTTCGAAAGGAAACCATACAGAAAGAGAAGCAGGAGAAAGCTGGCGGAAGAGCGGACCCCTCCTTTGAGGGGAGAACAGTGAAAACATTATGTAAATCTCCATGCCAAGCTCTGCCTTCTATTTATTCCCAATAAGGTGTTGGAGCGAACGGACTGCTGGCTGGGGAGTGAGAGGCTGTTCCTGTTGAGAAGGACAAAGGCTGCATTTTGTGACTGCGGGCAGAAAGGAGAGGGGACTCGTGGGAACATACCGGAGAAGGTTTTCTGCGCCAGCTCTCATCCTCACCGCTTTCAGAATCTGCTGGTTCAGGACAGCTCTCCGATTTTGCAATTTGCTCCGCCCGGTTTCCGCAAAGGGATTGCATCCCTGGATAACATAAAAAGACATCCTTTATCAAAAGGGCAGGACCACGGAAAAAAAGAAGGTAGCCCGATTCTCCCTGCCACACCGCCCCCCAAAAATAAAGCCTATCTCTGCATTTTAGAAACGAAACTTTTGAAACTTTGAAAAGAATGAAACTTTTGATTCTTGGTTTTACAGATTAGGGTGATAAGATTGAAATGACGGGTTTATACTATTGTGGTAAAACAAAAAAAGTTGTGATTGTTGTTAATGCCCTATTCTACTGTAACAGTGAAGTCAATGCTTCTTTTTCTTTCGCTACCCTTCCTCGCTTTTCTCTGCCCTTTCCCCCTCCCTATCCCTACCCTTTTATTTGTTTTTGCATTTTGTATTTTATAACACTTTACAACCTAATAAAATGTATTCTGAATGAGAAATGGTGGAGTTCATGCAGAAAAATACCCTGTTTCCCCGAAAATAAGACATCCCCTGATAATAAGCCCAATTGGGCTTTTGAGCGCATACGCTAAAATAAGCCTCATCCCCCCCGAAAATAAGCCCTCCCCGAAAATATTTAAACGCAGAGCTGGAAATCAGGTAAGATGTCAAGAGGAGCCCTATCTTGTTCCACGCGCCCCAAAATAATAAGACTTCCCTGAAAATAAGGCCAAGCGCTTATTTCGGGGTTCAAAAAAATATAAGACAGGGTCTTATTTTCAGGTAAATACGGTAGTTCTAGATCTTTTTGAGAAAGAAGATGTGACAAGGGACTGCGCCTGAAGTCTGTAGCAAGAGGGGGAACTCCAGATGAGGGAGAATTCCAGATGTTGCAAACCTATTGCTCCCAGCAGCCCCTGCCAGGATGGCCAAAGGTGAGGGATGCTGGGAATTGAGGTGCAGCAATTATCTGAATAGATCCGTCTCTTGTCCTTCTGTAAATTTTTGGAGGAATTTCCACAAATGAGTCCTGCATCAACCATCTCAAATAGGTTAGTCAACTTCCCTGCCTCCTGATTTTCTTTTTCTTCCAATAATCAGCTTTTGCGACCAGTCTTGTCATGTAGGCATTTCGTTTCCAGAGGGTTTGTGGGTTTATTCCTAGCATAGGTCTTCTGCTCAAATTTTCTATTATTTCCCACTAATATTTCCCTGATGTTGGCCATGAAAATATGCACACCTGGAGAACTGACCTATCCGTTACTTGAATAATGGTTTTAAATATGAGGAACTTTTAAGAACTATAATGCTATTTCCTTTCTTTTCTTCTGATTTTATGGGAACAATAAGCCCTTAATGCCCTGTGATCTGAGAAATTGCATTTCAGGTGAGCCCCCCTTTAACTACTAGTGACCATTTGAGATACAATGGACTTCCCCAGAGCTACTTATGTTGTACAGATGTATTATTATTATACTTCCCATCTTCTTTAGCAACTGCAATAGCACTAAGACTTATATACCGCTTCACAGTGCTTTTACAGCCCTCTCTAAGCGGTTTACAGAGTCATCCTATTGCCCTCAATAATCTGGGTCTTCATTTTACCGACCTCGGAAGGATGGAAGGCTGAGTCAACCTTGAGCCTGGTGAGATTCGAACTGCCAAATTGCAGGCAGCTGGCAGGCAGCAGAAGTAGCCTGCAGTACTGCACTCTAACCACTGTGCCACCATGGCTCATTACTACCCCTCTTATTGGTATCATTATTATGAACAATATTACTCTCTTGTTTTACATGTACACTAAGAGCATTTGCGCCAGAGACAAATTTCTTGTGTGCTGAATCAAACGTGGTCAATAAAGTATTCTACTTTATTATAACCCATTTTTGAAGTTCCACCAGCCATGTCCACATATCCCTGCACATGCTGTCCTTGAAGGAAGATATCGTGCAGGATTGGGTTTTCACATCTCATTAAACCAAGATGAATTTCAGCATTTGGCACCGAATTATAAACTGCCGAATTATGAACATTGGCTGAATCTACTCCTCGTGTTGTGCCATAAATATGGTACACAAAGTGCAACGGCTGGCACATCACAATTATGCCAGTACCAACAAAACCACAATGAGGCTGAGCTAAATGTAGCCCCTACTGCCAGCGAACTGGCCCATGGAATCCAGTCTTCGAGATCTGGAAATCTTCAAAGCCCTCATATGTAATTTAGGATGACAGAGATGGAACCTGTCAGACTCTTTAAACAAGCCACATCCTGGAAACTGACCTGTGGGCTGTGGTCCTTCAGAAGGAAGTGTTGCCTTCAAATGACCCGGTGTTTCATTTCATTCAAGAGATGTTATCAAACCACACTGCCATACCACAAACTGGCCTTTTATTGTGTTTTTCATCAACCAGAGCAGAAACAGATCAAAACAGCAGATAGCTGACCCGACGTCTCCAAAATAACTTGTCCAAATGTAAGGCTGTCACCTTGGTATGTGAGAATATTTCACTTTTATGTCGTGTTTCAATCCACAAACGGGAATTCCAAGCATTTTTCCCCACCTAGCCCAGGCTATCTGGATATCTGAAAGCCTAAGGACCCTTACAAAGAGATTATAATGACCAACGTTGTTGGGAGGGATTTCCTCAAGTTTCTTTTAGAAAATCTTGCTTAGGTTTAAAAAAAAAAACCCTTATCTTCATTCATGACAAGATCTCACACAAAGAAAACTAGAAGACATGGCACTTCTGCTGTGTGTTATCTTTTCTTTTCTATTTTCTTTTTTTAAAAAAAAGAGAAACAGTTTTATTTTGTGGCTACTCTCTTACCGAAAGATAAGAAATTCAAATATGATTAGGACTGCAGAACAGGTTAAACAGTTTGCTTAACTAGAACAAACACCGTATTAAGGGCAGTAAAGCTTCAAAATCAAGGAAAGATCAAAAGCCAAGGCCATCAAAACTGGCAGACCCAGGTAATTCCTCAAAACCCGATTCCAAATATCTAAGAGGCTGTCACAAAGACAGTCATAGAGTGCAAATAAGCAATCGAATCATACTAGGAAACAATATAAATCGTAAGGATTCAAGCAACAAAGTTACAGTCATGCAGTCATAAGTGGAAGGAGATGAGTGATAGGAACGATGAGAAGACTTATAGTAGTAGTAATGCAGACTTAGCAAATAGCTTGACAGTGTTGAGGGAATTATTTGTTTAGCAAAGTGATGGCATTCGGGAAAAAACTGTCCTTGTGTCTAGTTGTTCTGATGTGCAGTGCTCTATAGCGTCGTTTTGAGGGTAGGAGTTGAAACAGTTTATGTCCAGGATGCGAGGGGTCTGTAAATATTTTCACAGCCCTCTTTTTGACTTGTGCAGTATACAGGTCCTCACTGGAAGGCAGGTTGGTAGCCATTGTTTTTTCTGCAGTTCTAATTATCCTCTGAAGTCTGTGTCTGTCTTGTTGGGTTGCAAAACCGAACCAGACAGTTATAGAGATGCAGATGACAGACTCAATAATTCCTCTGAAGAACTGGATCAGCAGCTCCTTGGGCAGTTTGAGCTTCCTGATGGAAGCTCGATGGATAGTCAACATTGCCCATTAAGACTGGAGCTGAAGCCCTGGACAGTAAGCAGTACCAATGGATCCTACTCGAACTTTGACAGATAACCAAGGAGTCCATAGGTTAAAGTGTTGTCACTGAGTCCTTATTTCTGAACAAGCTTCTGATCAGTCTCTACATGGACAATCGACCATGGACCGTTCTTCAGTTCTTCCCTCATGGTCCAAGCTACCTCCCATGTCAAAGAAAGGAGATATTTCTGTTCCCCTTATTACTTGAATTACTGAAACACAGAAAGTAGATCAACTTATTCTTTTCAGAAATACCTGTTTTCTTTTCAAAGCAGGGGAAGGCAAGGAAAGTTGGCCTAAAACAGATTTTATGAAAAACACGGATGTCCCTTGAGGTACCTTTGAGAAAAGAATGGTGTGCTGCTTGGATGGAGGCTGGTGAGAGAGAGTTAAAGTCTCCATTGGAAGTTAATGAGTTGCATTGGAAACCCAGTAAAAGCAGAGCTGGGCAAATATTAACCAGTATATAAAAGGAGACTTCCTGTCCTCCTTAACATGTCTCTCGGAGAAAAAGCTGTCTTAAATGGGACGCGGTGGCTCAGTGGCTATGATGCTGAGCTTGTCGATCAAAAGGTCGGCAGTTCAGCAATTCGAATCCTAGTGCCGCGTAATGGGGTGAGCTCCCGTTACTTCTCCCAGCTTCTGCCAACCTAGCAGTTCGAAAGCATGTAAAAAATGCAAGTAGAAAAATAGGGACCAACTTTGGTGGGAAGGGAACAGCGTTCCGTGTGCCTTTGGCATTGAGTCATGCCGGCCACATGACCACGGAGACATCTTTGGACAGTGCTGGCTCTTCGGCTTTGAAACAGAGATGAACACCGCCCCCTAGAGTCGGGAACGATTAGCACATATGTGCGAGGGGAACTTTTACCTAAAAAGAGAGTTCCTGTCCTCTTTAACATGTCTCTCAGAGAAAAAGCTGTCTTAAATGCCTGAAGAATATGATACGAGTCTGACATGCCACTCTTATTTCTAAGAAATGAACAATGGAAGCAAGAAAGTTAATGTGTGCCCGGCTAGCCATACGAATTTAAACTACTTGCCTCCCATTTGAATAAAATCCAATTTCTTTGTTGTTCTTTCTTTTTGGGGCTGGGTGAGGGTGGGAAAAGAAAGGCCCATGTTGCGGACTTGCATTCAGAAACCAGTCAAGCTGTTGTCTGTAAGACTTAGAAATAAAAAACTAAATCGCTAAGCAATCAAAGTGCCAGCAGTCCACTTTTTAAAACTTCTGATAATGAAACCATTGAAAAAAAAATGGAGAACTCCTGCAGACAATTGGACTGATTGATTCTATTGAAATGTTGATTGATGAAACCAATGACTGCCGGAAATGCATGCAGAGTACAGTCCATTAGGGTGTGGTTTTTTTGCAATTGAATTTAGCCTTTCAATGGATGCAGATCTCAATAAATAAATAAATAAATAAATAGCTCCCTAATGTATTATATT